ACGGCATGTACCGCACGGCTGTCCGCGGCTGACCAGATTACAATATGGCGTCGTTCCACCGGGTTTTAGAGAAGTTTTGGAAACTCGATGCGAATCGGTAAATTATTGTGAATAGTAACAAAACCAAGTTGGTTTTCAGTATGATTCGACACAAAAAACGCAAACAGTTGAAGATCGTTTGAAAATTTGAAAGAGGAGCATGATCTAGTGCTCCAAATGTTTTTTCTTTGGAGCGTTGGAAATACAAACACGAAGACAGACATTGCTGTCACCGCGCTGTCTTCTTACCTGTTTACGAGGAGACTGAACCTTGGTCCTCGGCTTTCCTCTTCTGTGGACGAGGAGCCAGCGTACTGGCTTCTTTGGTGGTTGTTAGCAGATGCTGCTTGGCGACAACTTTCAGCCTGGCGAGGTCTCCTGGTATGTTTTTATAGATGGCGTTGAGGGTGTTGAGACTGGCGTGCAAGCTCTCTGCCCCTTGCTCCGCGAGCAGGCCCAGACCAACGTCAAGTTTCCTGATGAGCGGCACCGTATGATTCTCTAACAGGTGAAGTTTCGGCGTGATGTTTCCAAGTCGCCGTGCCACAACGTGTCGTCTGCACATACTCAAGAAACGCCGAACTTCAGACTCCAGCTGATCCATCTCGTCTGCTGAAACTGCCTGGCTGTGACTGAAGATAGCTCGACAAGAAGCGTAGCTGTTCATCAGATTCTCGTGTAAAGATGCTATTGTTTGGGCCTCCTCCGCCAGGACTGGACACCTGGACGTGAGGACTGGTACGTGAGCATGGCTGATGGCAGTGACCACGGTGGGCTTCAAGGCTTGGTGGACGTGATTGCCGATGAAAGCACCACCGTGGTACACTTGACGTTCGATCTTGTGGTGTTGGAGAACAGGCTCCACAGAGGCTACGCATGGGCCACTGAAGTCCTTACTGCGGCATAGCTTGGCGATTTCGTCCTTCAAGGCGTCGACAGTCGAAGTGTGTTGCTGGGTCTTCGTAACTGCTGCCATGCCTGAATGCCATGTCAAGCTTTCAGGCAATCGTGCCTGTCACTCTCATTGAGGATGTCGAGGAAGTGCATGACAACAGCGACAAGGTCTGGAAAAAATACAGTGGCAGCCATGGAGACATCGCCATTCCGCTTCGACATCGGCAGCTCTGTAGCGGTGTAGCTGGGCAGCGTCTTCGTGATGAACTCTCGTATAGAACGCTCAGACTCCGACTTTACTCCGAAGACCTTGAGCCACTGCCGCAGCTTCCTCAATTGGCTCCATGGCAGTCGGAGGTCTGCCTGAGCTCCTCCTGTGCAGCTGATGAGAGCCGCTTCAGCCCAGCAATCATTTGCACTCGAGCTCCATCCGATCCACCACAAACGGACTCTGCAATTCGGGTCAGCTCAGCAGCGCGGCGTTTGAGTGTTGAGGCAGACGCATCGGTTGACGGTACACTGCACTCTGGTGTTAGCTGGTAAACTTGCGGTTTGCCCCTGCCTCCTTCGCCAGTTTTCACCTCCAGCCTGCCACCCTCTGCCCTAGCCGTGACCAGACGTGCAGTGAGGTTGGTTGCCACATTGCCCTTCAACTTCGACGGAGAAGCACTGAGAACCTCAGCCACTGTTGACGATGGGCGCACAGAGCGGATAGGTGTCATGCTCGGCGGCGGGCTACGTGCTGTGCTACATGATGGCGTCTCTGCGGGATTGAACAGGCACATGTTGACATGACGTTGCAAGTCATGCAGCGGCACGACTTCAGGACATCCACGTGGCGATGGCTCATGGAAGTCGCAGTGTATGGACTGGCTGCTGACAAGCCTGGTTAGACTAATGCTGGGCGTGCGCATCGATGATGCAGCCATGTCAGCGCTGCAAGACTTGCATGTGTTATTCGTGCTGAGCCATTTGCTTATGCACTCTGCACAACTCGGATCATTGCAGCATGCTGTTTCCAGGATACCGTCTGCGGTATTCTGACAAATGATGCAAATTTGCACCGCATTTCTGTCTAAAAATCTGCCCCTGTCAAGCGGCAGTGTTGCACGATGTTGTCGCGCTGCTCTTGATTGTATGCATTCTGCACTGATATCTAGACCACTTACACTGCTTGTGGCTGAGTGTGTAGGTGATCCATCATCGCTCTGGTGGCTGGGTGCTGCCAGGAGTGCGGCACCTCGCAATGCTGTTTTCGGTTTTGCATGGTGCGCGCTTGCGCCCCTTTTCTTCTGGCTTGCACACACAGAGCAGTTTGTGCGATGGCGTGGCTCCCATTTGGTGACAGGTCCACAGCCACCTCCACAATGTTCTGCCTATCTACTGGCTCTCTTTAGGGCTCGCTCGCACAGAATACAGATGTATGGTGGGTGGATGTCTGAGCAATCTTTCGAGATATCATTGCCATGTACATATTTCAGCAGATCACTATATTTTTCCACACTATATCTGGTAGACTGCTGGAAACAGGAAAACTTTCTGCCACCGACTCTGCAGACTTCTTGCAGTAGCGATTTATGCTCATCCATGATCACTCTACGTCCTCACAACAACTGGAGAGTAACACAATTGCAGTTACGATCCAGTAAGTGTGGGAAATACCAAAAGTTTGGGAATATTGCAAACGCAAGTCACACGGAATTGATGCACGTCACGGAACGAAATTTTCTACAGCACCAGAACGGACACTTACCTACCCGATTCCAAATTATCTAAACGATACTCAAATCTGGGGATACTATTTGGGGCACAAACGTTGGCTCAAATTCTGCACGACGAACGTCCCAGGAGAGGAAAACAAACGTCCTCCAGAGACAAGGAAACAAATCGAAGCAGTGGTCGCGCGGCATGTACGTGGAGCTGAGGGAAAGGCAAAGCCGAAAAATCGAAAACTCAGGGCAAACCAAGCTGATTGGAGACGAAAAGTGGCGAAGTCTGTGGAATACTTAGCTGTCTAAAGCAATTCCTGGACGAAAATCATGAATTTTTACGAGTTCTCGGCCGCCATATTAAATGGGCCAAAATCGCGCAAAAAAACAGCCGTGAGCAGGGTGATACTTCTGGTTAGCTGGTGTCTGATACTGTGGGCCTTGGGGCAGTTGTGGCTTCAGACTAGTTGTGGTGAATGGTGCAAAGCTGGACTGCACAGTGACCGTCTCTCCTGGTCTGTGTTGTGCGTTGTTACTAGTATTAGCCACAGCTACTGGGGCAAAACTGTTACTCTGCAACACAGGATTCACTGCACTATCACCAGACATACCTGCATGTACTTGACTGCCGCTAGCGCTGTCGCTGCTCACTGGACCATCAATGACAATGGACTGTGCATGTGTCACTGTGGATGGCAGTCCGTCACTTCGACCAGCTTCCACTTCCACCGTTCTGGTCTTACTTGGTAGCCAGCTCTGGGGACTTCTTCGTTCCACATCCACAGCACTCAAGCATGGAGGCCGACTACCAGCTGGTGTTTGTCTTGGCTTGGTCGGCTGGATGTCAACTGCGTCCACCACGCTGAAGGCGCGCCCTGCTCTCCCAGACTCTGCGCTGGTAATTTTGAGCTTCTCAAGGAGTTGATGATGGCGCACGAGTGCTTCTGTCGTGAGCCCTTGTCCAACACCTGCGTGGGACAGTCTCCGTGCACTTTCATCTCTCCGACTCCTGCGGCTGCTCGCGGTGGAGCCTTTCTCTGAGAGCTCCAACTCCAGCGCTGCTCTGTCTGCAGCCAATCGCTTGGTCACCAACTCTCTGTTGAGTTCCAATCTCTTTTCGACCGCCTCAGCCTCCAGCTGGACTAATTCCTCAGCAGCTTGCAACTCTCTCTCGCGTATCCTGGCCGCGAGTTCCAGTTCGGCTTCCTTACTGGATTTCTTGGAAACTTGGGAGACACTATCCCACTCTCCATATCGCGAAGGAGGCTTACCCTTCGTCGACCTGACGCTCGTTCTTTTTTCCATCGACTCCGATTACTGCCTCGGACTCGAATCCGGCTCGAAGGACCAGTTGTTCGGTCACGGAATCTGGACTCCAAAGAAGACTGTATTTATTTCTGTTCTTCGTAACTGAACGAAAATCTCTAGACTAATAGTATGCACACATCATCGTGCCTTGGCACGGACATACCAACTCTGCTATTGTCCTCTCTCCAGGACCAAAAAACTCTGCTTTCCAAAGAGACAAAATAACTCCCTCCTGTCCAAAGTGAAACTCGTACTATAACAAAAAAGCACAGCTGATAAAGCGAACAGACCTACAGCCAATCAGCAAACCAGTTCCGTCATATGATCCGGCAGGTATTGCATGCCATGCATGTACTAGATTAATGCTACGGTACAGACAATCGCATGTCTAGACAGGTCCTAACAGTGTCTAGTCAGTACTAGCATCATGCTCACATGTGCCGGGTCAGCACACAATACATCGACCTAGCAAACGGTAACCTACGGGATCTACTGGAACAGTCCATGTGTTCAATAATAACTTTAATACACATGTAGTGCAACACGTCAAGATTTCACTACCAGTATAGGTCAACTCCCAGGTCTGGGCGGCTTGGCTGCCCAGATTTCAGAATTGTCCGGATGTCAGAACACCTCTTACATATGTACACAGGCATTATTTTGCAAACACAAAGGTAGGCAATACTAGGCACTGTCACTACAATACTGCTCGATGCACAAAGTGCAGAGTCGTTCACATACTGGGAACAAGGTTGTTTGGCTGATGGTCGCCTTCGCATGAAATTGGGAGTCCCACGGATAGCTTGGTTTATTATGCTCCGATTGTGTATTTTGCAAACGTTTCGCTCTTTCATCAGCCCTTTCCGCCTGGTGGTGGGTCCTCAAACGCACCCAGTAGATGGACGTGCACTGATCTGGGGAGTCTACATGTACTTGTGTTACATGCATACATTCGCCATTTTGATCTTGGCTTGCTCTGATGATGCTCTACATGTAGTTGCTGCATTGTAGTCTTACTTGTGTATACATTGTGTGCTCATTGCTTTACAGGCATTGCTCCGCCGGGTGCTAACATTTACTATAACAGCCCATACGTTGACAACATCAAGACCTCCGTTTTACGTGTGGACGGCAAGCCAAGCATGGTTACTCTAGACTATCATTTACAGGTATGTACAGTCAGTGGAAGTATGTCTACTACTTCAAAGTGCATGCCCAGGGCCGCTTTACTGTAAAACGTTTTAACTAAATTGCTTGATCCTCCTTACCAGTAAACAACATCTGCAGTTTTTTGGAAACTGCACCACTAGATGTCGTACACTTGAAGATAGCTTCCCTACCCCAAGTGCACTTCACAAGTCGACTGTGTGTTGTCAACCTTCTTGCTGTCGGACACTTTGGGATCGTTGCAAAACCTTGCACTGCATGTTACCACTTCCACTGCGGCCACGTTGCCGTGCGGTACTGCAGCACTTTCTAATGCATGTACTGCAGTGCCAGATGGTTTCTTCCAGGCTACCTATTGGTACTCCGAAGTGCAAACTACAAGAAGGATGGTCAAGTGAGAGTGAATCATACGTGACTGGACTAAAAAGCGGAGATGCCGTTGGCGTGTGCGAAGTGCGAAGTGCTTAACCCTAGTGGAGGAGCCTGCGACACAAGTTCACAATGAAATCCAGAGCTACAACAAAACAAAGTTTATTGTGAACTTGTGACTGGACTACATGTTCATGGTCACTGGTACAAACTCGCATTTGTATCTGGTTTGTGCCTGCTCTGTAGGTACCTCTGAGATTAGTGAAGAAGCGCAGCCACCGAGGTCATGTGATAGCTGCTTCCAGTGGCACTGAAGACGAAGATGAAGCGAAAGTGGCCAGGTTAGTTCAGCGTCCGAACGTGTCTTGTATGTGTACTGGGGAAATTAGAATGCACTCGTTTGCATTGGTGTTGGTGAGACGGTACTGTTGTAGTCTTTCCGTTTGTACCAATGCCATGATCCTGCTCCTGTAGCCCTCAGTCTGGCAAGGTGCTGTTGAAGAAAATATACAAGTGGGCATACACTTGCTTTGTGGTGGACAGCACCAAAAATACCAGTGAAATCTATTCGACAGCAGGCCATGCTGTATAGTTTAGTAATGACGTCCAGGCCCCTTGTGAGGAGTGTAGTATAGACTACTGGTACTTCCAATTATTGTAGTCTACCCCATCAGCACTGACGTATTGGACATGCAAATATGCAGTGTGCTGTGCCTGGCTCAAACAGAGTCAAGCGCAACATGATGTAGCACTTTACACCTTCCATGAGTGATCCCTACCCGATTCCTATCACATCCATGTACATGTGTGATAGTGTGAAAGATGTGAAGCCAGGCAGCGTGTCCACTGTCCACTGGTTCAGACCATCTCCCCGGATAAAGTTGCATAATCTGAACAAAATCTTGGCTAGTATTGTAGTAACTGGCCTTTCTCCACCTGCTCCCAGTCCCTTGCCATCTCCACACTTATTCAAAGGGACGACGGTAACTACATTTAGAAGATTGTTTATTGACACGACGACGAAACACAACTAGACAAGACGAATTCAAAACGAAGACATGATGAACTCAAGACGAAGACAGATGGGGGCAAGGTGGGAGGAATCAATATCTGATGAGTTGCTAGTCTGTTGACTATTTGGAAACCACCTGTTCACTTCCACTATGTACTACCGGCAACCAGTGCTGCTTGTTTGCGGTGGCAATTGCCTTTGTCTGTTATTCACAATTTCCCACCCGCCGTGTCTGGATGCCTCCTGTTATCTCCTATGTCTGTCATGGTGCAATAAAAGATCTAAACTACCATTGAAATGAGGTTTTTGTCTTTGTGTCCTTGGTCTCCCCATTACATTGTTTACTACAAGTAGTACATTGGTTTAACAACCGCTATAGGCTCTACAGGCAATCTTCTTATAAAGTTAATTCCATCAGCACCGCGTTATTGTTTGAGGATTTAATAAGGCTATACAAATGCAATCGCCGCCTTTTTCTACGATGGCTTCAGCAGGCATGTGCTTTTTTAGTTGTTGAGATGTGTAATCTTCCGTGGGCATGCTCACATCTTTATTTCAGCCATATTGCCATTGAACATAGTGCCAGCTTCTATTTGTACCTCTGTGCTGCTGCTTGTGTCTCAAACAGTCACTTCCGCCTCTCGTATCATCCACACCGACTGGACGACTTCAAACGCCTTGTGTCCGAGTCTTTTAGCGAGAGCTTCGAGTCAGATGAGGTTCTGGGCGACTTCCAAGACTTCTCCAAAGTTGCCACCCCGGCCTACTTTGTTCATGTCGTGCGCAAGAAGGAAAATCCGGACGCCTCTTCGGAACCCGAGAGCAAACGAAAGATGAGTTTCTGAGGTGAACATTGTGACCAGCCCTATCTTGCCATGTGTTTTAGGTGGCGGTGTTGGTGGCGGTGCATGTACCTGCTCTACTCGAGTGCTATTGTGACGTAATCGTGGACGTGCCATGCAAAGGAGATCCTGCACCGAACTCTGATCACACGCAATTGTTCGCGTTCAAGTAAGTGGACAGCGGTCCTCGTGGATGGCAACTTTGTCATATTGGGCTGAATTCTCTGCGAAAAGACTTTTTTCCTGAGTTGTCAACAGCCAGTGTGTTTTCGATTTTTACTATTTTATCATGTTAGTTTCTAAAATACTCCAATATTTTCTACAGTGAATTATCTATTCTATAGCTGAATAGCTCCCGGGTTTTATGGAAACTCTGTACTCGTAGAGTTGTTGTACTGTACTCCTATCTACTTCTGTTGATGCCCATGTCAACATGGCACATGCGCTAGTAATCAAGTTATACCCAAGTGTTTTGAAGGGATACCTCCCAATACATTTTTAGTAGTTTTTAAATTCTGCTATTCTGTATGCATAGCTTCACCAGTAGTTTAGGTTTGCGTGAACAATACACAATGCTACCCTCTCTAGTCTAATCTGTGCGTCTGCGCACTGAATAACTTAGGCCAAGAACTACTCTTCTGCTCCCATGGGACGCCTCCAGGTATGGCCCTATACTGATCTTGTGTCAGGTGTAGTCTAAGTTCGTAACCGGTGGGGGAGTGTAGGTCAGATCCACCAGCCAGAGGACAATTGGAAGATCTGGCCACTTCCAAGCTCAGACCCTGGGACCTCTCATTTCTCCATCATGGTCTCACAGTGTATTGCAAGTACTAAGTACTAAAGACTTAGGTCAACCACTGTGCATCTGTAGATGGCACATGATAAATTGATTATTAAATTCACTTTGACCTGTCCTCACTTTGGGGTGTACGAGTGATGTACACGTAACAATAGTTCCGATCTCTACCTCCTTTCCGCTTCCGTGTCCAATGGGACGCCACTTCCCCATGATTCCTGCAGGTGGGGAGGACAGATCAGGTCCACCAACCAGAGGCCAATTGCCGAAACCCCCTTTGCCGCATCCTTGTTACCCTTGTGCCAAGCCACATGTTCCCAATTCACAGTGGGTCGCAGCACGGTTGGAAAAATCCACCCGTTCCAAGCATGACTTGATTGTTGTACATGTCAACAACCTAAGCACCATGAATTCTCAGAAGGTGAAGGGCACCTGGTCAATTAGCTTTCCCAAATGAGTCATGTATGCAGCTTGAATACTGTGGCTCACATCAGTGTGCGATGTATGTGTAGAGCTCCCTGGGGTGGAGAATGAGGTGTCCATTTACAACAACAGCAGCAACAACAAACAACAACATCTCTTATTGGCCACTGGCTATCGTGAGAATAAAGATTTGAAACAACAGCATGTGACTACAGTCAACTTCGCTTATAATGACACTCAGCGGGGCATCAGAAAAGTGTCCTTATTCGCGAAGTGTCGTTATACCCGAAGTCTCATTATATGTATTACAGTTGGATGGGACTTTGCTCTGGGCATGGAAATTCTGTCATTATTCGCGAATTGTCGTTATATCCGCAGTCGTTATTAGCGAAGTTGACTGTATGTATAGGGCTCCCTGGCGCATACTGGTGGTGTGGAGAATGAGGTGTTGAAGCCTACGACTACGAGCATGACATAAGACCATAAGCATAACCCGCGTTATACTGCCTTGATAACTTAAAACAATGTCGGTATTTTTTACATGATTCGGTACTACAGTGAAACCTGTCTAAGACGACCGCTCAAGGGACGTTCAAAATGTGGTCTCTATTACCAGGTGGTCTCCTTATCCAGGGTCAATTGACTGGAAATAGCATCCCTTGCCGGTACATGGTCGTGGTTTCAGTGGTCTTCTAGGACAGGTGGTCGCATTATCCGAGTGGTCGCCTTAACAGGTTTTACTGTATATCCTTACACCTACATGCAGCTACATGTACATGTATGCCTCTAGTCAAGGTTGTGTAGACAAAGCAGCGTGTGTAGGGCTCCCTGGTATGCACAACTGCCACAGAGACCAAAACCTGACCTCTGTAACTCTGAGTTTCACGTCCAGAAACACACACCAGGCACGCTGATGAGTTTTACTTTCTAGTAGGGCTCAAACGGTCACAGTTTTACCCCTGACGGTTAACTGCTAAGCTAACGGTCAGTTAACCGGTTATAACCTATAAGCCACGGCAATCCTGCGGACTCTTTTTTAACCGTATATTTGACTATACTCATTCAAAAAATGTACCCTATTCAGTACAACGCACACTTGTACATTCTCTTGCATGCTCATTCATACATACTCTCACACCAAGAGACCAGATATGACCGAGTTGACAGCCCAGAAATTGCGTACGCGTGCGACAGCCCGCGAAAGTGCACACTTTGCAACGACCTGATACTTGAAAAATTGACTGAAAAGTTACTGCGTAACCGTTATCTTTATCGGTTAACCGTTAATTCTTCGTAACCGGTCTGCAACCGGTTAACCGGACTAACCGTTTGAGCCCTACTTTCTAGACATGAAAATCACTGAGGACTGTTTTGGTCTTTGTTGTTCTGCCTTTGTGTGGTAGTACGCTCTGCCATAGTACATGGCATGGAGCACTAAAGGACCCTGGCCCACACGTAGGCACTCTGTCTATTTCATCAAGAGTAGATTCTACCAGGTGTTCTGCATGTACACTTGATTTTATAATGCACATGACCATGTATTGGACTTATCATGTAGTGAAAGGTGTAATGCCTTGCAACGGGCATTAGCGTGCTATCAGTGGAACTTTTCTGGCATTCTGACGGTTTCTCGAGGACCAACAGTGATGGCATAGCCGCTCAAAAATACTTACTCTTTAAAAATGTATGCCTGACAGCAGCATGCCATTGGTTCAATGCATAATATGGATTATTGCCGGGAGGCCGGACTCATTTTTTATACCGGTAAGTCTATTTTGGAGCCACTTGCTGTGTACATGGTGTATGAACCTTCCCAGCTGGAACACCACTCCGTTGCTTCAGTTCAGGCTACCTACGTGATTTGAGACTTTGTGATGCCTGAGGAAGGTTCGGTTTTGACATACAGGCCTGGTATTTGACATACTGGCCTTGTGGTCTACGTGATCTGACCACCGCACATGCAGCACCTGCCACCATGGTCATGTCTCCCCACCACACTTCTCCTGTTATAATAGTGCAATCATTTACATGTACATGTGCATGCTTGTCGTTTCTATAATGTATTTAGAGCCATTTATATGGGCTCAATAATTGTTGTTCCACGGCACCTCATGCGCCGGTGCAGCTGTTGAGACCAGCAGTGTGTGTTGGTAAAACGTCCAGATAAATACAGAAATACAGTAGCGGCACTCTGTGAGCATATCAAGAAGAAACGAGTTCAAACGACACCAGGCTCTTGCATACATTTTCAAGGTGGGCAGACTCTGCACTGCAGACTGTCAGGGTAAATCTGCCTGCTCGCTGCTTGTATGCGGAACTACATGTACACGGTTGGCCAGAGTGAAACTAGATTCTTGGGAGAGCTTCCTTTCTGTTTTGACAGGAAGCCGGCAAAGTGGCCTACACCTTGGGAGCCACTAGTCCAGGCATCGGTTGCAAACTTTTGATGTCCTACTGTACATGTACCGGTAGCGGGTACTTTACCACCTTGTAGTTGATTTACTACCGCCAGCGCACTTTCCCCCCTGTTTCCCATCTCAGGCATCTGATCCGTATCCAACTAACCGGACTGGCTGCTAGTGCCAATGCAAATACAATTCCAGTTTTCAACGTAACTTTTGATTGTCACTGTCATCTTCCATTTTTCCCGGCGGAACTTACCATGATACCAAGACTCAAAGCAAGAGTACATCACCCCCCTGTTGATGATACTGACAGCCGTATGTTCATACTGTATCATTGTTTTAAAATCATGCCCTTCGTTGGCAGCGGTAAAAAGCTTCTGATCTACTCCATGTCCATTTCATGAGCTGAGTCAGTTTATAGATACAGACATGTTAGTGACGCAATGGGATGTGTATGTGGGGGGGGGGGGGGTATTTTGTGTGGTGCTGTTCGAGTGGTCCATGGTTTGATCTCGGAAAGCAGGCCCGGTGTCCGATGGCGGTTGCCAAACCCGAAATAGTGCCGCAGGTTGCTGCGCGCTCATTGGTCTCACGCAGCTGCTCGTTGTCTCTGGGCTCGGGTTGACAGGTGCATGTAGGTTGGCTTCAGGGAGAGCTTGTGGTGAGACAGTCTGTTGTCGCGAAATGTCACTCGCGTCCCGTGAGTAGATTACCACAATACTATGTCACAGACTCAATGCACGGTATTTTACGTCTTGAGTAGCAAACATCGATCTGTAAGCGCAATGTATCTTTACGGGTATATTATTTGTTTGGTACCGTGAGGTCTCCATTGCCTTTGGAAACTGGCTTGCCTTCACCGGCATAATTCGGATGCACCATTCAGGAAGGGAGCGAAGCAGCTAGCAGGACACTACAACCGACGTCACGTAACGCTAACGGATCGAGGCAGGTCTGACGCTGAAGCCAACAATAATCAACACGCATCGACGTAAGTCGTAACGTCGTTGCCTAGCTTGCAAGCCGTCACTTGTCGACTTGGCAGGTATGATATGCCACCAGTAGTGGCAGTAGGTCGTCAACTCATTACGATTGGCAACTAACTGCACTTGACAATGTTTGCGTGCAGCCCATTTTTGGATCTGTAGTTCAGTAGTTGTTCAGGCTACACCTAACGTTACTGGCAGCACTGCAATGTTATGCTGCATCATCGCGGTTCAGTACAGTACGGACCGAGCCCCCTCGAGCTCAGTTTGTCTGTCAGATTGATGTTTTACAAGCCAACCTCATGAAGGGATTTGTCGACACGGATAGTGTTGCACACGTGAAGAAAATTCCGAGCCACTGTAGTCTGCAATCTTCCATCAGTGTTTGCGCGTGCATGAAACCAATGGCAATGGCACCTACCAAATCATGGCAAATGACTGCATCGCTGAAAAGTGTCCTGTGGACCCGACGAATCGCCACTGCTAGCTCCGATACATGTATGGCAATAGGATACACCTTTCTGTAGTTAGAATCAACATTTCGAGGTGTGAAATAATTGGCCGATGTACATGACTTTGTGTACTATACAGCCGAGTAGCGATATTCTATTTCTACAGTCAATGCAGCGAGACCAGGGCACCGTCTCAAAGGACAGAAATACAAGAAGGTATTTTCTTCGAGCACCTTGGAATCAAAGGCACTGTTTGGGGGTGAATTTGCATCCAGTTCGGAATTCGGATCACCATTGAGCCAAGTTCTTCTACCAGATCTCCGCAGATAACCGCAGTCCACAATTCATACTTCTTCTTTTCCTCGCCATCGTCGTCTTTGCGCTTGAAGGGAAGCTAGTTGAATGATAGCTTGCTGGATATGACTCCAGGTTCAGGTTCACCGGGTCAAGTCTGCAGCGGTGATTTGTAAAGAGCTATTCGAGTCGAAGTCTCGCGCGCGCATCTAGCGCTGCTGCTACTTCCACCAGTCGGCGGTGTTCTGCTGCCACCCTAGCAGGATGAAGGCTCGCCTGCTCAGCCTTGTTGCAGCTCTACTGTTGTCATTAGCTTCCTGCGTGCACGGAGCAAGTAAGTCACAGGAGGGGTAATGCTATGAAGCACAACAGGTAGATGTACACTGAATATTAGCGACATGTGCATACGGTTATTGTAGATCCACCAAGAACTGCACCCTGTAAGTAGGTAACAATCGTTACTTAGCGTTCATGATGATCATCATTTTCGGGAATCCTATCTTGGGCAAATTTCAGGGATGAGATAGCACGTCCGAGTTCATGGGGGACTACTCTTGAGCTGTGCGACAAGAAAATTACAGTGGAGTTATACATGAATAGTTCGACATGGAGTGTGTAGTGTACAGAGTGAAGTAATGCATGCAGATACAATGTACCCAGAATACTAGAACCAGGCTGAGGGCTGCAGTCTTCCCCTTCCGCACTGGTTTGAACTAACTCATCTGTTTGTCCATAACATCTCCGATCAATGAATGAAGTCAAGAGCATCTCAGTGTTCATGCAGTGGATCCAGAAATGTATATTCCATTGAGCAGCCGATTGTTTTGCTTTGTTAGAGGCCAAAGGAATGAAACGTTGAAAAGCGATGAGTATTTTGTTACCGTCAATTCTACTCCTAGCAGAAGCTTCACTGGCTTTGAGGGCCTCGCTACCATAATGTTTCCTACTCTGTCCTCTTTCTTCCAAGTCTGTGTGTATGGCTGTCAAACCCAAAGTTGATGTGCATCGTTTAACTGTGTCAAAGAGAAATCTGAAGTTCACAGAGTGTAGGTCGTTGATACTATTAGCTACTACATGTGGCAATCAGGCCAATTGACTACCGTCAGTCCTTCCCACTGGCTTAGCATGGGGCTAGTACCTTTACACAGCTGGCAGTATATGTAGTGACCTAGGCGGTAATAAGCGAGGAAATGGGTGACTCCCACTGTGGAGGTCATGCTTCCTGTCGACTTGACTGGCACTTGACCGGCTAAGGCGTGCCATCTGGAGCACAGGACGTGCACGTGTCACGCCTTCTCCTTAGCAAGTCAAGTCGCTCTGTTCCACAATGAGCTATAAAAGTGAAATTTGTGCTACAGAAGCTCCATGTTTTGTACTAGCAATCTAGCAGCGGAATCCTCAGTAGAGATACAGACTTTAATACAGCAATGTTTTGTTTCCAGCAAAACTAACATCACCCTATGGGTCCAAGGTGGCAGTATAAGTAAGTGTCACCCAGGGAGTGGTGAAAAACAAACACTCAGCGCCATAAGGCTTTCCAAGGGAAGGACAATGCGCTCCTCATGTGCTCCAGATGACAGTTGTGAGTCAAGCGTCGGCCATTTCGGCACGGATCACTTTTGTTTTGAAACAAAACATTATACAATATAGCTCCTGGGATATACATGACTGGGTAGGGCCCATTGAGTGCGCAATTACCAGGCAGTAGTCTCCAGATTTAGCCACGCACTAGTAGTTACATCACGCATGACATACACTATTCTTTATTCTTCAGAATATGGCATACATGTAACGTAATTGTTATTGGGGGGGGGGGGGGGTTCATCCCCACAACACAGGGTGGGTGTGGGGAGGGGGGGGGGGGGCATGAGGAGTTCACGGTGAAACGTGTTTTCACGCTCAGTCAGCTTGTGTTATTAATAAAGTGAAGCTAGTGTCAATTTGAGGAAGTGAAGCCTGTCTGTGTTTTGTTTGTTTGCAGCACTGTGGTGGATCACACCAAGAAGAGGCAGTTTAGCCGGTGGTACCCGCGTGTATCTGCATGGCGCTGGATTTAGCCTGGACCAGTACTCTTTGCCGGACGTTGTCTTCTTTGGCAACATCCAGTGCGACGTGGACTGGTTCACGGTGAAGGCGCATCGCCTCGAGTGCATCACTCGGCCGCATCCCACGGCGAAGAGAGGTGACATACTTGAGCGCGTGCCGACCACGATCATCTCCGGAAGGGTGACATTCTCGACTGCTACCGAGTAAGCCTGTAGTATTCTATCCTGTAGGGGTGCTGCTGGTTGTGACACTGAGGCTAAGGCACTGAACTGCACTTCATCCTCTTCAGACATACTACAGTACACTGGCCAAAGATATCCAACCTCATGCATTAAAATAGAGCCGGGCGATACGCAGCCCTTGCACTACACATACTGGTCTGCGCAGTCGAACGCGGCGCTACTTTATTCATGAGGTTGGATTTCTCTGGCCAGCACTGTACTTGTTGCAATGCTTCTAGTCCCCCCCCCCCTCCCCCTCTCCCCACTGAGTTGCTAGTAGGGATAAAATAATATTCACAAATCTTGGAAAGGATCGTTTGTATTCTGATTATTTTCCTGTGTAGCCGTCGTAATTATCGAGAGTTTCAATACCACTGGGGAAACACTCCTCGGACATGGTCTGCCTTCCCGCCCTCCACCATTCCTGGCTCTGTGCTTCGGCTGCGTGGAACACTCTTCGCCACTACCACGCAGTTGCAAAGCGTAATGGTGGGACATCACGTGTGTGACCTGTACGGCCTTTCTGCGTCCGAGCTGTCCTTGTACTGTGGTACGTCGCAGTCAGTATCCTGGTCAACGGTATGCTGTCGCGTGGCCAGCACCATAACAGCTGGTAGCTACAACATCACCTCCAAGATCAGCAACTACGGGACAACGTTCAATGCGTCCGATGCCATGACCGTGTCCCGCCGCGGAGACCTTCGCATGTATGAGAGTTTTCCGTGTAAGTTCCTTTTTAAAAACAAGTTTCTCTTTTTGTTGTTGTCTAGTCTTCATTGCGATCAATTCTGCCAGTCCACACTCTGAGCACTGCTGATAAAACTGCTAATAAGTTTTGTTTGCATCCCAGGTGTTCATTGATTATTGTGCCCAGCAAGTACTGTATATTGAGGACTGCTTGTGACAATGTTCTTGTCATTGTAGCCATCACTGGCGTCACACCTTCGGTTGGTAGCAGAGAGGGCGGAACTCTTCTGGTCATCGAGGGCACTGGTTTCGGCTTCCTGACAGCCAATGTGAGTGTAGCTGTCGGTGGCGTGCCTTGTCGTGTGACAAAGGTTCAAGATACGTCTCTGGAGTGTGTAACTGGACGCCCAGACGATGGTTCCCCGATCCTCACGGCGAGGCAGAGACTGGCCACGCCTGGAAATATCAGCACCGTGCCTCTGTTTGCAGGTATGTTGTGTGTGATGTGTTGCTCAGTACACGTTGTGCTAGTAACTTCCACATTCTGTATGATATTTGTTTACTAAGCTGGATGGCTGGATGTATCCTGTATGATAGTCATCACCGATATCATGAACGGGGGAAAGCCATGCTGTCACACGGGTTATAGAGCATGAGCACTGTCTGCCTGAGTACTCAGGACTACAATACCATCTATGCATGCTACGTCATTTCACATTTCACATTGACGTTGCTAGTGCAAAGCAGCAGTGTATCAAAGTGCACTACATATACCGTGTACATTCTTTTCATTAACTTTGGCTTTAGTCATCAATGGTTTCTTAGGATATACCTGACCAAGTAAGAAGTTTCACATAACATACATGTACAGGCACAAATAGGGCCGGCCGAGGCAGCTTGACTACAGTGATCAATACACAGATGTACAGAGGAGTATACCGTGACAAACACCAACGGCGAAGAGCTGTTAAGCTGTAACTTTGAGTTTCACGCATTTGAGCGATCGTCAGACAGCAGCATTTAAAAAAATTTAATGCTGCTGTCTGATAGTCGCTCAAATGCGTGGAAAATTTTAGTTACAGCTCAACAGCCCTTCACCTTTGGTGTTTGTGTACAAGTAAGCATTCATTCATGTTTACCATTTCAACCATTCTACTCCTATCAGTTTCACACTCACATATTGTTGTGTCCTACCCCAGGGGGTTCTATTCTGACTCATCCAGCTCGATCACACACACACTCGAGGCCATTACGGATTTCAGTACATCTCAAAACTCCATATCCGAAAAAGACCAAGCTCACATGCGAGCATGCGCACTACATACATATGGTCCATGTCCAGGACATGACAATTTCCCCCTCACGAGGTTGAGGTGAAGCATCTAGAACTATGCAATAGTAAACATATCAACATGCAATCTCAAAACTCACAACTGCCGAGATATAATATTTCATGATACACTATACACCATATACACACCATAAATATATAATTATATACAATATCCAGCAGAGTCCAAAATATATCATTTAAACTCCACAGACTAGAATAGGTCTATATGAACTGTGTGTTCTGAACGTCAATCCTTGAAACGAACTGGTCGAACAGTAGCGCGGGTTGACCGTCGTTCAGCTTGCGGTGACGACGTCTTGCTGTAGCTGCACGTGAAGTGCTAACCGACGCAGACTCACTAGTACTGGTTGTTGCCAAGACCGGCGCGCCTAGCTCCGCTGCCGTGACACTGGCGTCGTTGTTGCTGAGTGACGGCTGTGACGGAACCCGAGCTGTTAAACTTGCTCCACTCTGCTCAGACACCCCTGCATCGAACTGAGGGATTTGCCGAGGACGGAGCTGGTTGCGATGGCGTTTCCACATTGCATCACCGACTTGTATCTGATACGTCATCGGACTGAGAACAGCCGTGACCACGGCTGGGGCCCACTTATCTCCTCCTTTGCCGAAATTCAAAGCCAGGACAGCTTGGCCGCACTGAAATTCCGGCATGTGCTCCATATTGTTCTCGTAAACCTCCATGCGAAATGAGGTATGAACCGTCGCAAGAAATTTGCCGTTCCAATGAATGATTGAAGCTCATTAACATTCGAAGGAGCCTTAGCGTCCCGCATTGCCTCAATCTTATCAGCTGTGGGAGCCACACCAGCACTAGAAATCGTGTGACCCAGGTAGGAAATCTCATCCATCACGAAATGAAACTTACTGGGATTAAGCTTCATCCCGACCTCCTGTAGGCGACGCAGTACCCTCATCAGGTTGTTGTGGTGTTCATCCTCATCCTTCCCAGTAATCAGGATGTCATCCACATAGACGATGCACCCATGCAGATCTGCCAATATGGATTCCATTGTGCGTTGGAAAATTGCCACTGCCGAGTGAATGCCAAGCGGCAATCTCACGTATTCATACAACCCCTTGTGAGTAGAGATTGTCGTGTACGGCCGAGAAGCTGGATCAAGCTCCAGTTGGTGATAGGCTTGGGAGAGATCCAATTTGGTGAATTTATCTCCCCCCGACAATTTCGCTAACATTTCCTCAATAGTAGGTAGCGGGTAGTGCTCCAAATCAGACTTGGCATTGATTGAGCGAGAGTAATCAGCACAAATTCGGATACTACCATCCGATTTCAGTACTGGCACAGTAGGCGATGCCCATTTGGAGTGCTCAACTTTGCGAATAACTCCCTCTGCTTCCAATTTCTCCAAAACCTCCTCGTACTTCTCCGTGATAGAGAACGGTACGGGACGCGCCTTGTTGAAAATTGGATCAGAATCATCCACTCTCAGGGTGATTTGAGCCGACCTCAGCTTGCCAACCTGAGTTGTATCGAACAGCTTCTCAAATTCCTCAACGAGAGCTCTCCTCCTACCATCCATTTGAACATGATTGACATTGACAATCTGTTTCCACGGTAGAGTAAATTGGGACAACATATCCCTGCCCAACAATGACGGACCACCATTATCCACCACACGGAGTAGTGTTGGTTTCTCCACACCATCAATGCTGACATTGAACTTCCCTTCACCAATACATTTGATTTCTGCCCCAGAAAAACCGGTCATGCGTACACTCGGTTTGGTTAAATTTGTACGAGACACCCCAAGTGACTCAAAATCATGGACAGAAATGATTGAAATGCCACTGCCCGTGTCGATTTCCATTACAACAGGAACATCATTCACAGCAATTTCCAATTTGTAGGAGGGAACAGATTTGCTCTTCAATTCGCCCTGATCCGAAATGTGGAACATTGGCATGCACTCAAGATCAGGAGATTCATGCTCACCTGCGTCATCAGTCACAACATTGTGCACCAACGCGCCTGACGTGGATTTCTGCCGACAAACACGCTCCAAGTGCCCCTTCCTGTGGCAATGACGACACTCAGTGGCCTTGTGTTTGCACTTATCCGCCAAGTGTTGAGTAGACCCACAGCGGTAGCACAATCTCTGCTCTCGAGATTGATGAGATTGACGAGAAACACCAGACTGCGCCTGCGAACGCGATTCCACTGGCCGGTGATTCACCTTGTGCACTTCCTGCTGAGAGGTCAGCTGCACGGCCGCGCGCGCCGCCGATTCCTGCGTCAAAGCTAGTTTGACGATGTCATTGAACGACTGTGCCGAAGTATCTTCTTTCGTCAATAAGAAATTTCGAGTGGATGAGCTGCTCAAGCCAGCAATAAACTGGTCTCGAAGCGCTCGATCGAGGTGATCAGCAAACTCACACCTCACAGCCAATCTCTTCAGACGAATGATGAAATCCGCAGTCGACTCATTTTCCTTCTGCTTCAACTGATGGAAATTGAACGTCGCCGAAACTTGCGAAATTGCAGGTTGAAAATATTTCCTCAAAAGATCGCAAATCTCCGACAGTTTCTTGTCAGCTACTTTCGCTGGCAAACAGAGGCTCCTCAAAATCGAGTAGGCTTCCGCAGACAGCAAACTCACTAATACAGCCTTCCTTTTCTTGCTGGCAGCCAACTTGTCTGCAGCATTGGCCGAAGCAGCCACGGTTCCAATATCATTGGCAAAAAAATAGAATTCAAGTCTTTCCTCAAACTCTTGAAAGTCGCCGCCGGTAAACGGCTGAAGCGATGATATCCGAGCCATATCTTCGTCGCCAGTTGTTGTGTCCTGCCCCAGGTGGGTTCTACTCGGACTCATCCAACTCGATCACACACACACTCGAGGCCATTACGAATTTCAGTACATCTCAAACTCCATATCCGAAAAAGACCAAGCTCACGTGCGAGCATGCGCACTACATGCATATGGTCCATGTCCAGGACATGACACATATGCACACATAAAACAGCTCCCACTTCCCTCCCTTCTTCTCTCCCAGCACCTTTCACCTGGGCCTCTACTCTCCACACCCACACCCTAGCTGAAACATTTCTCACGTACATGTACATGTCTCACGTTCATCATCTTGTCACTGTTCTACTGTATTTCACAGTTTATCTACTAGTACTCTGTTTCTTGGTGATATGCCCTTTAGTTTTATTGTTCCACTGTGAGGATATGCCATGCCTGAATATTTGGTGAAAGTGAATGAGTAACTTATTTTGGAGTAAAGAGACTTGTTGGAATGTGTGCTGAGACTGGTTTTTGTTTACATGGCTGCGTTGGAGTGTGCGAACACTCACTCATCTTTGCATGTATTGCGTGTACGTATTGTATGTGGAACATGGGTGTGACTGCTCTGCTGGCCAGGAAATCGTGGTTCAAGTGTTCGGCGCTTTGGATTCTATTCATCAGACCTGAGCGAGGTGCAGAACAATGTCAATTTCCCACTCAACCCTGCACTGTATGAGCGTTCGGAGTCATTTGGCACGCAGCGTCTGCGCACCAGCCTCACAGTTCTGTAAGTGCAGAGTCCTGTGTGTGTATGTATATATGTGTGTGTGTGTGTGTGTGTGTGTGTGTGTGTTTCATTCTCCTGGGTGGTTACCAACAGCCAGTGTATGTCGGAGTATGTGGTGTGGTGTGTGTGTAGAAAAAATGGAAAAATGAAAAATAGGGATTCACTGGCCAGAAAAGTCACTTCAAACAGCTGTGTGGTGGATACCAGGCTAAAAATAGTGGCGGTCAATTCATCAGCCTTGCAAGCTGTTGAATGGTGTAATCCCAGCACAAGTTGCTATGTCTAACATAGCTGTTCGCTATCATCGCTTCCGCGATGGGCATGTCTGAGGTCTGAGGTGTGTTTCGGATCTGGAAACTTACCCTTCCTGGTTGACTGGTAACTCTGGTCTGTATCGTGTGTGACCTGGCAATGGCTGTACGCGGTAATCGGTCTCTCAAGAGAGAGAGAGAGAGAAAGAGAGAGAGAGAGAGAGAGAGAGAGAGAGAGAGAGAGAGAGAGAGAGAGAGAGAGAGAGAGAAAGAGAGAGTTTGCCATAATGCAGTCCAGGAATTCTACTCCTAGTACCTGTGACATTGTAGCTACACTGACGGCAACAGAAATCCAACCTCATGGATCTATCAGTTGGGTGAACTGCGTAGCCCTAGCACTGCGAGCAATAGAGCAGTGCAGTGAATGTGAGTCTCCTGTATTCAACGGGTTGGATTTCATTTGCCACCACTGTACACGACGCCTGTGGCATGGAAGCAGACAGGTAGTTCTTGACGTACCCAGTGCATGCGGATTCGTAATATTGCTTGGTAATTAAAATTATATGATGTGTGGTACAGGTCCAGGCGCAACAGCCAGCTGTATGAAGCTTACTTCACTCCACCTATATCCAGCACCTATTCGTTCTTCATCACATGTAAAGACGTGTGTGATCTCTGGCTCAGTGATTCTGAAGATCCGAATGCTGCAAAACAGTAAGTTCTTGTATGTGTCATGCTGTGGGTTGAATATCGTGCTATCTAAATTTGAACGCATGCATTCCAGCTGCTTTTTGTGCAATGTGGCCATCAATATGTCATTGGCTGTGGCTGTGCCAGTAGTGGTGGGGGTGGTGCTGGTGCTGTAGATGTGATTTTGCTTACTGTCAAGAAACAGTAGCCGAAATAGTGATTGAAATCGTATAGGTTTGCAACGAAGAGACCGCTTGCATTTGTGACGGTGCAGGGTTTGTTAATGCTATGACGTGGCTGCAGTAGAGCGTGCGTACCTTAAGAAATGTTTAAAACAAGTGTCAAATCAAGTCGATGGGAATAGCACGAGCTCAAACATAGCGAGCAATCAACTTTTCATTTGTTTGTTTGTAATTTTTAATGAAAGAACCCCAGTCACACTGTCGTCCACTGACCTGTAGCCTGGGTTATTGCCACCAATTATCCCGGTCAAACTATGCCTATTTTCAGACTAACAATGAATGCTGTTTGTGATGTATGCTCCAGGGTGGCACTCGTCACACAACAAAATTCGCTGGGCGAGTTCAGAGGAGCTCGAAGCAGCTGGGACCGTTTCCCTGGCCAGCGCAGTCAAAAGATGGACCTTTTGTCCGGCCGTCGGTATTACATGCGCAGTACAATGAGTGCATTGACTGGAAACCATGGCTTTGTGCAGGTGAGATGGGCACCAGTGCAAGTGGGGATCACTAAGGGGTACTGTCATGCTCAAATTGTTGTTATGTCTACTAACTGACGCACACTCCCTCACGCCTCTCATGTGACCTTGTGTGACAACTGATGGCTTGCACCTCTGTGGTGTCCATGCATCAGCTTTGAAGGTGCATTTCAGCCCACATGCCAACCAACATATTTTGTAAATGGGGTTTCGATAGGGAGCTTGTTTAAGATGCTGAGCTTGTGGCTTGCTGTCATTATTGAAACGGCCGAGCTCACTTGTCCTCCGTGCCCCCCCCCCCCCCTCCCCACAAGATTGCAGCTGTGGCTACACCTCAGACCTCTCTTACACCAAGCTCCGGATGCCGATGATGCCCAAAAACATCCAAGCGTAGTGTTTTTACTTGAACATGCCTCCGGATAGCACACGACTCGTTGTTTTAGAAGTCTGTATTATAATGTTTTACTCTGACTCTGATCGAAATCATCTTGCAGTACAAAGGAAAAGTTCTGCCTCCCTCGAAGCAGAAGCGGAGATTCAAATCAAAAGATCGTGCGAAAGCAGTGTACGCGACTACGCGCATCAGACGTGAATACAACTTGAGGAATGAAAAGCAGTGTACGCGACTACGCGCATCAGACGTCAGCTGACGTGAATACAACATGAGGAACGAATGCGTAGTAGTATGATAATGCACAACAGTACGACAAGCAGTGCTGATAGACACATAAAACGGAGTGGCTCTGCACCATAATCAGTGGGCTGGATATAGACTGTACACGTAGAAAGAGCAAGGGCGTTGGAGACTGAAACACGCAAAAGTAGCCTGCGATTGAATCTACAACCTTGAAGCCCTAATCGTAGTGTATCATGATCTGCCGGATTGTTATTGAAATATAATTTTCTTTTTATGAGCTGCTATAACTGTCACCATTACTGCAAATGTACAAAATGTAGCCTATCGTCGTTTTTGCATAGTCCTTAGCTGTCTCCCATTCGTTCTGAATACTGATGTGTAGGTGGCAGCTCATATTTACAACACATCGTACTCCTACGCCCATACGCATCAAGCACAGCCCGAGACGCAAGCAATCAACATCCAGGCCACGCACCAGACCGAGGAACAGAAGCTGACAATCGTCGCTGACCTGCTTCAAGGCACGGAAAGCGACTCATTCCTGGTAACCATTGGTGGCAGGACTACCGGTGCACTTCCTGCGATCAACTTGACCACTACTAAGGGTAATTATTTCCCAACAATTCACATTTTAAATAAAAGTAGAGCAAGTTGTAATGCCGCTAGAGGTATGTTATAACCCTTTGTGGATGAAATAGCCTGTCTCAAGTTGTAGGGAAATCACAATGCATGCCGTATTCTGCAATGAGCATCAACGACATGCGGCCCAAGTACATGTACGTGGAGAACCAAGAACCCATCGTGCATGTACATGTATATATACTTGAAAAATGTACGGCGATGTTACCTGAACGTGTGCATCAGTAATACCTAGGACTACACAAGCACTAGTAGTGTCTGTAAACTGATGCATGTGTGTGTGTAGATTGCACTACCAACTGCACACACTCTTCAGACCACGCAACTGGGACTGCACCCAGCACTGTTGTAGTCGGTTAGTTGGACTCGGATGGGGCTACAACCGCACCACTCCTGCAGTGCACAGAAGTGACCGAGCATTCAAACCGTTCACATCTGCGGACGGTGTATGTTTGCTTTACAGCTGAAGAAGAACTGTACAGCCTTTTGGCCGCGGAATGCGCGGACGCATCTGGTGCTCAATATGCTGGCGCACAGTTCGACTTCTTTGACATGGACTCGTTTGAGCGGAGGTTTGACGCCGCCGGCAAGGCCGTATATGGTGACAAGTTTGGCAGCCAGGACACATGGATTGGCGAGGGCGAGCCAGCCATTGCGTCGGACAATGCCTTCTGCGGCCACAGCTTTCTACGGGTGAGCTGCTCTATTATGTGGCGATCTGTGATGCCATAGTACAATGCATTCACTTCAAACTGCTGACAGATGACAAAGATGAGTAGGTACAGGGACGTCGGACACGGTACGGTCACTACGGTATTGACCGTACCACTCTTTGCCCCAAGTACCCCGTGAATCAATACATTTTATTTTTATTTTTAAATGAATCAATTCAATGCACTGATCTGGGCTCTGAATTTCCAAAATTGTCGGTTCAGCCACCCCTCCCTCTTGCGTAAACTGTACATTAGATGGCTGACCGTACCACACTAAATTACCTTCCGACGCCCCCGAGGTTTCCAAGCCGTGTTATGGCGGGGAACATTGCCAACACAAGCAGAGTAAGCATGACGTGTACACGAAGTGCACTAGATAGTGAATCAGAGTATGGTTGAAGAGCGCCCCTGGTGTTTTGAAGAGAAGAGCAACACTGCCAAGTGCTCCGCTGTTCAAACGATGAGCATGTCCGATCCAAGCTGATGGTGTATGGTCGGAGGACTCCTGTTCATGTCAGAAGCTATGATCGTTTTTGCTGCTCCACAGCTTGGCAGCGGTACTCATATCAATTTCCGCCAATCAGGACACACCGAGGATAGTTATGAACAGCATGTCGGGTGAGTGAGGCCGTTTGCTGCCGTTTGCATTCCACATGCATGCAGTAGACATCCTTACTCGGCTTAATGCGTCATGTAAGCATCAAGCCCACACAAACTTACAATACTACCTGCATGCAGTGTTGAAGGTCCTGGACTATCGTATCTTCTTGAACTGGCACTTGCACGGGCACTTGTACGGGGTGTGCTTCTTTACCAATCTACACGTTCAGTGCATGCCTTCTATTGACACGGTACCTACCCTTTATTGACAGTATACCTAGGATAGCGGGAAACTCTTTAGGCCACCAGACGAGCAGGTTTGCATGAGGAGAGCTGCATAGCCAGTGGACTATTTGCCAACATCATTGCTGCATCACTGGGTATGATGTGCAAACTTTCAAATTCCTCTCATCAGGGCCAACCTTCAGCTCTGTAACTGCCTACAGTCTGTTTCAAAAAGATTAGCAATCAAGTTTGGGTCTTAAAAAGTATGAAGATAAGGGAAATTTGGACAACAAAGTACATAAAATGGCTTGTTAGGGCATGGCAAATTGTTCTGTGAAGGTTTCAGAACAATTGGACCAACCGTTAAGGAGTTAGAATTTCGGCCAGGTTTCTTGCCTTTTCCCATGGTTTATAATTTGCCCTGGAAGCCAGTATCGATTTGTTATCAAAACCCACGATTTATCCCTTCCTTTTTGGCCTTGTGGTTATGAATGCTGTCTGCTGACCAAGAAGTTGTGAGTTCAAATCCCAGCAAATCTTCAAGTCAAACATTTTTTCTTCATTTTTTCATTGTTTTGGTGATCACGCTGCACTGGTACAATGTTTGTACAAGAGTAAAAAAAAAACAAGAGTCAAGACAAAGAAGGTGGCTGCGCCAAACGACTTGTTGTTGGAGCTCGCGTTTCCTGCCGAACTGACTGACACTTGACTGGCCATGTGAAGTTGTGAACACACACAACACTGAAACCGTGTGAGTGAACACGGAAGTCACTGCGCTCATGCGCTGTAGCTACGTGTTGTTGAATACACCGGCACATCGATCGATCGATTTCTGTTTGAGAATTATTTTAGTATTTCAAGATCCCCAATTTATTTGAATTTAGGAGTCAACGCCGTCTTCTATCAGCTTTCACAAGCGTCTGCTTTCTCTCTGTCGTCGAAGTCACACGGATAGCTTTGCCACATCAAGGCCTTGGGAATGAGTCTGTGTCGATGCCGTTTTCGTCACATCATGAGAGTAAATTGCATCCACGGCAGCTCAAAGAATCTATTTGGTCACAAAACGAATTGGGACGCATCCCGCTCGTCAAAATTTACCAGACTTTCGACATGTACATGTCCTCTCTGACTCCATATCGATACGAGGAAGAACTCGTTTGTTGTAAACCAGACGAACACAAAGTCATGTACGAGTACCGACGTCAGTGAGTTGTTATTTTTCATGCTTTCGCGCGGAATATTTCTTCGAGTTCACAGTGAGTTTTTCCAGGCAGCCCTCGAGCGCTCATACGGTAAGACGGCAAACTCCCCGGGCGATCGCCAGGATTGCTAATCTTTTTGAAACTGACTATAGGTGCTCACTGATAAGGACTGTATCAGCAAGGTTCTCACCACTTTTTCTATTTTTTCATGCATTCATAGATGGCGACCCAGTGAATATCCTCATGTATGCATGGGATACCGTATACAACCTGGGGTGACTGTCTGGCTGCTGATCAAACTGAAGACACATGGCTGGTATGCGATTACCGTGGCGAGCGATGGCCTGCAGCCCGCGCCGTACTCGTCCCTTCCACAGTGGCGCGAAAGCACCGGCGCACCGCTCATGACCGATGGCAGGTACGGGATACTTCAGCAGCAGCACCAGCATTGTGCGTGCAGGATTGTACTCTCCTTGCATGGCCAACGCCGATCATAGCAATGCTCTTCTGCTCCATTTTGCTGTGTTTAGAATGGCGGGTGTAGAAGTATATTGTGCTGGACTGGTTAGGTGCGTGACAGCGTGGGGAACCGGAGTAGGGGAATTAGTCTACAAGGCGGCTCAGTTCGTGCTGAAGTACTATAGTTACCCAAGTTGAATGAGTAGATTGGCATTGCTTGAGTGCCAGTTGTATTCCTGTGGTTAGTTGAATACTGCATTCTTTCCGAGCCGTAGCTCATTTGGCTTCCTGCTGTGTGCCTTTCGTTTGAATTTCTGCGAAACAGCTGGCATTATTCCTGTTATGATGTTGACTTGGGCCTGACTGCCGGCACGTTCATTAGCAGTGAAACGCTGCTAATTGAGGAGCAGGCGTTCAGGGTCTCTGTACCGCCGGGAAGTTCTTCCTCTGCTGGCTTTGACCTGGACGAATTCTCCATCACGTCTCTTAAGCGACATGTGACGCAGGTATGGTATTGTATGCCACATGGGATCTTGTAGTTGGCAGATAGTAGTGCTTGTGCGTTGGGTGTCTTTCTTTCTCCGTCCAGTGTGGGCATACTGTGACGCAGGGTAGTTAGAGTCTGAGTTGACAATTGGCCATGACAGTTATAGTGAAAACTCCTTAGTCCACATCTCATGAATCATCCCCGTAACGTGGTTACCAAGCGCAGGTGTTCTCATTATCCAGGGTGGTATGACTGGAAATTACACCCGCTAATTGCCCGCTTCTATGTCCTCTGGGATGGATGCTGGTCGCTTTCAAACAGAGCGGTTCCCTTCCAGCTTTACTGTATACATGAGAAGCTAACACAACACGTTCACTGTAATGTGTGCATGGCTGATTGTGTTGCTTTAAAGTAATTCATCCTGAGACCAGCTGCAGTGATGCGTGCATTTTCTTATCACATTTTCACCTACAGACCAACGCTGCAGCTAACTTCCACGGTGTCCCGGTCTCGAATCTCACAACTGAAGTGACTTCTGTTGTCTCAGCCGATGGCAGTACCCAAACGACTAGCATTTCCATCAAGTACCCGATGGGTGCGTGCAATTTTGCTAGCTTGCCTCCAGCCCAGGTCAGTACGCAATCATCAGCTGTTACACTGTCTCCTCCGGTCGTTGTGAATGCCGTCAGCGTTGCCATCAATGGCGTCGTGCAGCTACAGCTCTTCAATGGACAGAGGTTCCAGCTTTCGCACAGAGCCGAGGCTTCGGAGGTAGGTCAGATCGTAGGTCGCCTCACAAGTTACATGTATCAGTTATTCGATCCTTATCATCTTGTGTTGCCTGTGAAGCACAGCGGTTTCATGGAGTGTACTATAGCAGAACCAACTGTACACTATACCTTCAGTCTTTCAGCAAATGTACAATTTTATCTGGCGTTGATCACGTGGTGAGTGACTCGTGTTGTTTTGTTCTACGCTGTGACTGTTCTTGCAGCTGAAAACACAGTTGGAAGCACTACCTGGCGTTGGCAGTGTCGATGTCACGTACCGCGCGCATGACTCCATGATGTGTTCCGGCGGAAAGTGGAGCATAGAGTTCCAATCGCAACCAGGTGACCTGCCCGGCATGAGCATCTTATCTCACAACGTGTCTGGAACTGACGTGAAAGTAACCGTGAGCCAGGTTAGTCTCGTTGTGTCCGGTTTGGTTTCAACCCGCTACTCAGCACACTTTCTGACTTACCCGGTTTTTACAACTGGTAACGTTGGCGGCGTGGATTGGAGCTTATAGCCTGGCTGAAATGTTTTGCCGCTCAACTGTGTAGACATACCATCCACAGCCAAACAGGCATGTCATATCAATTTATTGTGTCTATAACTTTCCGGCTTCGAAAGCATGAGTGTCCAGGTGAGTGTTTGCTGCCATCTTGCCAGGTGCATCTTTACCACCATAATATTCTACCATGTAGCCATAGAAAATACTACCCCCGGCCCACACACAACCATATACACGACAGTGCCAGATTCGGATTACCGTATTATCGTCTATTGGTGTATTTGAAAACGGCTCTCCTGCCGCCGCGGACTTTGTGTTTGCTCTGGTTCTACTCTACAGGATGTTAATGGTGGTATCTTCTTAGCACCAATTCCAGGTGACATGCTGATGGCTGTCGAGGAAGATCCACAGGTTAGTGGCAATGAAAGCAAGCTAGGATTGCCGCCTGTAGTGGCAATGAAAGCAAGCTAGGATTGCCGCCTGCCTCGCTGCTTGGCTCACTGTAGTTCACTGCCAGATTGTACCAGGGTATACCAGGGTACAGGACAACTGAATAACCTCAGATTGTACCAGGGTACGGGGCAATTGAATAACCTCAGATTGTACCAGGGTACAGGACAACTGAATAACCTTGTGCATTTCGAAAGCACAGTCTGCACAAAGATGAATGCAGAGCACATGGGTAACTAATGTTAAAGATATGCAAACAATTTCCCAACATGCATGTGCATCATGGCTTTCAGGGACTAGTCAACAATGCATAATATTATGTGCTTTTCCAAGTACGAAATAGGCTTGAGTCACTACTCTGCTCTACTAGTCTGATGAGCCTTCAACTTGTTTTACACCATCCCCAGGCATATGGTTTGAACCAGTCTTCCATGTCACCTGCTTGTTTGTGCCGTTGATTCAGGTGACAGTGACAGTGAATGACATACCGTCGGCTTGCTCGGCATCCACACATCTCTACCCCACCTTCTATTCCAGCCGCACTGCATGTGCTTTCACCTATGATGCCAGTGCAACGCCCAATGCCACGTCCGTCTCGCCCCAGTCGGGCTCTGCTGGCGACATGCTCACAGTCATGGGCAGCTCGTTTGCGACGACCGCAGCGGAGAACGAGGTGTTAGTTGGCGGTCAGACTTGTCCCATGATCTCTGCCTCGGCAACGGAGCTGCGCTGTACCGTGCCAGGTCTTGCGGCCGGCTCTCACGTTGTGTCGGTGCGAGTGCCAAGCAAAGGCTACAGCACGTCGTGCGCGCTTTGCTCTCAAGCGCCACTGCTCTTTACCTCCACCGTCAAGCTCAATACGGTTTCGCCTGCATCTGGCAGCTACACAGGTGGCACAGTGCTCACGCTGACTGGGGGTGGGTTTCCTGCGTCGGGTGACGTCAGCGATATCAGCGTGGACGTTGGCGGAGTGGCATGCACGGTACTGAGCGTGAGCCTCACCACCGCACAATGCAGAACCAATGCAACAAGCAGCGGTGCAGAGCAGCTCAACGCGGACGTGACGGTCACGGTCACACAGAACTCGACCAGCCGGACGTCAACACTAACGTCTGTCTACTCCTACGCTGCTGCCAAGACACCACAGCTGGCTGGTATTTCTCATTCAAGTGGCAGTGCCGGTGGCGGTACTGTGATTACCATTACCGGTGATTTGAAGAACTCTACTGCTATGGATATCGTACATGTCAAGGTAACGCCGCTACAGCTTATAATTGTGTAGGCGCATTTCTCCTTTCTGGTATCTTTACCTGCAATATATACTGATGGTCTTTGGTGCGGGGTTTGATGTTGGATGATGCCATGCCCAAACTCATAATTTACCGTGACAACGCCCGTCAAGAGTGTCTGATTGCACTCATGATGCAGGCAGGCTTCACACAGTCACAGCGTAACTCTCTTGCACTGATAATACTTGAAGCAATACCAGCCGCTAGACTGTACTAGGCTTGTAGCCTGTGAGTCACTTCTGAACCTGTGCTATGCCATTCTCCTAGTTCTCGGCTATTCTTGTTTCCATTATCTACTTGTGATGTCGGGTTGTGTTGTAGATTGGTGAAGCGGAGTGTAAGATTGTCAATGTCACAGGTCAGTCTGTCACCTGCACTACCCAGCCGCACAAGCCCGGTTCCTATGCTGTCACACTCCTGAAGAACATTGACGGCCTGGCTTCGTCTTCACTCATCTACACGTACGAGCTGGAGCTGGAGTCCATCTCCCATGTCTTTGGGTAAGCAGAATATTTTGCACACTACTTGCAGTGATCAGGTGATGTACACGAAGAGATTGAGTTTGGATTTTCTCCAGCTTGGCTTAGCTCAAGGTGGAGTATCTAGGAAAAGTGATGTGCTTATATCGGAGTATACGGACGACCCCCCCCCCCCCTTTCCGCCGACGACCTTGAAAAAATTAATTGAAAACATATCTCGTTTAGACATATACATGTACAATAATAGTCATGCATAGGCATGTCGTGTATTATGGTGTGATTATGTACGTGTAGCCTCCTCCCCCCCCCCCTTTCTTTTTTGAGAGCCTGTCTACGTGCCTGATATGTTATTGCCTTTGTTGTCCGGGAGCAAAGCAGGTGTTTTTCGTCACAATCAACTTTTGTGTCATGCCACTCCATACACAGTAATTGTATGAGGCCAAATCTTGAACTTCACATCGGCTTGTTGCCTGCATTGGTGTAATGTGCAGGTCCGTATTTGGTGGCCAGATGATTAGCATCGGTGGCAAGGGATTCCAGGAATCCAGCCAATTGCAAGTGAAGGTTGGACAGAAGCTTTGCCGTGTGGTGAGAACGACAGCCACAAACATTGAATGCCGAACCCCGTCAACCATTGTCCACCATCAAGTCACCAACAATGCGTAAGTACTACGTGAAACTTGATGTTCCAGCTAAACAGACCTTTGCCTCTGGCGTGTGTAAGTATTAACTTGTGTAGTTTAATCAGGTTGTTGTTGATGCTAGCTGCGTTTGTAGCTGCATGGTTGCACGTAGGTCGAGGAGAGAAAGGAAAATCTTTGTCAAAGAGTAACTCAAGACTCGAACACACACGTGGACACACACCCGCAAGCCTGCTCACGGATGGATGCATCATTGCATGTCATTAGACATGCCCCCCCCCCCCCCAACTGGCACACGTGCATACACACGTGCACACATACACAATGTCATGCAGATGCGCAATGTGGACAGAGACTGGTGCGATGGACTGCGGCACTCTGTGATCACGATGACTAGTTGCTTTAGGGTAATGCCATGTACTGAACGTGTATGTGTGTGTGTGTCTGTGTGCTTTTGTTCTTGCAGTGAGAACCCAGTGTATGGTTGGGGCTATGCGTGGGATAAGTCCGATCTCACCGTACGCCAAGGTGACAGCGTCAGGTGGAGCTGGACCGGTTCCAAGTTTGCTTCTCTGCGCGGTGTTGCTCAGGTATGGAGCCCTGCATTTGTTTCACATACCTTCAGCTGTCTTATTCGTGCTAGCAGGGTTCACGCCATTGCCAGCACATTTGTAGAATGCTCCCAGATCCCCGCCACCCTTACGAGACATGCACGGCTATGCATGTATGCTTCATGCAGAGGTGTAGTCAAGCAGGAAAAAAAAGGAACCATAGATGTGTTGGTTCCAGTGTGGAATTGCTACTCTCAGTGTGCCATGCTTGAGATTTGCTTACAATGCCTGATCCATGGTCAGTATCGTGACTTTCTTATGGCTGTGTGTGTGTGTGTGTGTGTGTGTGTGTGTGTGTGTGTTTTAACAGGTCTATAACGCCACAGCTAATGAATATGAAGGGACTGGCTTCAGGAGTGATCGATCCACAGAGGGCGACTTCACCTATTCCTTTACCAAGCTTGGAACAATCTACTACGTGTCAGAAGGATTTGGCCATATTGGTGAGTCGTTTGTACATACATATTTTGTTAAAATAATGGCCATGCACCCTTGCTTATAGACATGTAATGATGTAGTAGCCACGCATGTACGTACATGTACGCCCTTTGCTTATGGTGGTCATGCATGGGAGATTTATATACCAGATTCAATGGAACATTTATTAGACATTCAACATTCAGAGTAGTTGCATTCAGAGAGCATAGTTCGACTTGAGAACATTGTGATGGCTATTTCACAATTTTTGTAGAGCTGGGTGTCATACCTCCCTCCCCCCCCCCCCCCACACACACACACACGCACACCTCATCCTATGACGACCAGTTTGTAAACAAAGATGATTATTTGCCGCTCCATTCACAGGGCACACTTGGGAAACTATACCTGTACTTGCATGTATAAGTGTACCAGTGCATGGTTAGAGCGGCCGGTTGGATCATGCAACTTCTGATGTGCACTGTGTGTGCCCCTCTTTCTTCCACACTGTCAGGTTTCCGGGGTTCTGTGACCGTGCAACCCCAAGAAACATATCACACTCCAGTTGAGGTTCACCTCAATGGCATCAAGGCTGTTGCCAGCCTCGCGGCGCACACGAGCGAGCAAACTCTGCGCTCTGCCACTCAACTGGGCGGCTCTAACTGCCCGGGAACACCGACGTACAGCCAATCACCGAGCTACCTGCAGTACACCTATTCTCTGTGTCACACGCCGTGGATAAACCGTGTCACATCGTCGTCGGCGTCCACAGCGTTTGTCAGCGGTGGCAATGTCACACTCCACGGTACAGTGTTGCCACGCACCGACCGACAATCACAGCATGTCACGATGCTAATTGACGACCTTGCCTGCGTTGCTGGATCCACTAGCAATGGGTTGACGACGCCCTCGATGTCTGTGTCTTCGGTGGCAGAGGCAGATGCCACTGGTGGTAGCAACCTGACGTGTCATTTGCCTTTCATCACTGCTGGATTCTACCGCCTGCGCTTCCATGTGGAGTCACTGGGCTGGGGCTTTGTTGTTGATGATGGCGATGTCCTACTTGTTGCTTCTTCATTCAGTGTTGATGAAACGGACCCGCCACAGGGTGCTGTGCAAGGCGGTACACGCCTGGTCATTCCAGGGAGTGCCTTTTCCGGCCTCTCTTCCGTGGGAAATCAGGTCTTCATTGGCAATACGCCGTGTGATGTGACGTCCGTGGAGAGTGGCGCTTCCGGAGAGCCACACGGATCATTGACATGCATCACGCGACCAGTCATCGACGATGGCTATACATCAGTTGTACTTCTGTCTAAGCCTCTTGGCTACTGGCAGTTTAATCTACAAGGCGCCGCCATACCAAACTTGGGCTCGCTCGGCGCTTCAGCCAATGCTGGAGTAACTGGAGATAGTAAGTGGAAATGGAAGTCAGTTGCAGGCATACACTCGGGTCCCATAAAACCTTCTCCTGCAGCCAAGTTTAACAACACGCTTGTCACCGTTCCCTATCAAGCTGATCTCTATCCCAGCGGAAGTTTTGGTGTTGCCCTGTGGGTGAAGCTTGAGAGCAATGATACCATGTATGGTCAGTATCGGCAAATCATTGGTAGCAGCGAAGCAGGAGATGTCAGCCGTGGATTTTCACTCTGGCTTTCGCCGTGCGGTGATCTTGAGTTGTGGCTTGCTACCGGTACAAGTGTTCAGGAGCAACAAGGCGACAATTCCACAATACTCTGCAATCCCATCGCGTTAGGGAGCGAGAACTTTACGGATATTGTGGACGAGTGTGAGAACAATGTGACAGTGTGCGTGGGAACACGACTCGTTTCCCGCGGTCCCAGCTTTCTGCCGGTGGGCAGTGACATGAGCCAGCTACCAGTGGGTGTCTGGTCCGTGTATAGCCAGGGCGTCCAGGACCTCACCTCCTGGACATACGTATCGTTCGGCTTTGAGAAAGAAGTGGCGCCAGCTCAGTGTATGGACACCGGTGCCTGCCATGGTCACATGCTGTTCAGTGCGGGAACAGGTGCATCGGTGCGGCACCCTATGGCATACCTGCCAGCCGCATCGGCCATTCTGGAAATCGGTGGATCGGCACAGGTCAGCTACAGCGAGCCACCACTGGCACGGACTACTCTGCCGTTCGTCGGTCATCTAGCCGAAGTGTCGTTGTACGAGAAACCTGTTGCAGACAATGCACGTATACAACAGTATCACTATGGCACTACCGATGAGCAAGCAATACATGTACTGGTCGAGGGACAGGATCGGCGTGGTGTTGGCGTTACCCCCGAGGTCAGTATAGTCAGTATAGTGTCTGTGTTCTGCGATTGGTGCATGTAGCTACGGTACCAGCTATCATAGTATTCACTGGGCGTGCTACAGGTCATTTATTGATCCTAGACGTTCAAAGGTGAAATATTCTTCTGTTCTTTTTTCGAACATTGCTCTATCTCTACTACATGTATATGTATGTAAGGTCCATGGATGAAGTCTTGTACATGTGAATGATTGCAAGGTGCGGATGTACAATTGGGTATTTTGCAACCAAGACTCATATGAAAAGAATGCATATGTAGTATGGCACGAATTCTCGAAGAAAGCTGCACACGCACTTGATTGTGATGCAAATGGTTGCGGCATCCTCTCAGACTTGGCCAAAGGGGTCAAGTCGTCGCCAGACAACACCAGGGCATGATTTTCGACAGACAAATGTGCCGTCTATACTCTAGAGAATTTGTCAGGAACCTTCGGAAGGAATTGTTGTGGGTTTTGCTCCAACTCCAGGTGGTATTTCCACAGCAGATTGCTCCGTACAAAGACACACAGATTGACTGGGATGCACCAGCTTCAGCGAAGGTGTCAATCAACGAAACGGATAGACTGGTTTTCCAATGGACCCGGTAAGTGTGGTGCTCTGTTTGAAGTGTGAATGAACTGGTATTTCTTCTTAACCCTTTCACCACTGTCGACGTATATATACGTCATGACGTGTGCACCTGCCCCACTGACGACGTATATATACGTCCGCGGTGTACGTCGCGTTTGTACTGATGCCTCAACATCAGTGGGGCCTGGAACGGTTCCTCAGTGGGCTGAAGGACCTGATCGACGTGTATGCAGCGTATGTGGCCAGTCTGCACAGCAGAACAGCCGCGAGCATCGAGTTTGAAGTGCGTATTTTGGCATATCGTTCAAATAAATTGTTTTGCTCCAAGTTCGTTTTCGTCATCTTGCCCTGCTGTTTCTCGGCAAGGTAAGTAGCTCAACTACTCTGTGTCGATGGAAGGAGTCCTGTGAAGCAGTGTGAGGCGGGTAATGACTCTGAGGATGATTCTGGAGACAGCGAAATTGTGTCGGAGTCTTTTTCTGAGGATTACGAATTTGCTGCTATTCAAAAGATCGCAGCTGGCTCAGACGCAGGGGATGCTGGAGACCAAAGAGATTTGGAAAGCGATGCTGAAGTCTCTGACACCTAGGCATGGTGTTCTGAGTAGGAGCTATCTGTCGTGAGCCCGTTTGCTGAAGTTCCTCAAGTAAACTGCGATCCAATTTGAAGGTCAGATTTTTGAAAATATTTGAATTTGAAATCAAGTGTACTGGTCAGACATGCATGCAGATCACAATAGAGATGTGCATACATGTAAGTATTGTATGTTGAGTACAGAGCCAAGCACCTACAGGATGGTGATTGCTATCTAATATGAATCCAGAATAATCCCGAATAGTCAACAATTGTGCAATTTTGAACCACTATCAGAAATTGCACAGCCGATTGTTTCTTGAATTTTCATGCGTATGTACACCGGTACGCAGTATGCACTCGGCTGTTTAGGGAATGCTTCAGACTATTTTGGTAGCTGGATTGTCTTGCCAGTGAGTGTCCAAATCAGAGAATGAGCTGTATTGCATTCTCTATGAATATGACTTTACCTGTGCCGCGTACGTACGTACGTACGCGTGTGGCCAGTGATGATTCAACCCGGGATGCGCCGAGCACAGTGAGCCAACCGCTGCCACTGCACTGGCTGCTATTATAGCCGATGCAGTTGCTGTGGTTGCTACTCCAGTTATTCGGCATCCTCACTGTCCATCACATGGTTTTGTCTTGAAGTAGGTAGGGCTGCTGGAGGATTCAAGCTTTACGGGGTGCCCAAGAAAAAAGAAAGACCCATTCTGGATCGCGCAGTCGCATATGATTCAAGCGCCGTATAAAACGAGTTGTTGTACTCTAGTCTAGGTTGCCGTAGAACACCAGGATCATATCAAGCTTGTTATATGACATTTCTCCATTCTGAAGTCAACACTGACCAGTTATAGCACTGCTTGCCATTGCTTGTCTGATCTTTGTCGTCAATTGCCTAAATTGATTGAATTTTGAGGAAAAATCGCCAAAAGTCGCATATCTAAATATGGTGTTATGAGTCTCGTACAATGAAATCCTACAAAATTTCTTTGGATTCACAGTGCATATGTCCATACCCAACATCTCCAATCAATTTTGGACCAGAATATGCATTTTCAAAAAATGCCTTTTTTGGCCCAGTGGGAGGTGATTTTCCGGTCAGGGCTGAAAGGGTTAACCAATGTCTATCCGGTTATGCATGTGCTTTTTGCACTGATGTACTAGTACATCAGTGGATATCTGCAGGCATATGTATGCCTAGTGTAGGTATTAGATGAGTTAGCTTACTCATGAATCTTCTAAGAATTTTACAGTTGCCATGGAACTCTGTCAGGAAGAATGATTAGACTTTGTCAGGTATAACTGTTATCATCGGCGAAACAGAGCGAAGACCACCTGGTGATTTTTGTGCGGTTATTGCTTGGCACGATCTTGTTTATGTAGGTTGAATGACATTGTTCAAGTGTCATCTGATGCTTTTGAGCAATGCAACGCCATGCTGCAGCCTGCCGTGAAGACTTGGTCACAGTTGAACAAAGGAGGGCACGTCATCATCAGTGGGCTTGCCAATGGTCACACACATTACTTCATAAGTTCAGCGTACGGTGCGTGTTTGCGCGGCGTCAAACTGCAGGTAAGGTACTCCTGAAAAGTGCAACCATTCTTACACTTGAAGATTCCAAGCATCCAAGCAAGTGTCTTTTCATCAGCTCCATGATAGTACATGGCCAAGTTGCCTTCGCATGTAGAATTCAGTTTAGTTCATGCGCTGTTGTTGAACAATGCACTAAAATATGTTTGTAGGTCCTCACACTCCGGAATGCTGCAATTTGCATTCTATTACTTCGAAGTACCTGTGCAATACACATGTAGCCTAGTATATTGAACAAGTGTTTTAACCTGTTGCGGCATGTTTCATTCTCTTCAGGTTGTAGTTGGTCACCAGCAAAGCATCGCTTGGAAAATTGGGACTCAATACTCTGACATCTCCGTCAGCAAAGGAACTGGATTGCGCTTCACGTGGGACACGTCACAGACGTCCGGTACTCTGCACAACCTTGTGGAGGTACGAGTGCAAGAGACGGAAAGAGGGTGGTTGAGAGTCACATGCCTGGCCATTGCATTACAGCCAATGCATGTGCGCATGCCTGTGTGAAAGCAGATATTGGGCGAAGCAGATAAGCAAATTTTGGTGGCCTTTTATGCACAGCGAAGCTTGTGGAGACGAACTTGTTCAAATTTCTTTATCTTGAAGGTGAAAGAAGTTTCACCAAAGGCGCACTACACACAGTTACATTATTTTGTAGTGATGTTGCCTGTTCTTTCTGATGCTCTGTTACTAACTTGCTGCCCCGCAGTTGAAGAACCGACCAGCACTGGACGAATGTGACACGTCTGGCACCGGCGACTCTGTTCTCAAGCTCTGGTCGCATCCGGACAGCACGCAAGGTTCGTCGACTCGTGGCCAGGTGGAGGTGACTGGCTTGATGCCCGGGTGGCACTACTTTGTTTGTTCCGTGCCCGGACACTGCAATGCAGGCATGAAGATCGCCGTCAACGTGCTTCCCGAAGCCACTGGACAGCAGACTGGCCCAGGGGCAGTGACTTTAACTTCAGTATGTAACGCACGCACATGCATGAACACACGCACGTATGCACGCACACGCACATACTATACTGGTTTGACATTGCTGCAACTTGCAATGTTCAGTGCTATCATGCTGGGTCTTCAATCTGTTTTTTTTTGCTGGTACATTCAAAGCATGCTCTTATTTATTGCTGGTATACACAGATGACACATACACAGATGACACATACACAGATGACACACACCAGGAGATTCTTTTGTATGCGAAGCGGCAGCTCTGCGACACTACTGATAACCATGCATTGCCTTGCACATCATGACACTTGTCATGTCTAGCAGTGCTGGTGCAATGTGAATTCAATTTCATGTTTGTGTGCACGCGTTCTGTCTCTTTCGCAATGCACTGCTGCAGGCCGGCATCCAGCTGCCGTGGAGAATTCAACAGTACTCCATTGTCAGAGTGGATGAGAACCAGCCGATCACTTTCAGTTGGGATGGATTCCACTCCTTACACGAGGTTAGGAGATGCTTTCTACCACTTCATATCTTGCATGATACCCCATACCCAGTGCAGAATGCTTCAATTCGTCTTGCATGGCACCAAACCCAATTGCGGGCTTGAGTGCTTCAATTTGATTGGAAAACAGGCATTGAACAATACCGTCCAGCACGAAAGCAGTGTGTTCTGCGAAATGAAATCCTGGCTTAGCAAAAATCGCTTATGTTGTTCTTGATGCTAATGTGTTTGCAGGTTAGCAAGTCAGGTTACGATTCATGTGATGTCGTTGCTCGTCCACTGGTCGAATGGGCACGTGCCTCCGTGGCCAGATCTCTAACCATCTCCAACCTGACCGTCGGCAGGCACTACTTCCTTTGTTCCGTGTCGGGTCACTGCTTGGCCGGCATGAAAGTGGAGGTGGACGTGCGCAGCAAGAGCCTGGCGCCGCCGTTGAAAGTGCCGATCAGGTCCGTGTGTGAGTCCAGCTCTGGTGGCATGATGGCGCCGGGTTCCCTGGCCTTCTGCTCCTACCGCTACGCGCAGGACAGCACGGCTACGGTTCTAAGCATTAGTGTAAGCGAGGATTTTGTTATGATTTTGTTGTGAGTGCAATCTCATGATACGAAGCACAGACGCCATTGTAGTTTCATTGTATTCGACTTGAATGTGCTTCGTGTGCTGATTTGTTTCCCGATCCAACCAATAATCCAACCGAGAATCTGTTCAATCTGGTGATAGTGTACACTTGCTGACAGTTTTGCCTTTGGATGCAATGCAGGGAATTTTGATCACTAACTTGTTACTCACAGATCAAGTACCTACGTGTGTGTGCATGGCTGTGTGTATAAATGCGCATGGCACCAATTGGCCGTGTGCAACCTCCGAAAAGAGAGCCGGGCAGCAGCAAAAAGCGAAAGAAAGTAAAGAAAGATGCCCACTTGAATTCACCCCAGGCTATCTGCTCAACAGGATTTCTGCTTGCTGGTGTACGTGTGCTGTATTGAATACTGTATGAAAATCATCAGTAGACCAGTGCCATTGATTGTAACAGACCTTATTGAGATGTCTCACCCTGTGTATTGTTGGTGCTGCAGCCAAGCAGTGGACCCCCGGGAACAGCCATCAACATCACTGGAAGATCTCTAGAAATGCCAGGCATGCCACCGGGCTCGCTAATCACACACATGCTGATCACGGTTGGCACGGGGTTGTGTCGTTCGCCCCGTCTTCTCGTGGGCGATGCAGATGGCACAGGCCTCCAGGTGGTCGGCTGTACAGTGGAGGATGCGGACGCTGGCCTGCAAACGGTGACGTTAGTAAACATACTGGGTAAGGCCAGCCACGGGAGCGCCGCATCTGGATCATCATCCAGTCTGCAGTTCAACGTCCAACTTGTCTTAGCAGGCGTATCACCGCCATCAGGAAGCCTTGCGGGTGGCACAACCGTTACCCTAACTGGAACGTCGTTTGCTCATGTTCACAGCAATATCCGCGTCACTTTTGGTAGCAAGCTGGCCAGCGTAATCATGGCCAACACTACTCACATCCAAGTCCTATCACCACAGGTCAGCCACAGCACTGATACTAGCGAGCCGGTCAAACTGGAAATCTCCTCCACCTCGGCAACCTCCAGCTTTGCGTATAGCTCCAGCAAAACTCTCACTATCAGCACGTTCAACATTCCGCAAACGACACCGGGCATTGTGACCTTTGTCACGGACAAGCAGAGTAGCGTTGCATCCCTGTCCATCAAGATGCAAGTGGTTCCTGCTGCCCCTTCAAGTATGGTGTGCACTGTGCCGGATATCCAGATTCCCGTTGTCTCGCAGGGAGGCACGGCCATCGGGGGTAATCTCCCGCCGCTTCAGGTCGGCGCTTACGCGCTGAACGTGTACGTCGACGAGTGGGGACTTGCCGTGTGGCCTTCAGCGGGTGACAACCAGATCACAGTACCGCTAGTGGTGACCGACATGTCTCCTAAACTGATCAGCCATGGCGGCGGAGAGCGCATCACAATCACTGGTTCTGGATTCCCTGGTGATTGTCTAGCATCGGAGCGCAGTGGCACTGTACTGTTCACTGTCCATGTGTGTTCGGTAGAGTGCAAGGTGGTGAAACAGAACAGCAGCCACATAGAATGCTTGTCCCCTGACAGCCCCACAGCCCGCAACAGTGCCAGCCGTGACTTTAGCGCCGATGTGTCCTGTCCCGTGACTGTTCAAGTGGACGGCAACCGTGCAGACTCTCCAAGCAACATCACATACTCGGCGGCGAAGACTTCCATCGTGACCTCGGTATCTCCACGCCGCGGTGGCACTGCGGGCGGTACGACGTTGACGCTGACTGGCACTTTCATACAGCCTTTCAGTACATCAGTGACAGTGGACGGTGTCCCGTGTGCACCGCTGTCCAGGAGTGCCACTTCTATACTGTGTAGGACCGGCGCTCACAGAACTACTCTTGCCGCCGTGGTGCGTGTCTACAGCCCTGGCAATGGACACTCCGTGGAACAGCAGATGACTACGCTGACAAGCAGTACCAGTGTTGAAGGCTCCGGCTACTTCCAGTATGTAGACCTGTGGTCGAGCCGCTACACCTGGGGCAACCTGGATCTGCCGGCCGCCGGCGAGAGTGTCAGTATCCAGCGTGGCCAGACACTGATCCTGGACGCCAAGACGCCGGAACTGAACATCGTCATCGTGCAGGGCGATCTGCTCTTCGACGACTCTCAGGACGTGCTGCTGCAGGCCAAGTACATCTTCATCCATGGCGGGCGTGTGCTGGTAGGTGATGGATGCATGGCGTTGTTACGGTTGTGCGACCACTCTGCTGTGTAAAGTGCACTCACATCAAGAAGTAGTATTGCTAACTTATGCTTACACTGACTTGCCATCATGCTTACACTGACTTGCCATCATGCTTACACTGACTTGCCATCATGCTTACACTGACTTGCCATCATGCACATTGCAATGTCTCAGGATTTGATTTTTTTTAACGGTTTGCATGAGACTTTGCCTGAGCTTTCCATGTTCACAGGAAGTATGCCACCCTCTAGGATCAAGGCGCAGAAGGCTTACCAGATGGAATTGAATCCTGAACTTTATGCAGGGCAAGGGGTGGAGTGGATTAATTGTTGTGGTGGTGTTCACCTTCTCATGGGTCGCCTTTTCAGATGGTGACGTGTCTGCCAAGCTGATCTGTACAGTGCCATCCTACCACTGTATGCGTGTGTCACTTCTTTTCAGGTGGGCTCTGAGACACACCCGTTCCAGCACAAAGCAATCATCCGTCTCACCGGTCATGTACGTGACCCTGAGCTTCCCATCTATGGTGCCAAGGTGCTCGCGTTGCGTCAAGGCCACCTCGAGCTCTACGGAAAGAAGAACAAAAAGACGTGGACACGCCTAGCACGGACTGCATATCAAAACGACACACAGCTTGTCCTCGAGGTGAGTGTGCTCCTATTGTATTTTAGAATCTAGATCCCTGTGCCATCATCGTATTACCAGTCCACTCTAGTTGCGGACCTGTATTTTATACGGACCAGAAAGAAAAATAATAACAGATGTGTCGTCAGTCGGGAAAGAATAATTCCCAGAAATAGGAAAAAGTTTGTGTCGTCTTGATTGGCGTTTTATTTTATAAATGATGTGTGGTGAAGCTCAAATTGTTGTGTTGCACTGCCGTATTAACACAAATCAACAAATCTTTCTGTACAGCAGTTCATTTTAGATTATCATTACTCTCACCCAAAGGCGCATTTCTGCTGTCCTTTTAACGGCTTGATGTATAGCAACTTTGATAGGGTGGGACTGATGCCCCTTGTATATCCATGTAGCCTGCAACACATTGGTTACTGGGGTTCAGGGGTTCAAGGGTTCATAGAGGCTTCATGCATGCATATGCCAGTACGGCTAGCTTGTGCGTAGCTTCTCTCATGCATGCCACTATGTTTGCCATCTTTGCCGTCATTACCAGGATGCGGTGGACTGGAAGCACGGGGACAGCATCGTACTGGCGCCGACCGGAAAAGACAGAAACGAGACCGAGGAGCTGTTTGTGAACGGCACCAGTGCTGATGGTCACACGGTATACCTGGGCTCACAGCTTGCATATACACATCATGGTGAGACGGAACATTTCGGCGGTGGGCACAGTATTGAAATACGGTAAGCACAATTGCTTGGCTTCTAAGGCTTGTTATAATAGAGGAGACAGGTATGACTGATTTTGCTAATGTTTGTGCTTGCCATACTATAGGGAAGAAATTTGTTTTTATTGTTTATTTTTCCTGCCCAGGATAACTGAGTAGTCACTGGCAAAACAACTTCTAGCTCACTTTACTTTGTTCCATTGTCATGTAGAACTCCTGTGTATGGGCAGATAGTCTGGACAGATTGCTGGGATAGGACTCAGTTGATGTCATGGTTGCCGTGATCTTCTGACACATTTACCAAATGTTTCTATTTCTATGACAGTAATAATTGATGGTTTCTTGTGACTCTCACCGCTTCCCTACACGCAGGGCGGAGGTTGGTTTGCTGACTCACAATGTGATTGTTGAGGGATCAGTGAGTGAGGGTTTCCACACCAGTGAGCTGGGTGGTGACCAGTATGGGTCGCAGATCATGATTCATCGGGCTGGCCACAACACAACACAAGTCAGGTCGGTGCAGTGTGTGTGTGTGTGTGTGTGTGTGTGTGTGTGTGTGTGTGTGTGTGTGTGTGTGCGTGCGTGTGTGTGTGTGTGTGTGTGTGTGTGTGTCTGTCTGTCTGTCTGTCTGTCTGCCTCTGTATCTATGTGTGTTGTGGGGGGAGGAGGGATACACTATGCATCATCTATTACAGTGTGCTCACATGCTGGTTATCTGTCACTCAAAGGTACACCGGGCATGTGAAACCCACAAATGTAAATATTTCCACTTTGGGTGCTGTACAGCAGCCATAGCACAGATAATCTAACCTGGAATATCAAAAAGCGAGTAGCCATGATCGGTGCGTGTTTCAAGATTGTAATACGCGACCGAGTGACAAGGCAAAACTGGTTCAGTCTCTCCGGCAAAACACAGGTAGTATTCTCAGGGAACAATATTGCACACACGGAACGACAAACGTAGGTGACACAGAATTACTTATAGTATATTGAAAGACTCAATAAGTGAAGGGAAGACGACAGAAACAACGGACGCAAGGACTCTGCAACAACTGAGCTGGGCAACTGACACATGGATCTATATATATGGTACGAGATTGCCAGTTACAGCTCCGAGCGCTAGCTAGCGAATGAAAGCAAGGGATCTGATGGTGTCAGCAATGCATAGTGCAATACATAGTAATACATAGTGATTTGTGTAGGGGGAAGTCCGTCTACTACGCTACATAGTAATACATAGTGATTTGTGTAGGGGGAAGTCCGTCTACTACACTGCTCCCCCCTCAAATAATTTTCCGTCCTCGGAAAACAAACAAGAACATAATACAGAATTAACGTAGACCTAAACGAGGCTCAAGCAGCAAAATACATCAGCAAGAAAAAGAAAATCATACACAAGCACACAATGGAAACAGAGTGGAGCAGAAAGGCAAGGCAAGTGCGAGTTTGGAACTCATTGTGGGAACACATAGTTGTTCCTGTAACGAACAGGACGACCGGCGTTGCGGTGCAGATGGGCACGCGGACCAGGTGCTGGTGGTGCTGGCTGCAGCAAAACCGGCGGCGGAGGAGGAACAGGTTGGGGTGGGGCATCATCAGCATCAGGCCAGGAGAATAGCGGAACAGGCGGCGGACATGGAGAAGTAGGAGCCAGTGGCGCTTCAGACAGCGGGACATCTGGGCCGGACTGAGAGACTGACGACTTGGCGTTTGAGCGGGCGTGTAGCTTGAGGCGGTTGAAATGTACACGCTTACTGGTGCTGGAGGGTTCGTTGATCAATTGAATGTCGTATGACGTTGGTGGCGACACATGGACAATCCGGTATGGTCCGGTCCACGGTGGCTGGAGTTTGCGACGCATTCCAGGTTCAAGGAGCCACACACTATCACCGACTTGGAATGCAGTGCCACGTTGACGAAGGTCGTAGTGGTCCTTCTGGCTGTGGTGCGCAGCATTATCATTACGACGGGCAGTATCGAAGCTATGGTGGAGGGACTTGGACAGTTGTGTGACATATTCGGCGGGCGACACAAACTCTGTCGGGGGTGACCCATAGACAAGGTCGATAGGCAGACGGAGTTGGCGACCAAACATAAGCTGAGCTGGGGTGAATTGGGTAGAAGAATGCTTGGCTGTACGGTATGCAAGCAGGACGGTTGAAACATACTGATCCCAGAAGGTGGGCAGATCCGCTACATACACTCGCAACGTTGAAACTATGGTGCGGTTGAGGCGTTCCACGAGCCCATCGCCCTGGGGATGATACGCGGTGGTCCGAGTCTTTCGGATATTCATGAGGCGACACAGTTCACTGAAGAGTTCAGACTCAAATTGTGTGCCCTGATCGGTGTGGAGTTGTTCTGGGGCACCAAACCGACAGATCCAGTTCCGAAAGAACACATCCGCAACGGCAGCAGCAGTCATAGTGGGTAGAGGGTACGCTTCAGGCCAACGTGAGAAGTAGTCACTACATACCAGTAGGTAACGGTTGCCATGGCGACTGGTAGGCAGTGGTCCAACGAGATCCATGGCTACGATCTCGTTAGGGAAGCCAGCTCGCATGGACTGCAATGGTGCTCGGCCAGTCGTAGCGCTCTTACGGGACATGCACTCTTGGCAATTAGCTACAAATGTGCGCAAATCAGCTGACATACCTGGCCAGAAGAAACGGCATTTGGCCTTGTCAATGGTCTTTGTAGCACCGAGATGACCACCACTAACATCGGCGTGCACTGCAGCTAAGATATCAGCTTGGAAAGAGAACGGAACAGCTAATTGCAAAACAGAATCAGCCGATGGGTCTGTGCGATACAAAACACCATCACGTAGGGAAAGCAAATGAATTTCAGAAGCATAGCGGCGAACAGCACGGCTAGAGGCAGTTAATGTGTGTGCAGGGGGAGAATTAAACACATCATGACTAGAATCATGCCAGCCTAACACAATGGACACATCAGGATCCTCTTTTTGCGCAGCAAGCAGCTCAGCAGCAGTAAAGCGCGGCAGCCAGGAGTCAGGTGCAGGTTTCGGTACAGTGGGTCCAGGATCACAAGCAGGAGCAGGAGCTGCTGGTGCGGCTGGTGACGACTGGTCCGGCGGTAACTGACGGGTAGTGGCGGCAACAGACTCAGGAGGACGGCGAGACAGAGCATCGGCATTGCAATGTTGACGGCCAGGGCGATGAATAACCGTGAACTCGAGTTCAGCAAGTTGTTCTAACCAACGGGCACGACGACCGCGTGGTTCCTTGAGCGAATGGAGCCATTTGAGAGCAGCATGATCAGTGCGCACAACAAATGCTCGACCAACGAGGTAGTAGCGGAACACATCAGCGAAGTGAACAAATGCAAGGAGTTCCTTCTCTGTAGTGGAGTAGTTACGTTGGGCGGTGTTGAGAATAGCACTACCGTAGGAAATCACACACTCATGGCCATCTTGTACCTGAGAGAGCACACCGCCCATACCAAAATCACTGGCATCAACATCAAGGATGAAGGGAGCGGCGGCAGACGTGTAGTCAGGCTGAGCAAGCACAGGCGCAGATGAGAGGCGTTTTTTTAGTACACAGAAAGCAGCCTGACAAGCAGGACCCCAGGAAAACTTCGCATTTTTCTTAGTGAGTGCGGCCAGTGGGGCGGCAGCTTGCGCGAAGTGCGGAACAAATTTCCGGTAATACCCAGCGAGGCCGAGAAAACCACGCACTTCACGAACGGATGTCGGCGTACGCCAGTGAACAATATCGTGAACCTTCGAAGCTGAGGTGTGAAGGCCATCGGCACTGATGTCCACACCAAGGAACTTAGTGCGGGGCTGCAGGAAAGCGCATTTCTCAAGCCGAAGCTTGAGATTGTACCGACGAAGACACGTGAAAACGGACCGGAGGCCATCCAAGCCAAGACTAACAGTGGCTGACCCAAGGCCAATGTCATCAAAAAACACACGGCAGACGGGATCAGGACTGGTAAGGAGATTATTTAGGATCGTTTGCATCAAGCGCTGAAATGTGGCAGGCCCATTGCAGCAACCCATAGGAAGAACCGTGAACTCGTACAACCCAAGGGGCGTCACGAAGGCTGTTTTAGCTTGGTCTTGAGGGTGGATTGCGATTTGCCAGTAGCCACTAGCAAGGTCAAGTGTCGAGAATACCTTAGAGCCAGAGAACGCGTCTAGGGTATCGTCGACCCGAGGAAGAGGATAAGCATCAGCTGTGGTGATCTTGTTGAGCCGGCGATAGTCAACACAGAGACGCAGAGAGCCATCTTTCTTAGGCACGAGGACAACAGGCGAAGCCCACGGGCTCGCAGAGGGAGTAATGACACCTTTCTGCAGAAGGTCATTGATAATATTCTGGAGCTGCTCACGATGACGGAATGGAACACGGTAAGGTTGTTGTTTAATAGGCGAATGATCACCTGTGTCTATCTTATGTGGCGCAAGATCACAGTACCCATGGTCGTCGGGATGAAGAGCAAATACATCGTGGTACTGCAGGAGAAGGTCACGCAAGGTAGAACGGTCCGTTGGTGACAGGTGACAACAATTCTTTTCGATATACGCATCAATCTTCTCTACTGGGACAGGCGGCGGCGGCATGAACGGCGAATCATCAACAGCAGCACAAGTGTCAGCACACTCAGGGACAGGTTCACATACAGCAATATGAGTATTTGCATGCAAGGTAATCTGGGTGGTACCACGGTTAACCACATTGATAACCAAGTTATCCGGGGACGTGACAGACGTTCCGACATCCAATGTCGGGTGTTTCTCTGAGAACGAATCAAGGGGCTCGATTAGATACGAAGTATCAGCAGCAGGAGAGCCAGCAGCACATACCGACGGGGCAACCGGAAGAATAACTTCATGACAGGGCGGAACTGAAACAGACTGTGTGATGCACACACGGAACGAGGAAGCAACACGAGACACCAGAGATTCAACAGCATTGGCAGCAGCAGCAGGCGGAGCAGCAGCAGCAAGCACGGAGGCAGGGACGGCAGCAGGTACGGAGGCAGCGACGGCAGCAGGAACAGTCGGAGCACTCAGGTCGGGCACGACAGTCGTAACATGGGCTGGTGTGGGCGCGGCAGCAACAGCAGCAGAAAGCGAACGCACACGTGGAAGGGGTACAAGCGGCAATTTAACATCATCCAGGACCAACTGAGCCCGGGAGAAATCAAGCAGGACATTGTGCTGCTGTAGGAAGTCAGCACCGAGGATTACATCAGACGTGATATCAGCAGCAACGATAAAATTCTGAACAGCTACGAACGAGGGTGTACAAACAGAGAGGGACACGGTACCCGTAGTGGAGAGGGGACGGCCCGTCACACCAGACACAACAGGAGCAGCAGACACAGGGACAGAGGAGGTCGTGCACAGACTACGCCACAATGCAGTAGACACAAGGGAAACACTAGACCCAGTGTCAACAAGAGCATGGCATTTCGTCTCTTGGAGACTAACCGCAACATAGACAGACGGAGAAACTGCAGAAGACGACTGAACATGCGTAACAGGACACACAGTCACAGGTGCAGACGTAGGGCAACACACATCAACAGTACAATAACAGGGACGACATTCACAACCAGTACAAGTCGGCACAGTCGAGCTAGGAACACTAGTATCGAAGACTGGAGCTTGCCGAGCAGCACCAGTCAATAGCGGTTTCCCGACGGACGACCCCCACGCGTCGAGTGGGGACAATCACGACGGAAGTGGGACTGATCGCCACACGTGAAGCACCCGCGATCACGCGCGCCATCGTAAAGTCCGCGGCCTGTGCCGTTGTACGGAGGCGGGTTACGATTCGAGCTGCCAGGAAATCGAGTTGGGCCCGATATGGGCGCGCTTCGAGGGAAGACGCTGTGACCACGGCCGCGTGGAGCTCGAGTGTCGTCACTATACGCCCGTGGCGACGGAGCGGAGGTTGCGGAGAAGACCTGTAGATCAGTTAGCTGGTCCGAAATTTTGCTCAACAACGATAGTACGAGCGGGTCGGTGGAGCTCGAAGTCGAACTCGGAGCTACGTGGGCCACGGTGGCACTGGACGTAGGAGTCGGATCCGCGAGTGGACCTACGGAGTGTGCCTGAGGCATAGAGGCGGTCAGGGCAGCGCAGGCTGGTGTAGGAACCGGAAGACTGCGGCGATTCTCGACCTCTAAGATCGCTGCAACTTCGTACGCCCGTCGAACGGCGGCATCGAGGGCTGCAGGGCTGGATGTCCTGATGTGCAAGCGCAGGTCACTATTGACCTGGCCGTCAATAAATTGATTGAGCGTCAGGCGATCTAACAGCGGACCCTGTTGACCTGGAAAGGCGCGTGCCGCAAGGCGCTGAAGAGCTGCGGCGAACTCGGCCTGGGACTCAGTGGATCGTTTCAGGCGAGCTCGAAACTCGGCCTCAAGGAGGCGACTTTGCTGTGGCGGTGCGAACCGTAGCCCTAATTCGGTGCACATTTCTACATACGTATACTGCGGGTGCGCCGCCAGAATGGTCTGGTAAGTTGTGAAAGCACTCTCCTTGAAACAACAAGGTAAAAACTGCAGCCTTTCCGCATCCCGGTACCCATTGACCACGCACGCCGCGTCGAACCTGGCGATGAAGCAGTGCCAATCGTCTTGGCTGGCACCCCCAAACGTCGGCGGTACAACTACCGGCCGAGCAAGTGGTGCCTGTCGAGGAGCCGGAACCTGACCCGGAGCCAGAGCTGGTGCAGCGGGAGCAGCAGCGGCAGCGGCAGCAGCAGCTTGAGGATTCTGTGCCATTTTCGGTGTCTTGTATATAAGGATAACAAACAAACAAGTAGGCCTATAGGACTTCGCAAGCAACACGGGACGCGTTTGAGGACTAAGCCTACGCTATAGCAACAGTTCAAGTACGGCGAGCAGTGCAAGAAAAACTGGCAACGAAGAGCTAGCTTACTTAGGGGACAAGACTACGAATAGATCCAACAAAGTAAGCCTAGAAAAGACTAGCACTACAAAAATGTAAATATTAAAATCGTAAATTGGCACGGAACAAAGTTACTCAGCTTGAGTTGAGACGAGAACGGCAACGGCAACGTTCACTGCACGGCGAAATAACGAGGCGTGGTCCGGAATACTGCGACTGACGAACGCAGAGCTAACACCGCTGCCACCAAATGTAATACGCGACCGAGTGACAAGGCAAAACTGGTTCAGTCTCTCCGGCAAAACACAGGTAGTATTCTCAGGGAACAATATTGCACACACGGAACGACAAACGTAGGTGACACAGAATTACTTATAGTATATTGAAAGACTCAATAAGTGAAGGGAAGACGACAGAAACAACGGACGCAAGGACTCTGCAACAACTGAGCTGGGCAACTGACACATGGATCTATATATATGGTACGAGATTGCCAGTTACAGCTCCGAGCGCTAGCTAGCGAATGAAAGCAAGGGATCTGATGGTGTCAGCAATGCATAGTGCAATACATAGTAATACATAGTGATTTGTGTAGGGGGAAGTCCGTCTACTACGCTACATAGTAATACATAGTGATTTGTGTAGGGGGAAGTCCGTCTACTACAAAGATGCCACCTGATGTCGATGTAGAGATGTAGGTTACTACACACCACCGTTGCAGTTGTCACGTGCTCTTTGCTTCTTGAGATCTGCGTGCGAATAACTTACCTGCGTTAATATCGGCGTGGCCTTGTCCAGGGGCGTGCTTGGCCCCCCAACTAGGGGGGTGCACGGGAGCCGAGGGGAGCCCCCCCGGCAATTTTCTGCAATTTGTTTGCAACCTTTCTTGAATTTTAGAGCATATTTGCATACATTACAATTGCAATTACCCAGATTGAAAAATTTTGGGGGGGGGGGGTGCACGTGCCCCCCGTGCCCATCGCCGAGCACGCGCCTGTTGTCATTGTCTTTGAAACAGATTGTCCAATGTTGAAGTGCGGCACTGTGGCCAGGCTTTCCGACTGGGTCGCTACGCCATCCATTTCCACTTGAGCGGAAATCTGAGCAACTCCTGGGTGAAACAGTGCAGCATTCACCACTCGTTCAACCGTGCCATCACTGCCCATGGAGTTCACAGCATGGTCTTTGAGGGAAACGTAGCCTATGACATCAAGGGTCACACCTTTTTCATTGTAAGTCTTCGTTCAGTGGAGGTAGTGGTGTTCTAATATTCCTGTTACATGGGAGAGGGATAAGTGCTATCGCCTGGAACTTGTGAGCAGTTGATACTCAGTATCTGTGTAGGAATTCACTATCATTGCAGCAATTTGGTGAAGTGATTTCGAGATGAATCGTACGATCTAGGGCTGTTTGTGTGTGTGCATGTCTACAACATCGAATTTTCTCTTCAAGGCTTCAACTAACTATTGTAATATCATTGTTGATGGTCTTGTCCAGATCAGACTGTGCATGATCTAAGAGTGTAGTGCACTAATGTTTACCTTGGTCTGTAGTGATATGCAACTTGTACCTGACTGTTGCTTTCTCTGCTGTTGTAGGAGGACGGCATTGAAACTCGCAACCAGTACTTGAACAATCTCGGAATGCTGACACGAGGTTCCTCCAGCCTCTTGAACACTGACCAGATTCCGGCAACGTTCTGGATCACGAACCCCAACAACATCTTCATCGGAAACGCTGCTGCTGGTTCTCGTGCGTATGGGTTTTGGTAAGATGACAATGCAGTCCCCTGATTTAGTCCTACTCAATGAACTGTAGGGTCTTTTGAATGTCACCTATTACCACGTTATTGCTGACCTGGCTGTGTTAGCCTCCCTCATTCCGCTGCTAGTAGTGTCATTTCTGTGTTAGAATGTCATTTCCATAAGCACAGGTAATCATGCCATATTGGCTTCCTGCATCCAGCATGTCAGAATGTTATTAGACTAGTCTTCTTCATTTCTACTGTGGCTAAGAACAGAGGAAAACAAATCTAACTTCGGGAGTCTCTGTGTTTTCTCTCCACCGTTTCCACTGCTTTCAGGTATGACCTGGATCCGAACTCTTTTGGCCCGTCGTTTTCCACTGCCATATGTCCCAACCAAGAGAAGATGGGAGTGTTTCGGGACAACGTGGCGCATAGCAATGCAGAATTTGGCTTGAGAATCTGGGAGACCTACCGTCCAAAGGTATAGATAGATATTGCTGTTGTCCAGCAAAGTTTGAAACTGTATTATTTTGGAACTTCCTCAATGGTGGAGGTGAACATTGGCGTATCCAAATCGATATACTGTAAGACCAGTAATGTTAACGAACATTTAATTCTAACGATTTAACGAATTTTAAAAAATCGTTAAGATTTGAAGTCATCATCCACAAAACGATATGTACATGTACAGTTATTTGCCAGTTTTGAGACGGAATTCGTTAGAATTTCACCTCGCTAGCCCACGAAAATCCGGAGATCGTTAACTTTAATTGACGTTAAAATATCTGGTCTTACAGCAGTTATCAAAGATATGGAGAGGACGTTTTCGTTTTCTGATGGTGACATCACTACTTAGTACTTAGTAGTAGATACTTTCTCACAGGCTCTGGTCAGTGGAGTTGCTCTTGTTCCATTTCTTCCACCATCCAGGTTAAACCGTGCAATCCGGCCAACTCATCTTCAGCCTCATTTTACGGTCTGACAAGCTACGCAAATGGAATCCACGGTGTCGAGCTGTCTGTGGTCGAGAATGTCAAGCTGATCGGCTTCAAGGTTGCGGATAGCCGTGATAATGGGATTGAGATCAATGAAGGATACGGTGACTGGTTTGGAACTGAAATTAGAGTAAGTGTTCGACGGGAACTGTTACATGCTCCTCATCAGCGGGTGCAGATTGCACGCCGCATATCCTAGCAGAGAAGCTGTTCACTTGGATGCCGAAGAGCTGAAGTTGTTGATGGCTTTGGGACATCTTCATCTTAAATAACTTCCAGTGACTTTTAAATAATGTTGGTACTCCAGGGCATTACTGACCTTTTTAGCAGGCTGGAGTCCTTTTTACGGTTGCTAATATGGTAGACCATGGCTAATACATGGGTAGTGCGTTTTTAATTCTGTGACATGCCACAAGGTGATTATGTACTTTCAAGAGGTATATCAAAGACATTCTTGTGACTTCCATGGGCTATGGTGTACGAGTCATAGCATCATACTAGTAGTTTGGTACATTTTGTTGGGCCCAGCTCAGTTCCAGTGCAGGACTTAACTGAACCCGGCCGGTGACCACTCAGTGCCTTGTGCTGATGTAGCTGTATCTGCTGTTTGTAGCCATTTGTCCATTTGAATAGAGCTTGCCGTTCCTGTGCATCTCTCCTTCTTATCTTCTTATACATGTTTGTTGACAGGACTCCCTGATTGTGTCCTACACAAACGCCAACACAGGCAAGCCGGGTACAGGTGGCATAAAGCTTCCCAACCAGCGGCGGATGACCGTCACCAATGTGACGTTCGTCAACTTTGACACGTCTGCGCAGGCCTGCCTGAGGGCCTGCTCTCACTGTAAGCCCATCCAGGGTGGGTACATGTATCAATTTCAGGGTCTGAACTTTCTGGGAAGTTCTGCCCAGCATAAGGCTGCGTTCAAGTGGACATATGAGGTATGTATTGTGCTGAGGCATTTTTTCCTCTGAAAACCTGCAATCCATGGGATTTGAATTTAGTGCTTCCTCCGTTAACAAAAACTCCGTGATGTATTTTGAATTTCTAATTCATATGAAAACGCTTAGAACAGGTCAAGAACAATTTGTATCAACTGTAAATCACTGGACGAAGGTAGTTTAGCTTATGTACAGCGTCTTTACAAGAGAAACTTTTGGCGGGATGGGCAGAGAGTTCAGTTTGGGTCACTTTTGCTCGACTCGTTTCTGACCCTGCATCGCTGTCGTCATCTGCTGCACGCGAGTTGTCATCACTCTCTTGAGTCATTGTTCAGCTCTTTTCAGCCTTGTCTTGGCTTCTTTGATCATACTTCGCTGAACGTTGGTGATGCCGCCGTCGTTCAAGTTGGCTTTCAAGCTGCGTGATCTGCCGCAGTGGCAATTAATCGTCACAGGTCCACCAGGGAGTCGTAAAAATATTTTATGTACTTGCTGGTTTCACCTCTACTCTCCAGAACTCCGCGAAAGAGGAGTAAAGGCATAGCCAAACTGATTAATTTCTCTGATGGATGCTCCTGCATGCACTGAACGGCAGCGGCTAGCAAATCCCGTCGACATTCCTTAGCCAAGAGGCTCACGTCGAACTGCAAACTTCTAAAGAATGCATGGTCATCAAAGAATGCATGGTCACGGATGTGTAAATGACTCTCACGTGAACTGTAAATTTTTCACTCCAACTTCCCACGCAAGCTCAGCTATTGTTTTGTAACCCAGATGTCCTTGTTGCTAGCGTACCAAGTTGACTTTAAAAGTGCCTTTGTTGTATTTGTCAATATATGCAGGTGTTATTCAAGGATTTGGATGGAAGCTTGACTGGAATAGTGGGTGGCACAATGCTACCCCTTAACGGCCTATTGCCACCAGACAAATGCAACCTGGATGTACCAGAGGCCAGTTTAGGCAGCGTGCCCGGAGCCATTTGTGGTGCAGATGTGCGATTTGTGCGCATGGCTTTCAACAGGGTTACCCCACTGGTAAGAACTTGGCTCAAGAATCTGAAAAGCGGGCTGCTTGCATTCTAGAGTGTTGTGTGATTGGTTGCTTTGAAGTTTGATGTCGTTGCGCGTTTGTGAATAGGATGGAGCTCGTGTCAAATCATGATACACTATGGGCAGAATTCTTCATGTTCCAGCGTTGTCAAGTGCTTTCCACCGCCTTGCGCAATGACAAGTGCCAATTTGCGGAATTTCTTATACATCTGCGTATCTGGTTTGGCGAAACAGCAATGTCCTAGACAAAGGAGGCAACTCTAATCAGTCTTTGAAGCTGGTCTGCAAATACTCTTCAGCCTATGCTTGTTGCCACCCCGTAGCGGACAAACAATGACACGGACCTTGCTTGCTGCAGTGCTATTTGCAGTGCTATTTGCAGTGCTTGCTGCAGTGTTATTTGCAGTGCTATTTGCAGTGTATTAGAACTGTTTTAAAAAACAACCCTCTTTCTTAAGTTCAATGCTTCAGTATGTATTTCTGTTGTGAGGGATGTTTTATGCATATCTGTGCCACGGCCAAAACTTCAATTTCCCTTGGAAATATGGACAAACATGGGCAGTTGGCAACCTTGATGGGTGCTTTCTCTTGTGCGAGTAGTAATCGATCTCCATATCAGTTGATGTGCGAGTAGTAATCGATCTCCATATCAGTTGATATTATCCGAGGCTGTTCTGTCTTTTTTTTTGTGCTGACAGACAACATTCTCGGGCCGGACCCTGACGGTTAACAACACATATTCCCAGTACTACAGCATCGGCAATTATTCCGCAAAGTGGGCTCACTATCGCCTGACGCACGTAGATGGCTACATGTTCAACTTGGTGTCTGGGATGCACTACACGCTGGATTTCAATGCTTTCCCGGATATAAATGACCCTGCCGACGTGGAGTCCTTCAACGCTGGATTGTACCTCGTGGACAAGCAGGACCATGTGTTCATCCAGCAGCAGATTATATCTCCACCGGATCATTTCAACATTGGTGATAACCATGTAGATCTTGGTCGTCAGCCCACAGCTCTTGACCACCACAGGTAAGAACACTGTGTTTAGGTCCAGCCAGCTGTTCGGTATCGATTTATTCTGGGATTGCAGATCGTTTTGTGTGAGATGGGAATGTGTTGGGAAGGGCATGCAGCACGTTGTGTATCTGAACTGACAGGGTGGGCTAAATCAGTTTTAACGTACTACTGACTCATTAGTGATTTCCCATTTGGAATTGCTAGCCACTAACTTCTCATTGGATGCGCAGCCAAATTGTTCAATGTTCTCCTCTCTCTCTCTCTCTCTCTCTCTCTGTCTACGTCTCAGGTCTTGGCACTTTGACAACTCTACCAACATGTTGACTTACCTGCTAAGCGGCAATGGCAGTTCACTGGGTGGTTCAGACGAGCTTCTCTTCAACTTCCAGAGAGAGCCGTGTCCTGTCGCTGGTTGTCCAGTGCCCGATGGTGGTGCGGAGCCGTATGAGAACTTCTTCCGCTACTGGAGCAAGGCGTCAGACTGGCCCACCGGCCGCGTTCCCGTTGCTGGCCAAAACATCACAATCTTGACTCGCTGGAAGATGATCATGGACGTCAACCCACCCGTCATGGATCGCCTCACTGTGCTCGGCCATCTTGAGGCCAAGCACATTGATCTAAGCATAACTGCCTCGACGGTAAGCACTTGACTGTGTTCAGATTTGGACCATTACAGCAATTGCATATGTGTAGAAGCTCATATGTAGTACTCGTACAGTTTCCAACGTGTGTGACAATAGTTATTGACTGGCTTTTGACTCAAACATGAAATGGCTTTATTCAGGTGGTTTTGGCTGACACTGGGCTGAATCGACTATTGTGACATTTCCTGATTTCTTTTTGATATCCGGCCACTGTAGATCTTCATTTATGGTAAGAATGCAAAGTTCTTCATTGGAAACAAAACTCATCCCTACAACCACAATGCCACAATTACCCTGACTGGAAACAGAGGGATCAAGTCATTTGCTCTTAGCCGTACCATGGTGGTCGGAGCTAAAGCAATGGCTGTTTTTGGCAAGGTGAGGCATGGTTATGTCTGTCTTTTTCTCTGCCTGGCTGTTTTGGTTTGTCTGTGTATCCCCTGCATGTCTGTCCACCTGTCTGTCCATCTATCTGTTTGTCTTTTGGTCTCTGTGTCTGTTTCTATCTCTGTATCTGTCTACGTGTCTCTGTTTCCATTTCTACCTCCAGTTCCACAGCACAGCAGCTTCGTTTTTGTCAGTGTTGCACTCATGGTTGAATTTGGGATAGGTTATCTCTTGTAGAGTGACGTGTTCACATTGCCATTTTCAACTTGTGCCGTATTGCAGTTGTACAGTGCTATATCCACATGTACATGTGCCCTACTGCAGTGTATTGCCTATCCACATGTACATGTGCCGTACTGCAGTATATTGCCTTTTTTCTACATGTGTTGTACTGCAGTTGTATCTCTATGGCGAGAAGCGTGACGTATACTGGACCAGGCTACAGGACAGTGCACGCAAAGGTGATAATGTCATATCGCTCACTGGTAAGAAGGTGAATTGGAGACCTGGTGATCAGATTGTGATCGCTGCATCTGGCTACAACTCGCGTAACTACGAGACGGTCACTGTTGCCAATGTGTCCTACCCGTCCTCCAGTCCCGGCGGCCTGGTGCAGTTCATGACGCCACTGCTGCACGATCACCTCGTTGTGGACTTGCTACACGGCACTGAACAACAGTCCGGTCACACTGCCCAGGGACAGTGGTGGCGCAGCGCCAAGATGGCACCGGAGGTCGGTTTGCTGACGCGCAATATCCGCATTGTCGGCGGCGAGGATCACCTGCAATCCATTGCCAAGGACAGCTTCGGATGCCGTGTCATCGTGGGAGCGGTGCAGAGAGGCTTCAGCAAGTACTATGGAAGCACTGAAATTGATGGAGTGGAGTTTGCCAACTGTGGCCAGGGCCGTCTGTCTTCAAAGCGCGATCCACGGTACACCATTGTCTACAAGGGCATTGCTGACTCGTCAAAGGGATCGTTCGTCAGAAACTCGGCTTTCCGCATCAACTTCAACAGTGCTGTGGGCATTCACTTGAGCAATGGCGTTACGGTGGAAAACAATGTGATACTTGACACTGTTGGAAGTAGTGTTATTGTAGGCGGTGAAGACAACAAGGTTCTTTCCAACGTTGCCATCTTGATGAGAAGTGTGAAAGGTGAAATCGTCACGGATAACCACATCCTTGACTTTCCAGCAAACTTTGAAGTCGGTGGCATCAACAATCAAGTACGAGACAATGCAGCTGCCGGAAGTGACCGCATCTCCTTCAGTTTCCCTGGCAGCCCTTGCAATAGTGATGGCTCAGCCCCAAGAGGCAGTTCTGTAAGTGTTTATTGGAAGGACGTGGCACCGTACTGAGTGTTGTGCGCACATGTTTATGTGATTTTCATGTTGATTTGAGGTTGCACTACATCTACAAGCATAATAAATTAAGCATGCTGCTTTTGTTGTGGAAATGGCATGGGACAATGTCAAGTTTCGACACAGCCTGTGTTGACTACAAGTAGTGTTATGGTTTCAATAGTACTGCTCATTGTTAATAAAGCTTCTTTCTTTCTTTGTGAATACGCACAGGCTAAGTTCTGGGATAACACAGCTCATGGCGGACTAATCGGCCTGAAGGTGGTTGGAGTGGCAGACATGTGTACGGCTATCGGCGGCTTCACTGTGACACATCATTGGGATTACGGCATATTCTCTTGGACTGCGAGCTCACTGGTGATCACTGATGTGGCAATTGCAGTGGGTCACGTCGGAGTCAATCTGAATGTATTCGGTCCCGACCCAGTCCAGCATCTCTTTGAGGATAAGTCGGTGAAATTGCAGAAGTCGTTGATTGTTGGCGAGCTGCCCAACGAAGCCTCCTGTAGTGCATCCAGGCCACCGTTTGCGCTTCCCTCCACTTCATTCTCTGCCCGAGATAACATAGGTGGTGTTATGATGTCGACCTTCAGTAAAACAAGAGGAAAGATGAATGGCATTGGGAAATGGCACTTGCGTAAGTCTACAGTGTTGTTGTTGTTGTTGTTGTTGTTGTTGTTGTTGTTGTTGTTGTTGTTGTTGTTGTTGTTGTTGTTGTTGTTGTTGTTGTTGTTGTTGTTGTTGTTGTTGTTGTTGTTGTTGTTGTTGTTGTTGTTGTTGTTGTTGTTGTTGTTGTTGTTGTTGTTGTTGTTGTTGTTGTTGTTGTTGTTGTTGTTGTTGTTGTTGTTGTTGTTGTTGTTGTTGTTGTTGTTGTTGTTGTTGTTGTTGTTGTTGTTGTTGTTGTTGTTGTTGTTGTTGTTGTTGTTGTTGTTGTTGTTGTTGTTGTTGTTGTTGTTGTTGTTGTTGTTGTTGTTGTTGTTGTTGTTGTTGTTGTTGTTGTTGTTGTTGTTGTTGTTGTTGTTGTTGTTGTTGTTGTTGTTGTTGTTGTTGTTGTTGTTGTTGTTGTTGTTGTTGTTTCAAATCTTTATTCTCACGATAGCCAGTGGCCAATAAGAGATTTGTTGTTGTTGTTGTTGTTGTTGTTGTTGTTGTTGTTGTTGTTGTTGTTGCTGTTGCTGTTGCTGTTGCTGTTGCTGTTGCTGTTGCTGTTGCTGTTGCTGTTGCTGTTGCTGTTGCTGTTGCTGTTGCTGTTGCTGTTGCTGTTGCTGTTGCTGTTGCTGTTGCTGTTGCTGTTGCTGTTGCTGTTGCTGTTGCTGTTGCTGTTGCTGTTGCTGCTGCTGCTGCTGCTGTTGCTGCTGCTGCTGCTGCTGCTGCTGCTGCTGCTGCTGGAAAATCTAACCTGTGCGAATGGTGTGTGTTTTGAATGCAAGTTGCATTTTCCATTCCATTTCTGGGCAGCTATTTCATTTCTTTGGATCCGTATGATTGTGGCTCTTGTACAGCGAAATCGTATCCCGGAATAAGAGGCCGCATGGAGGTCAGTGATGTTGCATTTGCTCGCTTCTACCCGATACCGTCGTCCTTCCCCGGCTGTTCGGTTGGCCAGTTTGCCGTCATGAACAATGACCTGTCACCGGATGCAATGCACCCTCTGCACATGGAGAGGACTGTACGCCTGGACGTCGGCGCCAACAATCTCGCTTTCATGTACCCTCCAAAGCTGGGCTGGATTAACCAGGAGGTTGGTCACTCTCCCCCCCCCCCCCCTCCTTCCTCACCAATCTCTCACCACCCAATTCTCATAATGTTGCCACAATTTCCCATCGTATTTACAAGGATAGTCAGAGATACATGTGTAACTGCAATGATGTCCTGATGATGTGCAGTAAACTGATCCTTATGCCGGGACAAGCTAGTTGGCCACACAAATTCCGGCATAAGATGAACGCATTTTGAAATAGAATTTGTTGCCGGATGTGACCAGTCTCTGAATGCTCTAATTTCAGTGCCCGTGTTTCATTCGTTTTCTCAGTGTTTTGCGGTCTAGGAAAGATCTGTAGTGGTTTTCTACCGTGCCATGACAGTGGCCCTGCTGCTGCCTGTGCGTCTTCCATATTCCATCTTCTGTTGATTGGGATTGTCTGATATGTGGATTGTGTGTTCCGTGCTATCAGGATTGCGTGGACATGGACTGTGATGGTCCTAAGCATTCCATTGTGCTGGACTTGGACGGCACATTCACAGCATCATCCTCGTCCACCACAGGAAGGGTGGGCTCTATTGTCCCTCGTGCGGAGCTGCGTTTCGACCAGAACCGCCTGCCCATTGCACTGCTTGCGGATGCCACCACGGGGATACTGCGTAATCCAGCAGATGTGTCCAGCCTTCGTGGCATAGCACGAGGATTTGATGGGTAAGGGCCAAGTTGTTGTAGCTGTCACTCTAATCAGTTCTTTAAATAGGTAAATCCTGAGGGCTATTCACTCCAAGCTGTGAAGTACAACTGTGCGTAGTACCGGTTAAATCTGCACTAGATATAATAGATGTACCATGTATTATTGTTATCACGGCTGCTACAGGTACACATATCATAATTGTACTAGTATGACCGGTGTTCTGGCCCTATCTCACAGCCAATTGATCTCCCTGAATTTAATGTTGTTCTAGCAATCTGTCTGCAAGCATGGGTGGATGTGAGTGGCGCCCAACAATGAACAGCTACCAGTGTTCTGGTCTGAATCACGCCATGCTCGTCCTGGAGAACATGGATGCTGACACGGAGGTGAGACGCATCTCTCCGCTTGTCCTGCGTGGCGGTGATACTGGCCGGGGCAAGTACGACGATCTCATGAACGGACCGATGGATCACGGTAGGTGCAGCCGCGGGATGGGCACAGAGTACTAACTCTGCAAGTCGTTGTGATGTACTGCATGGCTCAGGGGCAGTGGAACCGATCTGCTTGGTCAGGCCATGACCGGACCAACTGTTTGGCTACCAACGCATGTTTACAGCTGAGGAGGTCTTGTGTAATCAACTGCCTGGAAGCATGGCTGACTATGGTATGGCCTCACCAATCAAAACTGCTTCCACATGTCCTGTAGCTTCATGTTTGGACAAACTGTATGTCCACACGATTAGTACAATGCTTGAGGGGCTAATTCTATAAGTACTAGAACCTGTTTCAAGCATGTGGGTGACACTGTTGCTAATCTGGTTTCATCTCTACAATGTCATATTGGTCAACATCAGTCGGTGACTCGCGCGTCAACGTATGTAAGTATGATGTTGAGTGACTGTCACCTACGTCCATCATCATCATGCTGTCCTCCGTCGCTATCCTTTGAAACTCACTGAGGCCTCTAATAGTTACACCCATTTGACCGAACAGAGAACGGAGGTGCTCTTCTTTTTTTGGCATTCTCTTCTCGTGTTTGTAAAGGCTGGTGCACATATTACACCTGCCTGAAACGGTTGTCAACATTCTTCTCTGCTATTGTACTGGACACCGAGTATGAGCTGTGGATGACGGGCTCCAATCCCACCCACTGGAGATTCCATTTGCTGAATGCAAAGCCAACGGATAGTGTGTCACTGAAGATCTGGTTCAAGAACATCCAGCGAAAGGACATCTACAAGGATAACATCTTCATTGAACCAGAAAACGTCCTGGCAACTGATCGATTTATCAGTGATGCTTTTATCCCGGACAGGGCAACCGACATTTCAGGGGCAAACTACTTTGACGTCAGAAAGCAGTTCTTGCATTTGGTAAGTCCGAAGCATGGCCTGTGCTCGCTATCGTTATCCTGTAATTTTTTACGTTGCATCAGCGCAGCATGCACCTGTTCACTGCACTGAAAATGAGTGAGTCCAATAGTTCAAACCTTGAGAAGATAGTTGGTTCAGTTCAGGTATTGTATTTGCAAATAATGTCCGCTTATTGCATTTCTGCGTGTACCAAATAGGTCTTGAAAGGAACATCGGCGGTTGATGTGGTAACTGCTCCCGTCGTTACGCTTTCCTTCAACGTGCAAGTGAGCCTGGACGACTTCTTTGATCCGCAGCACATTGTCACAAACATTGCCGGTGCCCTTGGAGTTGACCTCAGCACAGTCCGGTTGGTTGATGTCGTCTCAGAGAGCTCGGGAGGTGTCGTTGTATCTGGCAGAAAGCGACGTGCCACGGCTTCGCGCCGAGTCGTCACACTGGAAGTCGGAAGTCAGGCGGCTGTGAATCGCACCGATCCACCGACACCAACAATTGCAGAGCAGATTGCCGACGGCAATGTAGATGCTGCAATGGATGATGTGGACCTGGATGCTAACTCAACTGTGAGTAGCATGACTCAAAATGTAGTAGATACATAATGCTATGCACTACATCAGATGTGGGCATGTGTGTGCGTGTGGTGTACCTGCATGCGTGTTTGTCACGGAATGTTTCTATTGTTGTTGGTTTATGTGTGTGTATGTTTTTGTGTCTGTGTGTGTGTCTGTGTGTGTGTGTCTGTGTATGTTTTGTGTGTGTGTGTGTGTGTGTGTGTGTGTGTGTGTGTGTGCGTATGTCACATATGGTGCAGTGGTATGTGCAGCGATTTCCAATCGATAGGTTGCGGGTTCGATTCCCGACGATTATGGTCACACACGTCTTTCTTCTCTTTCTCAGACTCTTCCTGACTTTTCTTTCATTCTCCTGGGTGGTTACCAACAGCCAGTGCATGCCGGAGTATGTGATGTGATGTGTGTGTGGGAAAAAAAGAAAAAAAAAGAAAAAAGAATATATCCCAAAAATAGGGATTCACTGGCCAGAAAAAGTCACTTCAAATAGCTGTATGGTGTAGACCAGGCTGAATAGTGACGGTCAATTCTTCAGCCTTGCAAGCTGTTGAATGGTGCAATCCCAGCACAAGTTGCTATGGCTTCTGCCGTAGCATTGCTATCATCGCCTCCGGCGATGGGCGTCAAAGGTCAAAGGTCAAAGGTGTGCGTATGCGCGCGTGTGTGGCTGTGTGTCTGTGTGTCTGTCTGTGTGCTCTTGTGCACCTGATGTACAAATGCAGGTTGATGTGAACGCTATTCCCGCCAACTCCAGCGGACAACCTACTCCATCACCTATTCTGACCGGCGGCAACATCACGGTACGAACTTCTCTTCAAATCTACTATGAGAACATTTCAAACACGAGTTATAAACAAATGTAATCAACATACACTGGTCTAGGGAGATAGAAAGAGATGGTACAGTAGTGTTAAGCCCTAAACATATGTTCTAAATGTTTTGGACTAAATGCTTGCTGTGTGGTCACACCTTACTAACACAGTCACTGCCTTCTCCTTGCTTTTCATTGTGGCTTGAACTTGTTACACTGCAGGACTCGCCATCTGTAGCCGACCTGGCGTCTGCGTTCAAAACTGTGGGCAAAATCTACAGTCAGCAAGTTGATCAGTATGCGGAGAGGGTGAATTCCACTAACCAGGTCAACCAGCTTGGTGCCATTCTTCTAAACAAGGTACAGCTCCATGGCTAAAACCTTCGTAAATGGTGCTCTTCCGTAAGCTAAAAAGAACGGAGTTATATTGGAGGCTCATTGCACTCCATAATACACGCGGTTGCCATGCAAACCAGCTTCTTATCCTCCATTACATGCACTAACTGTTATCGTACATGTATCAATTTGAGACTGTTTGACATTGTTCTACTTTGAACTAACTGATGATTGTGCAATGAGTGTTGTATTTGTTGCAGTTAGAAAGAGGACTGTGACTTTGGCACTTCGAGCTGATTAAAAGGTCTTTGCTTTGCAAATCTGTATCGCAGACTGTTGAGTCAGGCACTCTGAGCTCCGTTGACAACACCTAACAACGTCAAAATGATGGCTCAGAATTACTTGGAGGCTGTGAAGGAAATTATCACCTTGCATGAAGTATCTCACTGTACACAGACTGCACTGAACACAATAGGCAGTGAAATCACTGTATAGAATTCTCATAGCTGTAGACCAATGCGACCTTGCTCAGTCTAGTGCTTTTTCCTCTGTTCCCAGCTGGTATTGGGGCTACTCGTATTTGAGAATGCGACGATCCTCAATGCCTCCATTGGACTGGCCCAACCACCGCCTGTGCCATCTCTGCCTACAATTCTGCCACCGTCTGTTGTGAACGCAATGTTGCCCGGTGATTTGGACAATATCACTGCCAGTCTCCCTCCACCTGCTACATTGCCTGTAGTCGACTTCTTCCAGAGTTCTGGTTCTGGCGCGGGAGGTGGTGGCGCCGTTACTTCTCCGTTCTCATCTGGAATATCTGTCAGTATTCCAGCTAGAATCAATGTGTTCAGACCACCTGCTGATAAGGTACGGGCTAGGAGATGTCTGCTCTCTTTCATGTTATAAATGAAGCGAGTTGCGTATTCAACACACAAACACACCATTCGCAAGGGTTGGGTATCCCTGAGCGGTAGCTTCGGTTTTCCAGTAAAAATCCTTCTGACGAGATGGCAACGAAAATGTTGAAGGATACCCAGCCCTTGCGAACGGTGTGTGTTTTGCCTGTGCAGCTCGCTATATATAATATTATCGCGTTGATTTCATTTCTGTCTCCACAAAAACCTTTTCATGTTGGTAAGGATAATGACAGTGCTTGTGTTGGCAATACTTGTTTACAATTCAACTTGCCGCTTTCTTGCCTTATGGTACCCTTGTACGCACTCATGAAATGTTTTGAGAGAACTTGCTAGTGCATTTATTACATACATTTAAAGAGTGCCGGTTCCACTCAAGTGGGCCTTATGGGTATTTCGTGTCTCCTGCTTCTCTTGTCACAGACTGGTCATCTTGTTTACACCGAGGTAGAAATTCTGGATACCAACAGCCAGCGCTCCACTGCCATAGGCATACTGGGTGACAAGTGGACTGTGACCGCCTCACTGGATTCTGCTGAGTAAGAAGGTCCAGGAAATCTATATTTTTGTGATCTACAAAGTAACACTCATACTTCTCAGCTAGAAGGATGCTTCATGCAACTACATCAAAAGAAAGAATACTAGGTGTAAATGACAAAGTCATGCATATGTAGGTTGGTTCTCTTCATGTTATTGTGACCAATTTCATAGATGTTGGTTGCCTTGTTGCTTTCTCTCCCCTCTCCTCTCACCCAAGCCATTCTGCATAAGCGAAGCTGTGGATGCAGCATACTGCTGCTACACTTCAACGCGGGAATGCGTATAATAATAATAATAATAATAATAATAATAAATGACAAAAAGTGGAACGAAGAGGAATGAAGAGTGTACAGCATTGTGTACTTGGAAAGTAGTTTCCGGCGGGTGCTTCATGTGGATTGATTGGAACTATTTCCTTGCTGGTCTTTGAATCAGTGTACATATTTTTGGGAGGCTGAGCAGATGGAAAGGCCTACAATTGAGGCTGGCTTGACCGACTTGGTTTATGCACTGCGTTGTAGGTTGAGTGCTGCACCTTCTAGGCAAACTGTTGCTCAGCTTTGTGTGACTTTTCTGCTTTCTGCTCGTGATCTGCAGTGCTGTTGTGAAACTGGAGGGTAAACTATCGGCCATTGTCACTGATGGTGTGGCGTCCTTCACTCGCCTGAGAGTCAACAGGGTGGTGGAAAAAGTGAAGTTGGTGTTCACCGTGAGCTCTGGCACTTTATCGCCTGTCGAAACAGTGAGTGAAAACTAAGTGATGCACTTGTAGATGCGGTATTGATGTACATTGGCCCACCCAGTATACAACAATCACTGTTGGACGGACTGTGATTATTTTGTGTATAAATACTCACAATAATACATGTGCATGCAGAAGTTGCGTGGCGTTCTGAACATCATGTTAACGTTGCTTCTTTTCCCACCAGTTATTCTAGGTTTGTGAACTCTCTTGCCGCTTTCTGGTGTGTGCCCCCAGGGTTTGTTCGATGTCAAAGGACCTGCCGCTGACATAGAGCGCGAAGCATTCCTTTTGAAGCTCGGCAGTGATTACGACACTGTCATTGGAAGTCAGAAAGAGAGTATCGACCTCTTCAGGAATGCGATCATTTCATCACTGTCCAGTCAGCTGGACATAGATCCATCCAGAATTGAGAATGTTGAGGTGAGTGATGTGACCAGCTCTGAATGGCTGGTGTGCGGCATTATTTGGCACTCAGGGATTTAGACAGGATGCGGAACTCGAAGGAGGGAGCCGTGTGTGTGTGTGTGGGGGGGGGGGGGGTGCTACCAAGAGTACATGAAAACCAGAGTGTGGAGCTCGGATGGGTGGCTGTCACGGCGGAATTCCGTGATTACATCATTTTAGTGATGTAGTGCGTACAAGCAGGATTCAAGCAGGTCTCTTTCTGCACAACTGCAGCTCAGTTGTACGCACTACGCCATTTCCCGCCTCAGATCTGGGCCAAATATGATGTAATCACGGAATTTCGCCGTGACAGACACCCATAGCAGAAAAGGCCCCAAGCTGCACACTCTGGCTTTCATGTACTCTTGGTGCTACGTATAGATCAACTATTATTATACCTATTGTGACAATGATCCTAGATAGATAGAGATATGCTGCGGTAAGTGCATTGAGCCTGTGGATTAGTATGACCGTCAGTCCAGTTTGAGATGACTTTCTCTTGTTTTCAGCTTGCCCCAATGCACGCGCACAGATGTCAAGCTGTAAACGTAGTGAAAGACTGTGCATGCTGCAATCGAACACATGGCTGGTGCAAAGCTTGCAAAGGATCAATGGCTTGGCGAAACAAAAAAGAATGTATGCATGTGTGAGGGGAGGGGAGGGGGGAACATCACCACTGTATACAGCTTTTGCTTAACCCTGTTATGTTGAAGAAGTTGGCCTTGTGTGCGTATGCCCCTGGTGAGTATGGTAGTGAATTGTATTGTTATTAAGGTGGGCCAGCATTCTAATTTTTTAATTCAATTTTGTTTGTAACATATTACAATTTTTTCCTTGACTCACCATCTGAGTTCTCAATTTTGTTTCCTTGCTTTATGCATACAGGTACAGCGCATGCCGTTCCAAGTGCTGTTCAAGCTTGTTGGTGTGGCTGAAGACAACACCACTGCACCTGATGTTCCTACTTTGAAGAAAGCTGTGGCCTCCATGCAACGTCTGATACAGCAGAGCACACTTTCTGTAAGCACTACAGATGGAGGTATATCCAGTAACATGCACCCATGTCTACATCAACCTTTGATTGCAGTTTGCTTGAAGGTTGATGGGCATATGATCACCTGACAGGTGTCAGGGGCCTGTTAAGACATAAGGTCAATGACATGAAATAGAGCAACTGCCGTCACTCAACAGCGGCAATGTGGGAGCTGCATAGAGCCTGCAAAGCCCTCAAATGCTTCTTATCACCCATGGAGTTCTACCTCTCTTATTGCGTAGATGTCTATGGGGACGATGCTACTGTTAGGCTCAGGCCATTGTGTTGTTTCATCACTGCTGAAATCATCCTACACGTATTCACATGCTCTACGTGACTACTACCCTTTTAAAATTTGCTTGTTGCCCAGGTGATCTGGCCTCGTGGCAATGTCACAATCACAGCTGCGGAGAGCACGGAGATTCCAGAAAAAGAGTCGTCCAACAAGAGACAGCTGTACATCATCATTGGGTCGTCCTGTGCTGGAGCTGTGCTTATTCTACTTCTCATCATTGTTATTATTTACCATGGGCAAAAGAAGAAGAAAAACAGCAACAAGAAGGTAGTGGATGAATTCTTGCTGAAGAAGAAGGCATCATCTCTGTCGACCGGCCCATCAACTAGTAGCGTCACCGCGGTAACCGAACACATGTCTCGAATGAATGGGCTGGTAAGTGTTCGATCCAATGTACACTGTACATGCATGCGCTGTGCTGTACGTTTGTGTGTTATGCATGGTTGCATGCATGCCTGCATGTGCACGTGCATATGTGTGCTATAATTATAACGTTCAGTATGGTACTACTTTCACTCTGCAGTAGGCAGAAGAGATTTGTCCGCATTTGCCTTGCCAGTAATCTTTAAATGATTAAATGGCTTTGCTAGGGTAGTCAGCTATCTATGATTTCTTTGGCATGAAACAGCATATGATTTCTTTCGGTTGGAATCATTCTTCTCCTTTGTAACTTGCTTAGCCTCGACACAGCTCTGAAACGGCAATGGCACTGACACCGCTCGACAATGCCTATGCGGCAGACTCTCACCAAGATGTTTTCTTCAAGTAAGTGGAATAATCGTGTACTGTAGACGTACTGAAAGAGACGTGTTTTGATCCCTGATGTTTCATTGGTAGTAACATTATGTGCGCATCAATTTGTGCTGTCCAGCACTACTTGTTCATCTGTTTGGTTTCGACTTTTGATGGCACTGAGCATATGATTGCCTTCTGCAAGACTATTATAGGATAATTGGGGTGCGACTAGGTGTCAGGTAAAATGAACCATTTTTGCTTTAATCTTCGGGTATGTTTTGACTCTGAGAGTATCAAAATAGGCTCACATCGCAAGTAATTTGCCAATTCATGGTGCCAAAAGATTATACCAGCTGCTGTTTATTTCTTTTCTCATCATGCTGTGATTCCAGAGCCCGGCAAGAAACGAATCTTTCAAGTGTTGCAGAGCACTTGGAAGTGGACATATCCAAGAGCGTTGCCAGTATCAGCGACATCAGTGTTGATCTCTCGGTATGTTTCTCGGGGAGAGGCACTAGCCTAGGGCTATCATCATAGAATTTCATTTTGGAATGTTGGGCCATCGACTTTAGCCTGGTGCTGTGCTCGAGTAGATTTTTTTACTCGGAATTTTAGAAAATCAGCTATTCATGATCCCCCATCAGGCAATCGTAATCCTAACACAGAGATACAAAGGGAGAGTTTAAAATATTTGTTTTCGTGCAGCAGCCAGACTCGTGATCAGTGGCAGCCCCATGGTGCACAGAAAACCTACCTTTGTGGATAGATGGTCTTTCTTCCGGGGTGAAGGTGTACCTTATGTGCAGGTATGAGCGGTCTTTTCAGCACAGGTGATCTATCACTACATTCAACATAGGTTATACCGTGTACTAGAATGCTAACTAAATGAAGGAACTAAACGTTATGCTCTGCATTTGATATGCTTCCTGTCCAGAACCAGCACAAGCGAAGTGCAGGACGGCACCCTCTGCTGCAGGATGGCTATGTCAACACTGCTCATCAGCGTCCTCCAGGGCAACAGCAGCGCAGGCCTCTGGATGACATGGACTATCACCATCGCCAGGGTTCCAGAGCGGCAAGTAAATCCCGTGCCAACGCCAAAGTCAGTGCGCCAACTGTCATGAAAAACAGGTACTGTTGAGAAAGAGCAGCTTGACTATGCCCGGGATATGTGCTGTGTTGTTGGTGATTTTTCATACCTGGCCTTGGCACTAAGGACTATGTTGATTTCATGTGAGGAAGCACTTGCCCTTTGCTCTGCTTGCTCAATCTTTGCCCAACAAAGTAAGAGAAACACCTAGTGACTCTGACTATCAACATTTCAACCATTTGCCATCTTGACATCAATGGGCTTCTTCTTGTATACGATGCACTCGTTTGTTCAAATTGGCCAATACTGGGGTGTATGTCAAGACCGTGAATGAATACAATGAACATGTGTGCGTGAAAGGTAATGCACTGGAACTGTCGACTGTGGGTTAATGCAGTCCAGTAAGTATGCCCCCACACTCGCCCGGATGGTGTAGGGGATGGGGTGCAGCAGCACATCTCAATGCTTGTGTGTGTGTGTGTGTGTGTGTGTACTGCGTGCGTACTGTGTGCCGTGTGTGTGTGTGTGTGTGTGTGTGTGTGTGTGCGTGTGCGTGCGTGTGTGTGCGTGCATACATGCATGCATACATGCTTGTGTTTGTGTGATCTGTAGGTCAGCAAGTCCATCACTTCCTGGTGGTGTTGACGACTACTAAATGACTACTAGCACTAAGTGGCCATGATCACAAACTCACCCCATCGTTAACACCATACTGTCCATACCTTTCCTTCTGCAGTTGCGGTCCTCGAAACAGTCCTTTTGGGAATTTGAATTTTGACTCCTAGTACATTCTCTCTTTTCTGGTTGGTGCGGAATTATCTTATTTCCTTGGGGAAACGGTATTACATTTTCAGTAGAGAGTGCCATAGAATCACACAGCTGACACTTGAATGGCATGCATTGTACCGATATTTTCTTGTCTTAGAATGGCGTTCACAATACACTCCATTTCTTCATCAAACTGCTGAGATGGTGATAACCATTGCATGGAAAAGCTCAGTTTCTACCGTTTATCTCCACGTTGTACTACATCATAAGAATTCATTTTTGTTGCCACATCCTAAATTATTCAACCTATCTGGAAAGTCATCCTTCCGGGCTTGCATCTGCACTCTCAGTCTGCACTGCATTTGTAACTTGATATGGAACTAAAATGCTGGCTGTTTTGTCCATTTCTGTATGCTTTGCGTTGAAGACAAGCAATTTAGACAAGTAACAACTGTCAGCTAACGCTACAAACCGTGATGGTTGTGAAGGCATTGTGTCGTATAACTTATCCCCCGGGCCTATTCAGCAATTGGATCTGTAGGTGTCTTTTGGGGATACGGCCAGCAGGAAGAGCCAACCAAACAGTTACTGCATACCCACTGGTTAGAGTCATGCAAAGCACGGGAGACAGATTAATAATACACAGATAAGAGCGAAGCAACGAAGAGCCACCGGTGTTACCTCAGCCTAGCCGACTCAGGCCGATAAGTAATCGATCAGTTCTTCCTACTGCACCATCTACAGTATCTACAGATCGATCCTTGTCAAAGCATCTAGCATACACAGACTGGTGCACAGTTCATGACCTGAACTTTGCACCCTTCTATTCCCCACGCTGATTTTGATTTTCTCCTATCTCCACTCCATGATCACTGAAGCGACGACCGGTCTACACAGACTACACGACTTGTTGTCTACGGGTAGTTTCTATGCATCGACGACGAAACGAAATGGGGAGTGTTTGTTCAGGCGAGTTATTTCTTCACTCTGATCAGAGGAGTTTCTCATGCGAAAAAAAGCACGAGTGAATGTTGAGGTGGAACAAGAAGACGACACAGTTTGTTGAATCCATTGGTTGCAGACATGAATTATCCCTTCACTAGATATTATTGAGCTAGAAGTGACGAGTGGAAACTGTGGAAACTGCTCACAGGAAATATGCCGGCTATTGCCACAATTGCCCAGGTACGATCGAAACGGCACGAACCAAATTCGTTGTATTTTATCCTCTGTCGGGTTCCCCGAAATCTTCGCACCATCACACTCATCACGTGCTTGAAATTCTCGACTAGTCTTGTTTTTGGATTGTTTGGCATTTCCAACGTTCTGTGCAAAGATCGCTGAAAGCAAGTCATCGGACGAATTCTTTCGGCGACTACGCACTTACATAGAAGAAAAGCCGGGTAGCAATCCTAACACGAAATGCGTCCGGAAAATTCTAGTGCGGATCGCCACCATTCTTGAAGAGGTAATCGTATGCCTATTGCTTCGAAATCACATGATTTGCTTGCACAGGAAGTGACTGCTGTCATTGTTGCCTTCTATGAGGCCAGATGTGTTGCTTCCAGTACCTTAATCTGCATGGGAATCAGAGTGTGAAAATGACAATTTCCCAAATGCCCAGTTATGGGTGTGAGGTTACTACTAGTACTAAGGCAGGAACTTTGGAGGAGAGAGGAGAGGCAGGGTTGACTGGGCTAAACATAACAGCTAGATGTTGTCTCCACTATGGAGCAGCGCAAATCCATAATAATAATTATAATATTCATACTGATTATAGCACTTCTCTCCTTCGGTGGCATGAGCCGCACCAATCCCCATAGCTTAGTGCCTTTCCTTGCCCTTTGTGATTTACTCTACTTAGTGCATTCGCCAAATCTGGGCCCATAGGTTTTTCACAGTCTCACTTCATTCTTACTCAAGATAGTGAAGTCGATGACTTCTATAGGTCAGAAATATGATAGCCGTTGTTTGTAAAAGCCTGAGATGAAGTGAATGCGGTGAAAATTGATCAAGAGTTGTGCAAAGAGTTTTTTTCAGACACATAATTGTGACAGATCGCGTACAATATGCATTGACACAATTAAGATTATCGTGCAACACCTGGTTCCACTGCTGTTCATCATTGTCGGCTAGAGATCGCCCGCACGTGCGCTATGCCGCATGCCTCTCCAAGCTTCTCGATCCTGGGCCATCATGGAGAGTTCGTCAAGATGGTACATACCGTATATTCTCTATTATAAGCACAGGTCTCCATTACTAGCACAGTCTCTAATACTAGCACACTGTGAGCACCTTTCGAAACATTATAAGCACGGTCTCTATTATTAGCACGGTCTTGGTGGAAATCAATGCTGCATGCATGATATCTAGCATGTATTTCTTCTCACTCTGTATTGATGCATTGGTTGAAAAAATATAAGCACGGTCTCCAATATAAGCGCGGTCTCCAATATAAGCACGGGGTAGAGGGGTGTCGGAAAAATATAAGCACGGCGCTTATAATAGAGAATATACGGTACTTTTAGTTTTAGTGTATCAGGTGCCCCGATTTGGCGAATGGACTATGGTATAAGATATTGTCAGTTTAGCACAGCAGTTCAACTCTGCGCAGAGCAGCAACAACTGATGGAGTGGAATTATGGTACATATCCTGAACACCTGTGAGCTGCTACCTGTGTATTGTACATATTGTTACTTTACGCATCTCAGCAGCAAGTAGGCGAAATCCCATATGGGTTTCTCCTTTGCACTATATACACTGGCCGGCTTCACATAGTGCAGGATCACTTTATAATTCACATCATCTGTCTTCTCTGCTATCTGTAGGAACGGGTTAGTGATGATGAGGTGAGGATATGTCTGCAGTTCATACAGTACCTGGATCAGACGGATAGTGAGATAATGAAATGGCTGAATCTTGGCTTGACCGAGCTACTTGAGAAAGGTAGGTGCACCGGCCAGTAAGAGGCTCCTGAAAGCTTGTACTGTGGCACAGAGAGAGACGGGGGTATCCCAGAGGGGTCAATGTTGGCAAATCCACTTCCAGTCCTTGTGGCTTCTACAAGAGATATCTTGGTCCTTCAGGAGTGCACATATGAGTACTATTCTGAGACTAATTGCTATGTATACGTCATACTTCATAATATGATGACTCCTCTTTTCTCTATCATACTGAGCATGCGTCATAACAACATGGTCTTTTGTCCGTCACTACTCTATGAACTGTTTGTGTGTCTGTGAGGTCCGACACAACAATGGCGACGAAGTTGGGATGAATTTGTTTTGGTCGTTTTACTTTACTGTGTATTTAGCTACTTACCTGTAGCTGTGCTATTTCTGCATCATGGCAAAGGCCACGATAGAGCCGTTCGACGGCGGAGACTTTGAGGAATACCAGGAAAGACTAAATTTTTTTTTCATTGCCAATGAAATTGGACAATTGGCGTCCAGTGCGTCAAACGCGGATAAGGCGAAAGCTGACAAGCGCATGACGGCTTACCTTATTTCTCTACTGTCGAAGACTGTTTACTCGACGTTGAAGACCCTGTGCTTGCCAAAAAACCCGACGGATTTCAAGTACTCTGAGATCGTTGACAAGCTGAAAGTACATTACAAGGTGAAAACCTCACGGACGACGGCGACACACAAGTTCCGTCAATGTGTTCAAGGGCCCTCGGAGAGTGTTACTGATTATTCTCATAAACTCCAGCGCTGTGCTGTAGAGTGCAAGTTCGGCGATCATTTGGACAGAGCTCTTTGTGATCAGTTTGTGGCTGGGCTGCGCGATCTAGACACACGCAAATTTATTTTGTCAAAGCCGGACGACGACGTAAAGTCATTTCAGAACGTATTTCAACTGGCGTTGACGGAGGAGACGGCAGGTCTGTTTGCTCGTACTCTACAGGCCAGTGGGAGCGCCAGGGACCAAGTCCAAGATGACGGAGTGCACGAGTTGCGGACGAGGCACTCGTCGGACAAGCACAAATTTCAGTCAAAGTCCAAGTCCAAAACACCCACTACTAAGTCTAAGGCATGTTATCGTTGTGGTGCCGCCAGCCATTTGGCCACTGCGTGTCAGCACAAAGACACTCGCTGCCGACACTGCCACAAGACTGGCCATCTGGAGCGGGTGTGTCTGTCCAAGAAACGCCAGCAAGATTGTCATCAACTCCAGGAGACGATCAGTTCTGATGATGGTGAGAGCGTTCCTATGTACCATGTATATACTGAATGTGTGAATGCTACTAGTACTACTAAATCGAATGCACCTCTGTACGTACCTGTGGAAATTAATGGTGTGACTGTAGAAATGGAGGTCGACACAGGCAGTGGTGTAACGATACTCACAGAGAAAGATTTTCAACAGTGCAATGGCGATTTGAATACATTGCAGAAATCTACAGTCATTCTCAGAGGATTTTCTGGTGCCGAAATTAAATGCATTGGGGAATTTCCAGTACCTGTCACGATTAACGGGAAAACTGAATCTGTTACTGTACGCGTTGTTGCAACTGAGGGTCCCTCCTTACTGGGTCGTGATTTACTTAACGTGTTCACTCTTCCCTGGAAACAAATGTTAGCCGAGAAGGTCCATCGTACCCTGGGTACTGACCAATTTCAGAAAGAGTTCCCTGCACTATTCGATCACTCGACATTGGGAAAAATGAATGGCGTTCAGATACACTTGCATGTGGATGATGGGAAGCCAAGGTTTTGCAAACCTCGTTCGGTACCTTTTCATATTCGGGAACAGTATGAGGCTTCTCTTGACAAGCTCGAACGGGACGGTGTTATTCAGAAAGTTACGCACTCAGACTGGGCAGCTCCTACAGTACCTGTGAGAAAACCTGATGGCTCCATCCGGGTATGTGGTGATTACTCCGTTTCCATCAACAAATGCTCCAAAATGGATCACCACCCACTGCCAACACTAGACGAAATGCTTACCAAGCTATGTGGGGGTGAAAGGTTCACTAAACTGGATCTCTCCCAAGCATACCATCAGCTAGAGCTATCACCAGAATCCCGAGTCTATACTACTATCAACACACACCGTGGTTTGTACGAATTTACTAGATTACCGTTCGGAGTAAATTCAGCAGTTTCAATTTTCCAACGAACCATGGAAAATTTACTAGCGGGTCTTCCGGGTTGCGTCGTGTATATCGATGACATCCTTGTCACTGGGAAGACGGATGAGGAACACGCACAGAATTTGCGGCGAGTCTTACAACGACTTGAGGACGCTGGCATGAAATTGAAACACAGCAAAATTGAATTCATGTCGGATGTTGTGGTCTACTTGGGTCACAAAATATCAGCGCGTGGTGTACAACCTACAGATGAACGGATCGATGCATTGAAAAGCGCGAAACCACCCAAAGACGTAGCGGAATTGCAATCTTTCATTGGGTCTGCTAACTATCTACGGCGATTTATTCCACATTTTGCTGAGCAAATGGCACCACTCTATACTCTGTTAAAACGGGATACTAAATGGAACTGGGGTCCCACAGAACAACAGGCATTTGAACAGATACGCAATGCTATGAGTACCGATGCAATGCTCAGTCATTTCTCCATGACCAAGAATGTGGTTTTACAAGTCGATGCCTCAGGTTTCGGACTGGGCGCTGTGTTGCTACAAGAGGATGAGGATGGTTTCTTGCGTCCTGTAGCCTATGCTTCCCGGGTTCTTACCGCTCCGGAAAAGAATTACTCACAAATCGAACGTGAGGCTCTTGCTTTGGTTTTTGGTGCGAATAAGTTTCGACAATACCTATTGGGCAAATCGTTCACACTCAGAACGGATCATAAGCCGTTGCTCTCACTATTTGATCCACACAATGCAGTGCCTACGCTTACATCAACCCGTTTAAAGAAATGGCGTTTGGTGTTATCCGCTTACGATTACCGGCTTGAATTTGTCAAGGGAAAAGAGAACATTTTCGCTGATTACTTGTCACGTAAACCAACCATGAATGTACCATCAGTTGAGGAGAGTGTTACGGAGGAAATCCTACACTTTGAAACGGAGAATATTCTCACTGCAGATACAGTAGCTACGGAAACTAGAAAGGATCCTACTCTTACTCAGGTTATGCAATACGTAAAATTTGGGTGGCCTGTTAATGTTGATACCAAATTGCAACCTTACTACTCACGGCGATTTGAGCTTACTGTACAAAATGGTGTACTGATATGGGATTCTCGTGTGGTTATTCCGAATTCCTTACAACACCTTCTATTGCAGGATTTACACTCAGAGCACACCGGAATTGTGCGTATGAAGAGAATGGCTAGGCAATATGTATGGTGGCCTGGTCTGGATAGTCACATTGAGAATACCGTGAAATTATGCAGGCTTTGCCAGGAGAATGCCAAGAAGCCAGCAAAGGACCACGGTTCTTGGTCCTGGCCAGCTGGGCCATGGAAACGTCTACACTTGGATTTTGCGGGTCCATTTCTGGGTACTATGTTCCTTGTATTGGTGGACTCGTATTCCAAATATATTGATGTCGTACCAATGAAATCTGCAACTACTCAGGGTGTAATTACAATGTTACGTTCTAATTTTGCTATTTTTGGCTTGCCGGAGCATGTGGTCACAGATAATGGCAGCCAATTCACGAGCGCAGAATTCAAGTCATTCTTATCCAGTAATGGCATCGTGCATACGCTCACGGCACCTGGGCATCCTGCCACTAACGGTTTGGCCGAACGCTATGTGGGACATTTCAAATCTAAAGTCAAGCTCCTGACATCAGAGACTGATTTGTCCTCTGCCTTGTACCGGTTCTTACTCACTCATCGCACTACACCTACGGTGAGTGGCAAGTCACCTGCAACTCTACTAATGAATCGTCAGCCACGAACAAGGTACGATCTACTACATCCGACTACTGCAGCCGCTTTGGATCAGCAAGTGCGTTCATTTCAACAGAATTGCTCGAATACTCCCGAGTATAGTGTTGGTGATGCTGTCTATGCACTGAATTTCAGCAATTATGGGTCGAAGTGGGTACCAGGCGTCGTTCTCAGTATTGTCAGCCCCATGAATTACCGTATTCAGGTTGACGAAGTGGTGTGGAAACGCCATCGGAATCAATTACGGCCTCGTTCCATCCCGGGTGCAATGATTCCCAGTCTGCAACCTCCAGCTGAAGTGGTGGATTCATCGTCTGTGCCGACTCCGCCTATGTCGGTACCACCAGCTGTGACATCTACGCCGCCGGATGAAACACCGGCTCAGTCAACAGCACCTTCTACTCAGGCACCTATAACGCCCGATCTGTCGGCTGCGCCGGCTCCTCATAGTTTGCCGAAACAGCCTGAGCGTACACAGCCCCGTCGAAATGTTGGTAAACCGTTGCGTTATCGTGATGGCTAAGTGTACAGTACATGTGCTGACCAGTCGTGACTGATACCGAACACTTTTTGTAATGTGGATTATGGCCTGGTTTGTGAATACTGATTCTGGACTTTTGAGATCATTCTATTCGCATGTGCATGTATTTCCTTGTACCGGTCTCTGCATAGTCTATTCGCTGTGCATGACAATTACATTAATCTAGACAGTGCTCTTGGCACATGTGCATGTTTGTCCGCATAATTTATTTTCTATAATGCATTCTGTTATGAGCACTGTCCCAGTGTCAGCAAATATTGATTGCATGCCTTTGTACATATTTCTGCTTGCTTTGTTGCTCCATATACCTCCGCTTTGTGGGGGAGGATTGCTATGTATACGTCATACTTCATAATATGATGACTCCTCTTTTCTCTATCATACTGAGCATGCGTCATAACAACATGGTCTTTTGTCCGTCACTACTCTATGAACTGTTTGTGTGTCTGTGAGGTCCGACACAACACTAATGTCCAAAATCTTGAGCAGATGATTGTTTTTCCAGCACCTTTGTTCATTTGAGTTGTGAGGGAAAGACATAAAGTTTCCTGTTAAAGATCATAGTAATGGAAGCACTTGCCTTGAACTAATGAATGGTGGGCTCTGATGCTCTCCATCGATGCAAACACACCACACAGGCATTAATTTGGCACTAAATGACTATCCAGGAAATACTTCAAAGTACTTCAAAAAGTATATGTAAGGAGGGGTAACTATGGAAAGGATTCGTAATTTACAATTGAGTCATATAGATACAGTGTAGCATTTCATAGATCTGCATGTGGCTTGTCAACAGATCTATGTGTGTATTTATATGTACATTTACTCGTGTACCCATCAGTCTTGGCAACGCTAACGAAGCCGGATGATCAGTTTGTTGCAAAAGCAAGGAAAGATCTTCTCTACGGATACTATGATAGGGTCATGGTAAGTCACTTAGGCTTCTAATCAGTATTTACCCAATGCCAGTATTAAATTCACGCCACATTGAACTGATGAAACACATGCATATTCCCCGGTTTATTGAATATAGATAGAACTGACCCATTCACAAAACTACAAAGCTTGGCATTGGATGCTAAAACACGTTTCAAAACTATGGATAGACGTACTCGAGCCTACTAAGTCCGATATGCTCTAGATACACCGAACACTGAATCACGCTGTTCCCTACTTGTATTAGACCCAGATCAACCCAAAATAGAGTGGGAAGAAGTAAAATGAAAATAGCAACCATGGCAACGTTTGTGCACCCGCACATGTTGTCCAGGCGTCAGGGGCCCAGCCTCCCCGATACGCAACAGCAACTGTCTATACAAACAGAGATTGCAATCAGTAGCATCTGATGTGAATGATGCAGGTAAGGGAAAGAAAGCAACTGCTGATCAGGCCATGGAGACAATAGGGACCTTTCGCATTTGCTACGAATCGAATGCGAAACGAAAGTTTGATTCGGCTCGTGATCGTTTCGTTGAAAACAGATTCAGGTTTCGCAAGTCGTCATGCAAATGTGCATGGCAATTACGAATACGGCCGGTAGCATGGCGTACGGGTATTTACACGCACATGTGCATGGATCATGGAATCAAGGGAAAAATGTGTACCTGGCAAAACATGTGTACCTGGCCAAATAAATGTGTACCTGACGGATTCGGAGTGCGCCACGAATGAAGAGGCTTCCATTCGTGAAAATGAGCTCTCCGCAGGGACTCTGACGAATCCTCGAACCCAGGTGACGAATCAGCATTCGTTTCGTATCCGTACGTGGGGTGCGAAAGGTCCCTAATATTTCCTTCCATGAGCCAGCAGCTCCACTGGGCTGTTGTCTGCATTGTGGCAATGGTCTGTGCCACTCATCCCTGGTTAGGATGGGGTCTTAGGACGTTTGATTTTGATATCATATGCAGCTGCTTCCAATTAACTCTGTCAGTTTCAGTCTTTTAAGGCAAGGGAGTGTTGTATGAATGTGTGGTTGTGGTTTCTTCCCGTGTCACGTATGTTATGCAGTTAGAGGAAAGTGCAATTTGTTCAATGCTAATCAAGGTTAAATTTTCCCAACAGAAAATCTCCTGGGTCTAGGGGCGCGTTTGGTTCATACAACCTAGAACAGGATTCACCGGAACAGCGCGTTTGGTTGGGACTGCACCTGTTCTGGGTCGGCCAAAACATGTTCTGCTTGATCCGGTCTCGAAACTGGATCAGACCGAGCAGTTTCACTTTTTCACAGTGAAACCTGGCGGGAACATCGATTTTGGTCCCAAATGATCATGTGCATACGCTTTTGGCTTGGACTCGTTGTGCCGTACAAAAAAGTGACCAGGTGACCCGTACACATTTAGAAGAATGCACCAAGTTTGGCACACTTTTTCACAAAAATGTGCTTTGTTTCTGGAGTACCGTTTGGTTGGCATGAGGCTGCTCCATGTGCGCCAGCTGTTCGATCCTGTTCTAGATCGTACCAACCAAACACACCCTAGGGCTTCCTAAAGGCATGTGATCTGCTTTTTTCGTGTTCAATGTTCCTTGTGATAGATGCTGACAAATTCTGCTGATGCTAAAGGTATGAACTAGCCGCTATTGCCATTGTGATCATTGTGAGCGATACCATTATTTGAAGGAGTCGGAGATCAGCATGAATATAACCATTGACAATTGATCCTGGGGCACATTTTATCAGCGATGCTAGGTGTTATCCCGTATTGAGCATCGTTGAAAGTTGAAACTCACAAATGGCCCTTTGTACCTGATTATTCTTACATGATGACCTAGTCAGAATGACCTTTGACTCTAAATATACCTAAAATAAGTTATAACATATTGTAATAAGTGTTTTCAATTCATTGCATTCCCAACTCATCACAACCACGCGCTCTTCAGCCGAACCATACAGACACCAGCAAGGACACTTCCGTTGAGAGATAATAATTATTGCTCCACGCCTCTAGACAGCTGTTTCGCTCCCTGTCGGAGCTCATCAGTAGAGGATGATAATGATGATAATGGAGGAATGATCATTCTTATACACCAGAAATGGCGCAAGTGCGCGCTTTCCACATATATCAATGGCATATGCAAGCTGCTAAAATGGTAAAGTGTGAGAACAGCGATAAATAATCATAATACGCGCTCATTGGTGGAGAAACACACCACACAGGCGACGAAATCTTACGCGGAATAATGATGCCAAAGGAAAGTACATGTATGTTGATTATTATGATGTTGCAATGTCCATGTATGCAGGCCAGCCCAGACTCACCGCCGAGATCCCCCAACGCGACAGGCTCGGTTGCCGTTCAGGATTCACACCGACCTGTCCGCCCGTCAACAGGATCGACAGCGGGAGGCCCCACTGATGCCGATGTCGATGCACACCAGGAAACTTGTAGTCGTGAGTGTGATACTAATAGGTCCATCGGCAACCACTGACAAACGAGAGGCCAGCTGGGGCATTCACTCCAGTCAGGGATGCTTGGTCGACGCTTCGTATCAGCAGCTCAGCTCATTTTGATCAAAAAGATGTTGCAGATGTGTCTTGCTTTTCTCCTTCCTTCTTCACCGACTCGTCTTGTCATCTCTCCTTCTTTCTTCACCGACTCTTCGTGTCCACTCTGCTCTGCCACTAACGGCGCATTAAAACTTCAGAACTATTATATTTAGTTCTGAAGTTTTAATGCGCCGTTAGTGGCAGAGCAGAGTGGACACGAAGAGTCGGTGAAGAAAGAAGGAGAGATGACAAGACGAGTCGGTGAAGAAGGAAGGAGAAAAGCAAGACACATCTGCAACATCTTTTTGATCAAAATGAGCTGAGCTGCTGATACGAAGCGTCGACCAAGCATCCCTGACTGGAGTGAATGCCCCAGCTGGCCTCTCGTTTGTCAGTGGTTGCCGATGGACCCATTAGTATCACACTCACGACTACAAGTTTCCTGGTGTGCATCGACATCGGCATCAGTGGGGCCTCCCGCTGTCGATCCTGTTGACGGGCGGACAGGTCGGTGTGAATCCTGAACGGCAACCGAGCCTGTCGCGTTGGGGGATCTCGGCGGTGAGTCTGGGCTGGCCTGCATACATGGACATTGCAACATCATAATAATCAACATACATGTACTTTCCTTTGGCATCATTATTCCGCGTAAGATTTTCGTCGCCTGTGTGGTGTGTTTCTCCACCAATGAGCGCGTACTATGATTATTTATCGCTGTTCTCACACTTTACCATTTTAGCAGCTTGCATATGCCATTGATATATGTGGAAAGCGCGCACTTGCGCCATTTCTGGTGTATAAGAATGATCATTCCTCCATTATCATCATTATCATCCTCTACTGATGAGCTCCGACAGGGAGCGAAACAGCTGTCTAGAGGCGTGGAGCAATAATTATTATCTCTCAACGGAAGTGTCCTTGCTGGTGTCTGTATGGTTCGGCTGAAGAGCGCGTGGTTGTGATGAGTTGGGAATGCAATGAATTGAAAATATGGCCGAAAGCTCTGTCGCAATATTTAGTTCTGTAATAAGTGTGTTATACTAAGACAGTACAATACTCACTATTTGTATTTTCCGCTCTTTTACCATAGCAATGAGTTCCCATCAAGTATAGAAGAGCGAATGCTCCAGTGGTTCTCTAGTTGCAGTCTTCGTTGTTGTTTACTAACAATATGTATCTGGCTGAATGTGGTTCCGCACAGAGCGATACTAGTATCATCTACACATACTTTCTCTCGTCCACTCTAGGGAAGGAATTGCTCAGAAACAGCGTTGTTCCAAAGTTATTGACGATGAGCTGCCAAGAGTGTCACTGCGTCCCATCGCTAGTCGAGGTAAAAGTGTGTTTTAGAATAGCATATCAACCACGTACACTGTATTCAGCAGGTCAAGCACTACAACTTTTGTTCAGAAAAAAGCATGGCTTGAACAGTCCAGTCATTTGTTTGGATACCTGTAATGTTTAAAGTAGAAAGATATTGAAGGACACACAGAAATTATGAAATGAGAAAAGGTGCAATCTAAAATGTGTGGAATGGCTTTATCACTCTGTTCTTCTATTTACGAGTACACTACTCAATCTGTGGACTAGTAGTGCACTGTGTACTTTTTTAAAGGTCGGTTACTCGCAACAATCAAGCTCGCACCTTTCTTTCTTATAAGTATCGCCCAAGTCGTCGCCATGTACTTTTACATGAAGATTAAATTCTGATACTAACTTAGGTGCTATGTACGTGAGCCCAGGTGCAGGACATTCCAAGATCAGTACTTCTCAGGGAGTGTTTAGGAGCGGTATTGGTATTCTTATACAGTCAGACCTCGCATAACCGCACACATCCGTTTTCCACAAAAATATCCGGATAGGCGAGGGAACCGGATAATCGAACACACATACTGTATGTAAGCATGGCATATGCTGTACATTTGTAACCAACTATTTTCTTCCGGATGGCGAGGGATCCGGATAAACGAGGACCGGATAAGCGAGGTCTGACTGTAGCACAATAATTACCACAGGATGGCACTTACAAGATTAACAGCGTAAATTGAGATGATAATTCGATTGCTTGTTTGTTTCCTGTAGGGCATGAAAGTTGTCAACTCTCTGCTTCAGTGTTGCCCAATTCCATCCTTGCACAGCCTGAGCGCCAATCAAGGCGTCAAGAGCAGCCTGTAAGCTTACCACCCCGTGACTTGCCCTGTACTATGAGTGCTATTACCTACTGTTCTTGGGCTTTTTTTGTTATCAGATACATTACGGTTAAAGGGGAAGTTAAGGCAAAAATTAAAATTTCACCAGTTGTAGTCTTCGGGGTGCTGAGTCGAATGGTCTTGGTCCGAGAAAGCTGAGACGCTCCCTTCCTACTTGAATCCCAATCGAACTCGCGCACTTCCACCGAAACTGGGTGACTGCGCCCTACTAGATGGGGATTTGTATGCAAAATATCACTAAAAGCGCCATTTCGTTCTTATAAAAGCACGGATGACCGCGATTGGCCCATATGTTTTAGTCTTTTGGACGCTGAGTCGACTGGTTTTGGTCCGAAAAGGCTGCGATGCAGCGTTCCTCCTTTATTCCCAATCGAACATGGTTGAAGAAGCGGTCACGTGCTCCTGTGTGCCCAAATCACCTGGTCACCACGCCAGCAGGCGACAACTTTCACACCAAGGTTCAACTCGAGTTCAACTCGAGTGACAGGACTGCACCCAAAAAAGGTCAAACAGGCTAGTAAGTTGTACCCTGCAGGCACGGTGACCAGGTGACTGGTGTACGCAGGAGCACGTGACCGCTTGTTCAACCATGTTCGATTGGGAATAAAGGAGGAACGCTGCATCGCAGCCTTTTCGGACCAAAACCAATCGTCTCAGCGTCCAAAAGACTACAACATATCGGCCAATCGCGGTCATCCATGCTTTTATAAGAACGAAATGGCGCCTTTAGTGACATTTTGCATACAAATCCCCATCTAGTAGGGCGCAGTCACCCAGTTTCGGTGGAAGTACGCGAGTTCGATTGGGATTCAAGTAGGAAGGGAGCGTCTCAGCTTCCTCGGACCACGATCATTCGACTCAGCACCCCGAAGACTACAACTGGTGAAATTTTAATTTTTGCCTTAACTTCCCCTTTAAGCGGGATTCACAGAAGCTTTTTTTGCGATGCGACACGCGATGCGACGCGATCTGCGACGGACGCGTACGATGCGAACTCGCGAAATGCGACTCTTACCATTCACAGAAGAAGTCAGCGATGCGACAAAGTCTTGCTGATTTGGTTACGTCACCATGATATTCGCGCGGTTTGGTACAACTTGTACAGTCGACCTACCCTTATAACGATAACCTCTATAACGATATTACCCTTATAACGATATTTTTCTGCCAAACCAAATCACTCCATTGACTAGTGCATACAATGCCTTACCTCTATAACAATATTGCTAAACGATATTACCCCTATAACGATATAAAATGGGCTGACCAATCGACATTTTCCATTTTATAACAATATCTAGCAGGGAATATGTAGAGCCTACTATCCAGGTAGGGCAAGCTTCACTTGATAAGTCGTTGGGACATGACGAAATGCAATGGGGCACCAGTGGGCACCTTGCTGTGCACATAATGTGCATGTATGTCAGTTGTTTATGCTGTGAAGAGTGTAATAAATGAACAAAATCCATGCATTATGACGTATGTGTATGAAATGAACCAGTTACCCCTATAACAATATTACCCTTATAACAATATTTCTTGGTGTGGCGCAAATATCGTTATAAGGGTAGGTCGACTGTACAAATTTATAAGCAACTCTTGAACCTTTGTACAACTTTGCTGTAGAAAAGGTCAAAATCGTACGCCAAATCGCTTGTCGCATCGCAAAAGTTGAGCCAAGCTCAACTTTTGCGATGGCCTGCGATGGCCCAGTTGCGGCAGTTGCGTGGGGTGTGACATGGCTGCGATTTGGGGTTTTCCCGGTTTCGCGTCTGTCGCATCGCGTGTCGCATCGCAAAAAAGCTTCTGTGAATCCCGCTTTAGAAGCCATACAATTATGGATGATTGACAAATCATCACCATGTGTTCCAATGTTTATGTCCCTCCAGACTGTCCATGGGCCAGAAACTTTCTCTTTTGGGAGGTAAGCTGGGCAACTTTTTGTTAGGAGCAATAGTAGTGCATGTAGTAGGCGGGTAATGTACCCATTGTATTGCACGGGGAGTGCTAGCTAAAGTAGCTGGGAATTTTATAATAAAGGCTGAAGTTCCTGTTTCTTGTGCTGATGTCATAATGGTAGAGAAGCATAGTGTGTCCTTGCTATTGAGTTCTCGGCATTATGTGACTGTACCTGTTGGAGTGTTGTACATTGAACCATTTTTACGCTTTCCTTTGCAGATATGGAACTCCAGATGGGATTTGTAGAAGGAATCTTCCGCTTGACGACCCGGGAAGAGCGAGAGCGATTGGGCAGTCACTGTTTCCATTATGAACGCATAACTGGCCACTTCCTGAGCATCAAGGATACGGAGTTTGAACCGGTAGGTAAATAGGAAAAGGCTGTATGAACTACGGTATCAAGGTACAATTATAGTACAACTCCTAATGGCTTTCTTAGCTCATTATGCCTGGGATAGCTCTCTCTCTCTCTCTCTCTCTCTCTCTCTCTCTCTCTCTCTCTCTCTCTCTCTCTCTCTCTCTCTCTCTCTCTCTCTCTCTCTCCCCCCTCTCTCTCCCTTCTTTAAATCCTCTTACTACTCTGACCTGCTGATTTTGACGTTCTTGCATTCAGGACTGTAGGCGCTTTCTCAATGCACTCAATGGCTCTATGGCGAACAGCAGCAAAAGGTATGCTAACAGGTTGCTTCTGAATATTCTCGCCCGGTGTGAATGTGAGCACCCCAGTAAAAATGCCATCAGATGCGTATCCCTAATTCGGTTTGTTTGCCTTGTCGATACCTCTGTGCACTGCGGACAGGGTTATTACACTGCCGTGCTGTTCAGCCTATGTTGGTGACGTTCAGGTAAGCTGGAAGGAAGCCTTACATGGTCCCATGCAGTCAAGGCTGATTAGGGTGATATTCAGAATCATGGTCATAGTGCAAATGACATGTTTGTTGAGGTATGTACATCTTCAGCGATTGTGAAGTCGATCTACTTTCAGGTCAAGTGCTATTGTTTTGGTCATCTGGGCATAAGCCGGATGATTTTGACCCAGATAACACATCTTTCATAAGACACCACTGTAATACACTTCTGTTATGGAAGCCAGTTGAAGTTTCTGGTTCATTTCTGTGTTCCGCTTTGCTGCTAACTGGACAACTAACAGCTGCAGCGACCAAAAGACAAAGGCTTGAGCGACTTCTGGGTGGATTTCAACCCAAGAAGTCTGTCCATGACATTATTTATCCAAGACACGGCTGTAGAGGTGAGTGGCCGTGTTGATATCAATTCTCAGCTTGATCTGGCTATAAGCTTGATTACGTGACCGGCTATTACACGATTACTATGCAGCAATCCTGGACGTGCTTCGTATAGAGCACACAGGGCAATCTGCCGCCCTACATGTAGGCTGTACGCTATGGGTCACACAGGCATAGTGCATAACCAAGTACAAGTCTTCGGAAAGAATATTGAGGGTGCACCTCCTTTTCCAGGGTTCAAGGAACCACTGGTCCCCATTAGCAAACTGCCCAAGCTATCTCACCTGCTGCTGTCCGACTTTACATGCATTGTTTCATTAGTTATCTGCTGGCTTCTTGTGCTCTCGTGACATTTAGAGTGATGTTTGGGATACGGTAGCTGTGTGCAAAGAGAATGTCAAATCATTTCACCTGACTGGTAAGCGCATCTTGACGTACACACTAGAATTCCCACGGGATCCCCATACAATGGTAGCACATGTTAGGTGATCAGAAATGTCAGCTGCAGACTTGGTGCACGTGCGTGCGTGCGTGTGTGTGTGTGCGTGAGTGTGTGTGTGTGTGTGTGTGTGTGTGTGTGTGTGTTTGTTGGGGAGGGGAGAGCTATCAACCACATCATGCTCATCAAATTTGGAGAGTTGGTATAGCCGACAAGATTACCAACAGCTTGCACCCAATCGGCATGGTCTCCATCATGCTAGAAGTGCATTGTGATATGTATATCCGTGATTGATTTTATGAGTCATTCCAGTTCAGCGTGGAAGTGAACCCAAAATGTTAAAAAGATCTGCCCCTGAATATGTATGAGTAACTGTGTTCTGGTAACGCACTGGGAACGTAAGGTATGTAATGCATCACAGAACGTCACCAGTGAACACTCATGACTTTAGATAGACAAGCTTTTCTGATTTCAATGCAGGAATGCTACCAGAAAACGGAAAGTCAAATTGAAAACCAATAGAGTCAGTGTTGAAAATGTCAAACCTTCGTAAGGGTCTAGCCTCGGATTGGTTAAAATGCAAGTGCATAGGCAGCTACTCTTCAGCACAAAGCACAACTCAATTCAATTTTATCAATGCAGCCAACGGCATAATAATTCTCAGGTTTTGAAACTTCTGGTTGCCTATAACTTACCCCTAATAACTGTATATGTTCCAGAGGGAATCAATGAAGGTCATCAGCTAACTATCCAGCTCTCGGAAGCCCTGACACACATATCTAACAGCCACCAGGTCAAGATATTCTTGAAGAAGGAGTGTATCCTCAAATGTGCCATAGCTCTATGTCTGTATGTGTATGGTATTCGCACCAAAACTAGTCCCACAAGGTGAGCCACCACAAAATAACACTGCCATCAATTCACGTGGGTTGTCATGGGCTGCTCTTCTAATAGTCGTAACACCGAGCTCTACGCGTTACCAAAGAACGTGTCTGATCTAACTTTTTCATTTGTGTCGTAGTCTAGGATCTCGCCATTAGATTCACTCCTACCGGAGAGTGGTTCCTCAAGCTTCATGAATGCCACATCATCACCGTCAGCACCTGTCGGAGGTAACGGGGCAATGTCGAAGGGATGAACTGAAATCTGACGGGGTGCCTGGCCCAGACCTCTGCTTGGACATGGGCTTCGTTTCAGTTTGGCCCTATGAAACCGATTAGACAGACACAAGGACATGTAAAACCATACAAAAATTACTTGGACATGTTAAATGGGGAGCATTACAGGTTAACATTGCAGCTCATAATTAGCATGCAGGAGACATCGAGATGGCAAATGAGATTACGAAACCCAGTGCGTTAGTAGTGATGAGGCTCATCCCATCACTTGCTGGTGAGCTGATCTACTCATCTCCCACCGCTTTAGGAGCTGCATCTGCACCTTGATCCTTGATGGGTGGTGGCGTTCCTACTGATGCGGAAAACTCGGCCTCTAGCCGAGTCTGACGCGAACCGTGAATTTTTTTCTTTTTTCTTTATAGAAACAATTTGTACTGGATCATATGTATCCCAAACGTTGCCAGAAAATCAACACTGTCGTTCTTAACTTAGACTGTGGCGTTCTTCGGCGCGTGGCTGTACTGTAGGTGCCGCATCATGTGGGAGGTCAGGATACTCAATGCATGTGACCTCAGCACAGAAAACGGACTTTCCCTTACCTTTGCCAAGGCTACAGGTGCAAATCCAGGCTACATCCAGTGTTTATGTGACCCCCACCCTCTGCATGCCGTTTTCTTTCAGAACCCTGGGAACCGGCGGAACACAACTAAGAACCAATCCTAAGTAGAAGGGGGTGCTTTAAGATTATGCTGTAACGTCTGCTAGAGACATACATGTACATGCCCAGTGTATAAGATGTAGCTCGCAAACCACACTCGCAGAAGTGGGTGCTTGCATTGCGAACTCTACATAAAATACTAATGCTACAAAACATTTTTTTAACACTATTAGTCATGCCTAACAGAAATATGATGCAATCGGGTGTCTCAAAACGAGAACTGGGGTACAGAAATGACTTGCACTACATGCATGACACCCACTGAGGCCTTCAGCATCCTTCGTTTTTAGTTCAGGGCTCACCACGACCATACAAAATTCAAAAAGCGTCGACCACCATTTTGAAAAATGGCGATTGCCGCGCAGGCCAGCATTCGTGCAGTCATAGCGGCTATGCACCCGAGTTCGTGCTGATCAATGTACAGCGATGTACAGTAGAGTTGTAAAATATTTTACGATTCATCCCTGGTCTAGTCTGTACGGCGAAGGGCCAGTGCTGAAGAGAATCTTGTTGTTTGATGCCGGGAAAGACACGAGGAGAAGACGTCCTTTCTCCAAGCCATCTTAGTCATTTTTCTCAATCTGCTGGTGCATGCCGACCAAGATATGTCCGTGAGATACTGGTGAACTGGAGTCCTGGCATCTACACGATGTTGCCGCTCCTAGCTAACCAATGTTGTCAGTAGAACTCAGCGTTTCCTGATCACGGCTCGGCACAGTCTTTTCTGTTCGACCTCGCAGCTTTCACCCTGCGAGTGTGGAGTTTTCCTGGCCACAAATGAATTCTGGCCACTGCTAAGACCGACTCATTTCAAATGCATTTGCATAATATAATCCTGCATGGACGAAATTACCAACCCCAGGTGTCCTCCTAACTTTCAAGTTCAAGCACTTTAGACAAAGCGTAATTGAAAAACCAGTATTACAGTCTGTGGGACTTCCACAATAGGTGGATTCCATGATACAGCCAGGCTTACCAGAGTAGACGAAGTATCAAAGCCAAAAGAGCAACTCCGGCACAAGTGAGCACTATGGCAACAACCACACCGCTTGAAATACCTCCTGGAGCAGAAAGAAGAATCAAGAATACCCAGTAAAGGACTGTAAAGACCAGTTGGACGTACAGGTGAATTTTAACCTTAGAAAGAACTCTACCAAAGTTAGGAGCACCACATGAAATAGGTGTGAATCGAAACTACCGGCACAGAAAATTCATTTAGTGCAATGTAGATACAATCAACTCCTGATATAACGAACAACATTGTGCAGGAGAATTAGTTCATTACGGCCGAAGCTCGTTATAGCAGAAATGCACTCACACTATGCAAACAGAAAGTCATGACTGGCAAGTGGCCCATGACTGTGTGAGTACACTTGGTGTACATGTGGCACTTCAAGGTATGGTTCGTAATGAAAAGGGTTCGCTACAAAGGGTCAATTTGGTATGGGTTCAAACAGGGACATGGACAAATGGTTCGCTATATCACGAAGTTCGCTATATGCGAGTTCGTTATAAGTGGAGTCGACTGTAGATACCCAAGGTAAATAGCTTCAGGCAGATGAAGGCAAGGGCCGAAAGACACTTTCTGTTTTCCCCGTTTGATGCTGTCAACAACAACAATATGTGCAACCCAGGAAAAAACATGGTAACAGGCCTGTAATTTGTCACACAGCCCAGCAAGATACTGTTTGCAGTAACTCTGTGAAGATAGAGATGGATGATAACCTTGTTGATAATGATGGCTTACCGCTTTCAGATTGCGCTCGGTGTTGACTTTGGCTCGGGGTCGCCATCTCCGTGTTACGACTGTTCGTGACAGTTGGGGTCACAGTTGTGCCTGTTGTATCCACATAGGAGGTATGGTATGTTGTAGGTGCTGCTGTTGGTATTCTAGTGCAGGGGACATTGGTAGTGGTTGAAGGCAAGGGTGAAGCTGCAGGGCAGATGTTCGGAGCACCCGGCGTTGTACCGGTGTTGACAAATGCCAATGTATTCCGAGGCTGAGACGAGTGACATCTGGAAAGGGAAAACCTCGTTCTCTCGACAATAAGCTCCTGGCATGGCAGCAGAAGATCAAGAAGTTGCTCAGGTTGTTGCTGAATAAGTCTGCGAGCATGGTAGACAACTGCATCCACCAAGTACTCAGATGGAGGAAGGGCTGCTTGTGCTGAAAGAGTTATCCAGGAAGGCGGCACTTGGTAAATAGCTATACCACTGGTTCTATCTGGGAGATTGCTTAGCAGTTGCAAATCACGGCTGCATCTACAACCTTCAGCACCAAGGACAAAAAGACCATTAGAGTTTGTTGTGTACCCCTCAAGTGTGTATGCAGCAGAAATAGTCGGCGTCGGCAGTCCCTGGTATATGACGAGCTGTAGATCATCGAGGGGTGAGTTTGGTTCACCACGTAGCTCGATGTATTCTGCTGCATCAATAGGCCCTCGTTGATTGGCATCAATTTCGTTGATGAGCATGTTTGAAGGAGTAGGGTAATTGACTTTACTCCCACAGTCGTTTGGTAGTCCCGCAGTTGGTCTTGCAAGAACTGTCCTCACATCTCCATTGAAATAATTAGAACACGTACTAACACTCATATCAACGATCGAATTGACTTCTCGCCCAGTGTCAGATTGAGCTATTGTGAATATGCTTACAGGTACATCCATAGGGTACCGTTTAAGGATGATAAGTCTTGCAGATAGAGGATCAAAGGATTCGATTAGAGCTGAATTACCAAGCACAGCTCTGGTCGCCAGTGAGAAGAACCCCGAGCTGCTTGTAGTAAAGTTTAGCAAGGGGTATTCTTTCAACGTTCTCCCTTGTTTATCGGTAATCACCAATGTGTATTGTGCTAGAGGAATTTCGTTTCCTTTGTCGTTGAATAGTTCTATGAATTGGGAAGAGACAAGAGAGCTAGTGGACGGGATGGCGTTGACTTCATTGATGGACACATTCCCGCAGAGATTTGGCTCCCTTGGAGTCCTTTGGCTTGACACAAAAGCGCCTTGATACTGCACCGCTATCCCTGTGCCAAAGCATCGGCTTAGTGAAAATCCAGCAGGGGCATACAAGTGAGCTCTGTTGCCATTTGCAGTTGTCCGGTATTGCACTTCATCCAGTGATACACCATTCTGCAGTACTTGTATGGAACCACTGCTTCCAAAAGACATTGGAGCAGTGACAACGTCAGCATCAGGATAAGAGCCCACTGTAAGGAAACCAGCTAGATCTGTGTTGTACTGCGACAGGTCTACTACAAAGATGGTATCATCCACTCGTATCTTAAGAGAAACTCCAGACAGTAAGATGAGCCCAACACCGCCATCAGAAATTTCAATGTAGCTAATAGATGATCCTGGGAGTACTTCAGACAGGACTAGAGTACTAAGCAGTGTAGGTGATTGTGTACCACTACGTGTACAGTTATTCTGTGACCCGGGAGTGATTGTAGTAACTTGGAAAGCATCTTGATGCAGGCGCCGCAGTGATTCACATCGACTCAGTGACACCTCAATATTACTGCTCCGCCTGACAAGATCTCTTTCCTGAAGTTGTCTCTGGCCGGGCAACAAAACTGAAAGTAGCTCCGAGTCCACCTCTCTACCCCGGCTGTATACGATGGCATCCAGCAAACCACTCCTTGTTGGAACAGATTCATTCAACCAAGCACTTGGTTCCGATGAATTAGGCAATAGGGTTGAGTACAGTGCCACCGCATCTGGACCATTGCCGATGAAATGGTCACACACAACTAGATCTGGAGTGGGAAACACCTGCTCGGAGCCAATGACAAAATACCCTTCAAAGTTTGTTCTGTATGCCGACAGATCAATTGCAGAGTAGGCACGATTGTCTGGCCAGGATCCATCGAAGAAAACTATGGTAATGCCTGACAAGCTGGTGTTTCCTCGACCTCCATCGTACAGCTCCACAAACTCTTCTGTGTCCAGCTGTGGCGAGTCAGCACTGAGTTCATTGATCACAATGCTGCTTTCAACAACGGGAGGAGTCAATGGATTCTGCATCTTGGTGTCGCTGGGGAACCCAGGGCATGGCACATCATTGGCACCAGCTGGGTTATATGCAGTACAGTTGTTTTCATAGCCAGGTGTAGGTAGAGTGAGGATTAGAGATTCAAATGGGACAGATGAACTGGGGCACCTGCTAATGGCCAAGTCAACTAATGCACCAGATACGTACGCATCCACTTCATGCACTATGCCATTGAGAGGTGACAGGGTGTTCTCCAGAAATGGATTTCCTCTGGGAGAGAATTTGTTGTAGACAACTGCATCCACTAGTCTTCGGCTATGGGCCTGGGTTCCAAGCGGAAATTCTTCTGCTGTTCCCAAGTACAATGCGACTGCATCGGGATTGTCTCTCTGGTCGCCATTCTGCAGGAACGTTCCTTCAATAATGAGATCTGGGCTGGGAATTACTTCAGTCATACCAATTACAAAATAACTGCCGTTTGTCCGATATCCGTTCAAGGAAATTGACCTATACGATAGTCCAGTGCGACCGTCGTAAAGTACAATGACGTAATTGTCCAATGCATACAATGCACTGAGTGTAGTATTACTAGTATTAGCGGCTTCAGGAGTCGTACTTGTAGCATTGCTTGTATCCACTCGAGCTCCGCCAGATACTTTCAATTCGATGTACTCGGATGTGTCTTCACCTGGTTGGTGGGAATTTACCTCATTAATTTTAATGTTGTCGGTAGTGTACGCTCTCCTGACTGTCACCGCTATCGTCAGCAGAAGCAGCAGAGCGGCCGGTGATCGAAGCCGCATTATTCCGAGAAGCACGCACACTTTCCAGGAAGAGTGCACTGCTCCTATTTGGACGTTCAATACAAGTCTTCCACCTTGTGTTGCTTTGCTCCTGACCTATCCAAGTCGGAACTTCGCGTCTCCGGAAAGCCAACTGCCGGCAAGACCAGTCAAAGACCTGAGGTGAAAGCACACTGCTAAGGCTCTTTACTTACTAGTTTTCTGTGCGCGAAGTTCGGAACTGATTATTGTTATGAGTTCAGTTGGCCTTGCACTACCTCAGTACCTGCGCCTAGTTTTCCGTGTAGGACCGTGACAGGAACGGTCGACAGTGACAGAGTCACAGAGTGTGAGTTGTTTACCTAACTCCTTGTGTCACACCGGGCGCTGGTACGATGATACAGCTGTAGTGTAGGCATAGCACAGTACGTACATATATCCGTAGATCTACACGGGTGCCTGCAGGCTGCAGCCAAGTGATTGGTCGACCAGTTCGAGTGCAACTCGGTCTCCGAACTCCAAATCGATCAGTCTTCGAAGCTCCTATGTAGTAGATGGAGCAGTGCAGTGTCGATGTCATGTCCCGATCGGCCTTTTTCCGGGACCACGCCGCTGGGTCTACTCGCGATCCGACTTTCTACACCACACTGGCCGCTGTTGCAGTTGGGCACCACTGCACCGTCACGGATCACGGACTACAAAACTCCTTTATGAAAGTCGAAAGATGATAGTTGTCGCGGAGCTAGCTGGCTACGGTATGTACATGTTCTCGACGCCGTCGTCGAAACGAGGAACCGCACCATAAAAATGTAAATGGTTTATACATGACAGTGTACTAGTAACTAGTATTAGTATTACTTAGCTATGATCTTACTTCTTAGTACGGTAGGTCAATGATCCTGCGTCACACTGGTAGATCTACCGGTATACAGTCATGGTGACCGCTGTTGGCACTGGCAGCAGCTGAGCTCCAGAGTCGAAGTTCGAAGGGATACAAGTACACCATGGTACACACCACAGCCAGTAGCTGGAGGCTGGAGCAGTATACTAGTAGTAGTACTAGTAGACATGGTAGAGGGGATCCGGATAATGAAGGGAATCATAGGTACAGTTCTTGTCATGTGACAGTTCCCTGAGATCAGATCGCGCATACATAATCATTGATAATACTAGTAACTGAATCACCCAACTAACTAACTTCCCAAGTCCCCATGTCAGTGGCTTGCAACTGGAATGGCAGTGTAAAAATAGTTGTCGACTGAGTACTGTAGCAGCACCTGATTTGATAAGTTAGTTACATGCAATAGTGCAATCTTGCTGATGTTAGATACAATGTACATGATATGAGGTGCCAGCACGCCTGCCCAAAACAAAGTTAGTTACTTCAGATGGATCATTTTGTTACCATACATGTACCATGCATGTACATGATTGTACTAGTAGCTCCAGTCCCCCCCCCCCCCCCCCCCCCTGATTGTGCACAATATGCAATGGAGCAGATTCCCATCCATGATCCATGTTCATACCTCCCAGGTATACACCATGTACAGAGACAATGCTATTACAGTGGAGATTGGATATAACGACCTTGGGTATAATGACAAATCGAGTTTAGCGACACAATTCTGTTGCCCAAGTCGTTTAGCAAGTCCTTTTTGTACCTTATAGATCGGGTATAACGGATCGGCCAAGAGCGCAATGTGGTGGTGTGGTGTATTGGGTATAACGGCCTCGAAAATAACGACAAATCGAATTTACTGACACTTTTTGGTGCCCGAAGACCTTAAAAACAGTGAAAATACATCGGATATAACGACTTTCCTCTTGTATCAGGCAGACTGGCATGTCTGGAACATGGTATAAAGGCTGTGCCACGTGCCCGGACCTCCGGGTCACTCAATTATGTGTGCTTTACATTGCACATTGTAGCCACAGTGCAGCGGTGCGGGATGACTTTACTGTCCTTGAACATGCATGCAAGACACATGTACAGTCATACACATCTGTTATCCATATGTATATGTACATTAGTGGTGAAACGAATGTCAATAACTAGCAGCCGAATATTCTTTGGCTTAACGAACGAATGACCGAATATTCTTTTGGTAACACAGATGACATCACATGCCCTCCTCTCAGTCATTTGATGGATATTGTCATTACTATTAGGTATGACAAACGGTAGTGCCACATAAAATGCACTGCTACATAAGGCTACTTTGAAGTTCATACATGTTCTGTGCAACATTGGCAGTCCAGTATGCACATACACGTGCAAACATGCAGTACAAAGTCACAGGCAGGCTGTACGCACTGCACTGTACTGTGTTCGGCGTGCATGTATGTTTTTTGTCAGTAAAAATAGTTTTACAAGAATGCGTGCATGTATGTACATGCACTGCATCGAATATTCGTTTCACCACTAATGTACACGTACATGTACATGTATATCTACAATACATTTCTGTCATTTTGATATACATGTACAAGTGTCAAGTAAATTCGGCGGAATAGCGCGAGCTCCGGTGTGGGGAGCAAACCTTTCTTACAAATCATCGCCGAAGTCGCAACCACTACTTCGTACTGATGTACATATTGCATACTTAATTAATGTGAAGATCGGGTTTAGTGACAGATCGAATATAGCGACATTTTGCTTTCTCCCCAATGAGTGTCGTTATATCCAATCTCCACTGTACTAGTATTGCACTGAACTGCATGTATGGGATTCAGCTAATTAGTAATTAGTGCTCACCGTGTGAGTGTGGAATGTACTGCATGCTGCCTTATCACTGGAATGAGTCTGTGAGATCCTTGTGTGCCTCCAAGTAATTAGTTATGTCATCTGCCATCCACAAATATTTCGTGTCAAGTGCCATTGCACTTTGCAGTGGTCTGAAAGTGGAAAGTGTCATGGTGTCTTCTGGCCCTGGGGCTGGTCCTGTGACACCTCAGTTCCTAGTGACCTAGCTGGATCAGAACTTAGCCTGCATTGTACTGGCATAGTTTGGAGAGTCCAGTTCTCTTCCATTCAAAGTCAAACTAGTGCTTTCCTATCTTGCAAGCTCCTGGTTTGTTACAATAACTCCTGGCTAAAGCAGCAGTGCAGACACACTCCACATTTGCTCAAACTGTGAAAATTCAATTGTTGTAATTTATACTACGTGCTGTCGTGGACATGGAAATCCAGTCGAATGACCAGGGCCGGTACCCTCAGTGTGTACAGAACATTGCATATCGGAGCTTCGAGCTAACAGTGTATCATTGCTATAATATATATATATCTCCGCTCTCTGCTCCTCATACAATCTCCACTTCACATCACAATGCATCATTGCTTGTGAAATGGGCAATTGCATGCAGTGCACATGTTGATCCGATGTGGCCAGCGCACTGCAATGCATGCATGAATGTGTGTACCGTAGATCTACACATACTCACGGCTGCATGGCCAGCGCCCTGGGGCCGCTAGACGTGCGACCGGATTTCCATGTCCACGACAGTAGACCGTCCTTGAATTTGGCAACAGTCGACTCCTGATGATAATGGACACCATGTACCATTGTGCAGGAGAATTGTTTTAAGCATTCGTGGGATAGAATTAATGTTTTCACAAGAACATGTGTGCTAGCAAAACACTATTGTTCTCTAAAGAGATCTATCACCCATACCACTTTACATAATAAGGAAAATGTCCCCATAGCATCAACCGTGATAATAGCCATAGAACACAATCTATATTGATCGGCAGGAACTCTTCCGTATTACCCAGTAGGCTATTGTAGCATGGCTACTTTATGACACGTAATTTGTATACACATAAATAGTACACCGTAGGAATGCATGGATAGCTGTGCGCATACTCACACTGCCTTGTCTTCTTCTTCTCCTTGTGAGACAATGAACGAATGATAACTACTTACCTAACTACAAGTATGTGCTTTGAGTGCTGAGAGTATACGAGTTACACTATGGTAGTATGGCATTGCCATAATGACAGGAGTGGGGAGCCTCCATGCAATAGACTCAATCCTAGCAGGAATATTGGAAGTATGACTTGCTTACCCTAGCAGATGTCCAGTACGCTGAGCCTTGACTGAAATGCTGCAGATGATCCGAGAGCAGCTTTGTATCAGGTCTTTGGAAAGGAGCTAGAAAAGGTGAGTACGGTTGGGCCCAGTAGTAAAGTTATGCCTGAAGGGGCAAAGGAAGGAAGTTACAGTAGTACAGAACCCGACCCTTGTAACTGAGCATGCATTCTACATTGACCCCATGGACTTCATGCACATCTCACTGTCACTTATGAACTCATGACTATTGAACCTATGGAAGTTGGTTCCCATGCACATGCCTTGCTGCTATGTTTTCTGCGATTGAGGGATTGTTCACAGACTGTACTTTGTGCATCGTATGCATGGTCACAGCATGCACAGTGAAAGCCGAGATCCAGAGGTCGGATGTCACCTGGCATCTGACCACTGTAGTATCATGTGCTCTGCTTATTACCACCCGGTTGATCATGATTAACGAGTTAATCCACTCCTCGGGTAGCCCATACAAGTACCGGTATATGTGATACGGAAAGGAACTTCTTCCTAGCTCAGCCATAGGACATACGTGTACACTTGGAACTACAAGTGCAAAACAGAAGGAAGCTGAACAGCTAATGGTAGTAAAAGAGAGAGAGAGAGAAGCTACAACAGAGGCAGGGTGTTTATCTTGATTGCGCAGTGGCTGTGATAAGCAAGCATTTATAGCAATCCATGATCTACTGTGGTAATGTTTTCATTTATTTATGGACTGCTCTTGTGACTCTTCACTGAACAGAGTGGCTTGGCCAAGAAAAGGGTCAATCGAATGTCTGTGGCCATTGCTTCACTGCTAATCAGTGGTGGAAAAACAACTATATCTGAAAGTCCTGTCAATAGTGCAGTAAGTACAGAATAGTCCCCCCTCCCCCACTCAGGTGAACATTATTACAAGTTGTACATATTAGGCATACAATCGTACACTTTGTCATTATGTAATTGTCAAGAAGGTAGCTTGCTGGCTGGCCAGCATGTAGCTGGGAGGAACTAAGGATTGATTGATTGATTTTTATTTAAGGAGTGAGGTGTGACCAACTTCACCACTGCCCAGCAGGAGGCCTAGCCCAAATTTGCTCGGGGCGCTTTGTCATTTTGCGGCAAAATTTTGCCTGAGCACTTTCTGTATTTTGCTTGGCATTGACTTTCGTTTCCGATATTTTGCTCCATTTTTGCTCCTGCTCTGTGGCAAAAATGGCTTCGAACGAACTGTCTACTTTGGTAAAATGGATGGTGACTCTGATGAAGAAAGCAAACTGCAAGTGGAGTCAGTATTACTGATCTTGTAGCACGATTCCAAATGATTGTATGTAACTCTGACAACATGTACAGTTAACTTCGCATATACCGACACTCGGCGGGGCATCAGAAAAGTGTCCTTATTCGCGAAGCGTCGTTATACCCGAAGTCTCATTATATGTATTACAGTTGGATGGGACTTTGCTCTGGGCATGGAAATTCTGTCGTTATTCGGGAATTGTGGTTATATCCGCAGTTGTTATTAGCGAAGTTGACTGTATCAGCTATTTCAGGATGAAATTGGCCCAATGAAACCAAAGAAATCAGAATAAAATTGCCAAAACACACCCGGATTATCTATATTCGATATTTTGCTCGGAATTTGCCAGCAATTTCTTTTCGGAGGAAATCTGATATTTAATATATAGTCCTGGATTTGAGTCTTACGGTTTAGACGCAAGGATTTCACGCATAATACAGTGTGTCTGAAGGCAATTTCTGTGCGTAGCGCATCACGTACACAGCAAGTGTCAGCCACCCAAAGTCCCTGAGAACAGCGGACATGGAAGCAAGGACAGGTAGCAGATCAATAATGATGCAGTAGCCCAGGTGATTCCCTAGGAATGTGGGTAGTGCCAGACCCCATGCGCAGAGTTGCATATTCTAGGGGATATGGACACTTGATTGTAGTCATAGACTAGTACATAATAATGATTTTGAGCCGTTTGACACATTGGATGAACTTGATGCTCACGAGGCCTACTCTTCTTACAAAGCACCCAAGATCAACTACTTCATAAGTAAGCGCCTTACAGCAGCTATGCTTATAAGGAGAAGAGCAGAGTATTACTGATTTACATCTCCCTGGTGTTTGATGTCTCCTCTCCAGCCAAACAGCCAAGCAAGTCCTCCTGCTCAGCAATCTCCGATCATACCGAGACAGGCCCTGTATGCTACGCCTAATATCAAATCAACTCTCAAGACACCGAAGACATCGACACCCATAAGCCCCTGCTCACAGCAGGCTCCACACTCTAACTTGCCAGTGATCACGCAAGTAACTACCCACCTACCACTGCAGCCCATACCAGATGGTCACGAGGAGGACGAATCCCCTATTATGTCCTCTGCTCCAGCTCCGCTTTCAATGAACGCCACTAGTTTGCCCGACATTGACCGCACCATAAGCAAAAAGCTGGATGAACAATCAATCTGCTCTCGGCATGAAGAGCAGCCAGACTCTGAATCATTCCAGTTTGAAAGCACATTTGAAAAGAGACAACACACCATGAAAAGCTCTCAATGCACTGCGTCTAAGAAGAGAGCGTCGAGAACAAAGAAGGGAACTTCGAAAAAACCAAGCACTACCACACGGGAAACAAAGGTTCCACTTGAGAAAGAACGTGCTGTGGTTCCGGCAGCTAGACGCCCTTCTACAACCAAAAGGAAATCGGTGAGTGGTTGCCGCTTGCGGAGCAGTAGTGAAATAAGAAATCGGAAGTGTGTCGTGAAACCTGCAGTTAATTAGCCTTGGAATTTCCATCCATTATAATAATAATAATTATGTCTTTCTCTTCATGTCGGTGATTCTCAGGTGGATGATGTGAACACGAATGTTAACAAGAAGTCTCTTTCTCCGTTTAGCTTTCCCGGGGCAAGTATTTTAATAGACGTATACAACAGAGGAAACTAGTCATCCTTTGCATTACTTGTACACTTGGAAAGACATGTGAATAGACGAGGACAATCATAAACAATTGCATGCTCCCCTGCCGTCGCAATGTTGTGTTGTTCTCTGATAATAGCACAAACATGCAACTGAAATCACAACAAATACATTTGCTCTATGTGTCCACTTTGTGGGCTACAATGAAGATGATGTTGTTGTTGTTGTTGTTGTTGTTGTTGTTGTTGTTGTTGTTGTTGTTGTTGTTGTTGTTGTTGTTGTTGTTGTTGCTGTTGTTGTTGTTGTTGTTGTTGTTGTTGTTGTTGTTGTTGTTGTTGTTGTTGTTGTTGTTGTTGTTGTTGTTGTTGTTGTTGTTGTTGTTTTATGGTCGTTAGAAGTCCCCAGGTTAACACTTCCGTATATTTTGAACATACGTATCTCTATGCCTATCTCCCCTATCACTAACAGGATGATCAGTGTGAACTACCACAGCCCAAGAAAGGGGGCAAAGTAGCACGACTGCAATCATCGCGTTCTAAGAAAAAGCCAAACGTGGCACACAGCACCAAAAGGTTGGTTGATGTCTCGGCAAATCCACCGCTGTACCAAGTTTACAAACCAGAAACGGATCCATAATGTGCCAAATCTCAGTACCCACTGGACAGGAGTGGTGAAAGTTTCCTTCGAAATAGAAATGATTAATTTTGAAATTGCTATCAGTATGCTGATAAGAAGATCATTGAAGTCACAGAAATTTGCCATTTATATCGATTGTTATTCATATAATACAAGTACACAAAAGCGCAAAGCCAAGTTAGCCCAGGCATACGCACGATAGTGGTGCGGGTGCTGTGAGTGTGCATCAGGTAGTCCTACAATTTGTAGCATATCGTCACTATGAGCTGGCAAAATTCAGATAGGAAATCCAGAAATTCTGAGTAATCTTCCTTTTCTTTATCTTGCAAGTAGGAAAGAGTGTCTGTTCACTTCGTCACCAACAGTAGGGCTCACTGTTGAATGTTGATTTCATGACAGGACAACCAAGACCAAGAAAGATTCTACCAAGGATTTGGAGGAATTTCCAGTGAGTTTACGTCCTACTGACTGCCAGTGTTGAAACCGTTTTTCTGTAGCATTACACATGCATTAATTGGCGGCTATGGAAGATGATGTGTTAGAACGGTTCAATAACCCGCCGATGACATTCGGGCTTCGCAGCATTATTGACATGCACCCTGTCTACTTTTGTCGTATTTGTGCATTATGGTACAGGAGCCCATCCAGAATATGACCAGCAATATGCAAGTGTCTCCACCAAGAGATCTGCTACCACTGAGGGATGACACAAAGGAGCAACAAAGCTCAGATCTGCCGAAAACACAAGAAGCATATGAACTGTCATCCTCAGCTGGTGATTGTGTGATCGATGACGAGGAATATGAGAGGCAGACTTCTTCGCCGCAGGAGCCCATCCAGAATATGACCAGCAATATGCAAGTGTCTCCACCAAGAGATCTGCTACCACTGAGGGATGACACAAAGAAGCAACAAAGCTCAGATCTGCCAAAAACACAAGAACAGTTAGCATATGAACTGCCATCCTTAGCTGGAGTTTGTGTGATCGATGACGAGGAATATGAGATGCAGACTTCTTCGCCACCTCTTTTGTCTGCTGGCATTGATTCCCTTAACACTAGAAAGAGGCCAAAGGAAAGGAAGAGAAGTTTGCAGCAGGCTTGCAACGAAACGGCAAATGAACAGCAAGCGCCCTGCATCGATCCCTTTGACGATCCTGGAAGAAGATCAGCAGAATTCAACGTAGCATCACAACAGTCGGACCAACAGCCAACAAGTGCCTCACCATCACTGCCACCACCTCCACGCTCACGTAGGGCACGTCCTGCTGTCAATTACGACACAAGCACACCACCTACGATCGCTTCACCATGCAACACCAAACCCCCCACACCCTGCTCTGTGAGAGTTGAAAAGCTGCGGTTCGAGAGATTGCCATCAAGCGAACCTACCGTGAGTATTGCATCCTTATTTTGCAGCCTGCAATGCTGCTTCATGTACAGTAAAACCTGTAACTAAAGACCACAGTGACTAGCGACCAGCCTGGTACTACAGACCACTTTGCCAGGCACGTAAGGCCTCACATTATGGTTGTGTGGTGCAAACCTCAAACTAAGGACCACCTGCTACTAAAGACCGCTTTCCCTGACCCCAAGGGGTGGTCGTAAGTCGCATGTTTTACTGTATTGTGGTTCACTGATTTTATGCACACATGTTTATTTAAAGCCATTGATGAAGGGCCATTTTAAAAAGAACGTGATCAATGGTCGTCAAAAATTTATTTTGCATCAAACTTGTGGAATCCTGCCTTTCTTCTCATCCATTGCTGGTAGAACTCAGTCCGTTAGTGTGATTTTTCGAATATCTGACTGAGTGATACCAACACAAGCACTACTATGATATAAGTACAAGTATGCACTGGCTCTTTTTTTTCCTGTGTACGGTGTCTACCATAGGCGATATCAAGACTTCAGCTAACAGCCAGTAACATCCTGGAAGATTTCAATTCTAGCATGCTGGATGTAATGGCGGCAGCGGATCCTGTTCTGGAAGCGTCAAGAAACGGAAAATGCGCTACTCCGAAAGAAAGAAGTGAGGCAAGCAAAGGTGCAAGAAGAGGGAAAAAGAAGAATGCAAAGTCCCTGGATGATTCACCTCTCCTGCTACTGCCTTCGTCCCCGGCTGAATACGTGAATGGACCTGGACACAACCTTTACGCTCTGAGGGAATCAATGTCAAATCCTACCACCCCCAGGCGCAGGGACAGAGAATTAAGTGAAGAGTCTAGCACTAGTGAAGCTGACAATAGTCGAAACTTCACCGTCAAAGAAACCGAACAGGTGAGTGTCTACTAAATGTACGCTATGCATGCAAGTCCGTATATTATAGTCTGTTCAGTATTTATAGGAAGGATTAGGCTCCTAACACAAACCCAAGGCACAGTACAGCAGAGTAACAAGAGATCTGACTGCTCCTTGGTGGCTTGCACAGCATCATTGTTCCATTTAGCTGAAGGTGGCCAAGGGCTGAAATTGTTTTTGGGAACTGGTTTGGATTTGCAGTGCTGCTGGAATTGATATTATGTTCAGTCAAATATTTTTTATAAGGATTATCAGCTTACAAGTTGAATGATTCTTACTTCGCACCATTTTACGGGCTCCTGCCTTGATGCTGCTTTCAAAGTTATACTTGTAGCAGCTGTATCTTCTGCTACCATGAGCTGCTTCATTCATCCTCTACTCATCTACCAGTCGCAGTCACTTATCAAGTCTGAGTAAAAATGTTTCTGTCAAAACGAATCTGTATCCTTTGGTTGTGGATTGGTTGTGTTTCTATCTATAATTGCCTTCTTGTCTCTGACTAGAATTATCTTACTGGTTCGCATTTGTCAATTCATGCCAAAATATCATGTGTGTGTACAAACTCAATGTTCTGATGTCGATGACTTCTTATAGCCCAAGTCCAACAAGGCAACGCGCGACTCCGGAGTCGGATGCTCCTACTACCATTTATCTCCTCAAACTCCTGGTGGAAAATCAATGGTGGCCGCTAAGAAACGATCTCATACACCTCGCCTGAGCACCCCTAGCCTAACATTTGAGTTGTCTCCCGCTGTCCGCCCTTCAAAGAAGCGAGGTGAGCAAATCAATAGAAAGCAGTTTAGTTAGATAATCCCTTGAAATAACTACCTGTTTTCACCCAATCGATTGTCAATTTTTAATTGACATATCGACGGGATGCATTATATTATAAAACAGGAATTTTGTTGAAAACCAGATCTGGTGTGAGATGTATACCGGTATTTTGAAGTAGTTGCTATTAAACGAGAGAGCTTGGAAGCTCAGGGCCCTACGCTATGCTTTTTTGCCTTGATGACCTAGGCAAAAAGAAGCATAGGGATGTTATAAATTTTTCATTTCTCCAATTTTTGTTTCAAGACATAACCTGGGATTCGAACCCGCACTATCGTCCTGCATGCACCCCCCGATACACTTCGCATACATACTAATTCTTCCAAGTTGCTTCAAATTATGATCTTGCATTTGAAAGCCCTATTTGAATATTGTGACCAGCTGTTTGTGGCCAGCCGTCTTTGATGGTACGGTACGGTACGGGACAGGTACGGTCGAGGGTAACGACAACGTCTACCACCTTGATGACCTAGGCAAAAAAAGCATAGGGATGTTACAAATTTTCAATTCTCCGATTTTTTTTCAAGGCATAACCTGGGATTCGAACCCGCACAATCGCCCTACATGCATTACCCGATACACTTCGCATTCATACTCATTCTTCCAAGTTGCTTACCGCTATGATCTTGCATTTGAAAGCCCTATTTTAATATTGTGGCCAGCTGTTTGCATGGTTTGTGGCCAGCTGTCTTTGACGGTACGGTACGGGACAGATACGGGATAGCGCCAGGCGTGATACACACAAACACCAAATTAAAGCTGTGTGGACCCTGGCTAGCGCCAGACGTTACTGAAGTAACGTCTTCTGCATAGCTACGGGAATAAAAGATGGTAGCTATTTCTTTACCGATTTCAATTTTAAGGGTACAGACCGAAAGGAACTTCTTCATGACCCAAAGTCTGAATTTTTCAGGTGTTCCTTGCCATAGAGAAGCGGTGGAGTGGGGGTAGGGGTAACTGTTATTTCAGGGATATCTAATGGGTGGTTGGTTAGGTTCAGTAGCCTAGTAGTAATTCAATAACAGTGTTATGCTTCAGAGCAAATCACCACTTCATGGGACCTGATCGTAGTAGTAGTAGTAGCAGTAGCAGTAGCAGTAGCAGTAGCAGTAGCAGCAGCAGCAGCAGCAGCAGCAGCAGCAGCAGCAGCAGCAGCAGCAGCAGCAGCAGCAGCAGCAGCAGCAGGAGCAGGAGCAGCAGCAGGAGCAGGAGCAGCAGCAGGAGCAGCAGCAGCAGCAGCAGCAGCAGCAGCAGTAGTAGTAGTGCTGCGCTGAACCCTACTGTTTTTGGAGGTGCATTTGACGCCTGGATCCTTGATGGGTGGTGGTATTCCTACGGCAGGGATCGATTTATCCGGGTTCGCATCGCAATTTGCGAATCAAAATTCACTGGAAGGAAAACTGCTAATCAATACTGGGAGTTGCTAGTCAATTGTAAAACTGTGTAGCAGTGACTGCTATGCAAAAATCGAAGTAAATCGATCCCTGTACGGATAAGGAAAAAGAACCTTTTGAAGTCTTACTGGCCCTTGCACAAACCCTGAAAATTATGTGAAATATAATTTCTTGTCAGACCGAGCTGATATGACCAGGATGGAGGATGCGGAGGAGCTGAGGCAAGTAAAGAGAAGAAAGCCATCCACGGGACCATCTCTTCAAGCATCTGTAAGACTTAAACCGCTGTGTAATTCGTGATGTATTCTGCTATTTTGCTGATGGAATGAATGAAGTGAGCCTTCCATGCGGACGTTGAGAACCGACAACAATTACAATAGAACTCCCCTTGGACCGGGCACTGCTTGTAACTACTAGGAAGTGCCCGTAACTCAGAACATACATGTCATGTACATACTTACCGGTATGTCATGCAAATATACACTTTTGCGCCCATTGGTAGTTTTCAGGATCGTTTTTCATTGAAACCCAATTTTCGTGACTCTAGAAGGTCAAAAGACGGGAGTGCCTGGGTCTCGGGTGTGCGGATTAGGGAAGTTTAACTGTATACTGTTCAAGATTTGTATACGGATAAGGCCATCATTTTTTATATCTATGTTTCGCGTCAGTTCAACTTCCAGAATCATATGCGAGAGGTGGAAAAAAATAAAAAGTTGCAAAATAATAAAAAAAGGCTCATCAGAGGTGTATGCACTGTACATAGCACAATAGCTCGTGCATGGTGTACATTCGAAAGAAAAATCGTACATCGAAGCACAACATCTGGGTTATCAGCAAGAGTAAATATTCACTTTGGACAGAGGAGGCATCCGTTGGTGCCTATGCTTCGCTGGATTATTGTACTCAGACTTCGGCAGCGGTGCAGCAAAGACCTCCGGAACGACGCATCCTCTCAACTTCAGGCGATCAATGCTGTCTGGTGTTAGCTCACAGAATATTGCTCCCAGATGCCGAACAAACGATTTGCCAACGCTGGCCTAGAGGCCATTTCTGAATCTCAGCTTCGCCGTATGCAACCAGTCCACACTGATGACTCGTACAATCGTACACTCATCGTGCATGTAAGATTTTTTATTTTTTTCTGAAAAAAATCAAAACGTATGCGTGCGGACGACGCGAAACATAGCTATAAAAAATGATGGCCTAATAGATTGCTGGGTATCAGCATACTACAGGACCGTGTCCATGGGATGGTCAGCTGTGAATGTGACATCAATTCACATCACACTCCTGACCAAATTTACTTCCAAGTACGTTCAAATAGCCTTTGGGTTGTAATCTCTCTCTTGACCAGATTGCAAAATGATGTACAGTCGACCTACCCTTATAACGATATTTGCGCCACACCAAGAAATATTGTTATAAGGGTAATATTGTTATAGGGGTAACTGGTTCATTTCATACACATACGTCATAATGCATGGATTTTGTTCATTTATTACACTCTTCACAGCATAAACAACTGACATACATGCACATTATGTGCACAGCAAGGTGCCCACTGGTGCCCCATTGCATTTCGTCATGTCCCAACGACTTATCAAGTGAAGCTTGCCCTACCTGGATAGTAGGCTCTACATATTCCCTGCTAGATATTGTTATAAAATGGAAAATGTCGATTGGTCAGCCCATTTTATATCGTTATAGGGGTAATATCGTTTAGCAATATTGTTATAGAGGTAAGGCATTGTATGCACTAGTCAATGGAGTGATTTGGTTTGGCAGAAAAATATCGTTATAAGGGTAATATCGTTATAGAGGTTATCGTTATAAGGGTAGGTCGACTGTATTGTTTTCCTGTGTGATGACATTCCCCAAACTGTCTCTTGTCTCGCTTCTAAGGCCACACCGTTTTTTTTATCTATGTTTCGCGTCCCCCGCGCGCATGTATTTCACAGCCGGAGTTCAAAACAAAAACAAAACAGAACAAATTTTTTTTTTGAAAATGCAATACAAATTTAATGCAAACCCAGAAAACCGGAAAATCTAACTCAGCTCACACACATGTACATTGTACATGTGTGTGCAATAAGCTGGGCCGCAAGTCACACAATCATCATGCCGCCTGTGTTTGGACCACAAGCATGGCAGAGGGGATACACTCATGTATTCATGTACATGTCAATGTACATGAACAGTGCCGCGTCGCTTCACTGTACACAAGTGCAATGCACGTACAGTACACTGTTTTTTTTGGATGGCTTTTTTATTTTTTTCGCCCTCCCTCATTGATTTCATCGAATAAGGTGACGCGAAACATAGAAAAAAACGGCGTGGCCTACAGTCCATTTCAAAACTATAGACGCGTAGGGTTTTTGAAATATTTCAAATTGGCTGGAACTTTTTGAGAATAGTTTTCGGAATATTGCTCAGGACCCCTCCACAATTACTCTCATATAGTTTCTAAACGATTGGATAACAGACGCCCAATTTGGAAAAAATTATGCACAAAGTGATCACAGATTTTATGTGGTATAGATGTTGGCATAACGGTTTTGCCTAGGTACGCGTCTGTAGTTTTGAAATGGACTGTAAGTGTGACATGAGCAAGGGTGATTTGTGAGTCTTCAGTCTTCTTATCCGTTCCTTTTTTGACCAGTCACCGTTTCGTCGTGTCCTAGTCACAGTAAATACCAATTGTGACAAACCAATACTTGTTCTTTGTGTTCCTGCGCCCCGGGCACGGAATGGCTGTGATTCCATAGCAACCACTAAATGCATGTACTGGGAATGAATATTTTGTTTGTCTATCACCACCACTTTGCATTTATGCTATGATTGTTGTCATTCTTTCCTGCTGTATGTACACAGGTGAAAAGAAGACCTGAGATGACTCTGAAGCATAGCGCCTGCAACCTGTTAGCTTCCTCTGAAGAGGAGGCCGAGGAGGATGTTGGTGCAGGTGAGATTATGGACGGCCTGGATTCATGAATATTCCTGCAACTAAGTAACTAAGCGGTTGCAGAATCAAGACATCTTTACTATCACCACTCTTGTCTGCTGGCAGTTCTTGTACAGTATTGAAAATGTGTTGTGCTCTTCACTCCCTATCTCTGCTAAAGAAACAGGGAAATTCTCTTTGACCTGAAAAATATCAATCTACTTCATTTTTCTTCTGCTTGCAGATTTCCTGGGATTGAATCTGCTCTCCGACAATACATCTCAGTCGTCGTTTGGACAACCTCATATTCAAGGGTACTGGTAACATGAGTTTCATTTTTACTGTGAAGTGTACCAGAATAACCACCTGCTCAGTTGAACTTGCCCAATATGCCTTCCTTGTAGATTTTAATTTGTTTTTGGCAATATTGATGTTGGTATTGTGGCATTGTTCTCTCTGCCTACAGAAATGACATTCAGTCTCTTGTGCAAAGCTTTGGTGTTGGCGTGTCCGACTCCTTCAAGGTACATATAACATGCAACACTGCTGTGCTAATTCAGACACAACATCCTGAATACTATTCACTGCATTTCGATACCTGAAAACACTTTCTAATAGACTGTATCGGTGTAAATGCACCATGTTATAGTTATGTCACAACTTAAAACAGGTTCTCCTGCTACTTCTTGTTTCGTTTCCAGTCTAAGCAACAGGTGATGACATCATTCACTCGGTCTATGTCAAACTATGTTGTCAACTTGGTGGACGAGTTTTGGGATGATAATACGCGTGAAAGGTAAGTACAATTCCAACCATCAATAGCACACCCTTCGTAGTCTCAATGTGGTTTGCCCTACAGACTTTTATTAGCCTGGGTAACAGTAGCACTCACCTCTGCCTGTAGATGTAATTTGAATCATTATTGCCGATTGAAAGACTCAATAAGTGAAGGGAAGACGACAGAAACAACGGAGGCAAAGACTCTGCAACAACTGAGCTGGGCAACTGACACACGGATCTATATATATGGTACGAGATTGCCAGTTACAGCTCCGAGCGCTAGTTAGCGAATGAAAGCAAGGGATCTGATGGTGTCAGCAATGCAGAGTGCAATACATAGTAATACATAGTGATTTGTGTAGGGGGAAGTCCGTCTACTACACTACATAGTAATACATAGTGATTTGTGTAGGGGGAAGTCCGTCTACTACAAAGAGTAGTGTCTATCGTAACGTCCACAATATCTTTCCTGTAGCGGGGCGCTATAACGTAGCGCTCATTATTCCATTGCCTGGACGTGAGTGGCCAGTGGAGCCCTAATTACTAATTAGATGTGTTATATATCCACACATCGGTCATTACTGACATCCAACGTTACGGTGCTCAAACCTCTCCGGGACTTGACTGTCTTCACCTGTTTTAAGGAGCTAAGCGTTAAAGGCAGAGAATGCAAGTCTGTAGCAGGAATCGTCAGTAAAAAGCAAAAAAGATGAACACCCTGCATTGGCCAGTGTGGCAATACCGGAATGTCATAGGTACAATTGATGGACACTGCCAATGCAACCTATACTCGTACTCGAAGTACCGTAGCTGACCTAATGCCCTTGACAAGTGTTACTATGACTACATTGTAGTCTACTTGCCATAAGTCGCATACTTGTAATAATCCGAACTTTTTTGCAACCAAGACAGCGTGTACGTGTGTACGAATATAAGTACACAGTATATGACTGTATCCGTAAATCACACCATTTAGTCCCCAGGACAGAGTGCGTGATTTATCGAGAATAGTCTGTACCCAATACTCTGTATATTGAAATACAATACCTGGGACAACATTCTTTTCTTCACTTCAGGAGTCAGGCTCTGTCTACTTTCAAGCAATCTGTGTCACCACACCTACGCTCACTGGAAAAGGAATTCCAAGCGCAACAGAATGCTCAAGAGAAGATCATCGTAAGAACAATAACCTCTTTCAGGATGTGTACACAAGCGCCACAGTTTGGCAAGACACACACTGATTTTTATGTAGTGCGTATCTTGTATATGGGGAGAATCGAATATTCTTTCGTTGAATTGGTAATCGACAGATTATTCGTTCGCAGAATTTTCTGTTCATTACATCAATACTGGAAGGAAATACTGGCTGTAGCACTCGATGATGAACTGTGAGTGTGAGGCACGTAAATTATCACCTAGGACCAGAAAGCCAGCAGTCATTTGAAATTTAGAAAATTACCTTGACAGATCTATGAGTATGAGGTTTGCGGTGCATGTACCATCCACTACATCTGTGTTACGTGCATGTCCATTGATTGCTGTGTCTGATACTGCAGGCGATGATGAAGGAATCGATTGCATCTTTGCAGAATACCAGGCAATCTCAGGGCGAAAGGTACGCTTGTGGGAGACGGGATGATAAACACCTTTAGTTTCAGCAGAAGTTAATCATTGAAGATGAATAACATAAAATTAATAAACTACCGGTATCCGAATGAAAAAATTTTGTTTCTCCTGAGTGCCAAGCTTGTACTTGGTTCTTTAATATGGCCAAGCATTCTGACATTGTGATGCCAGCTAATCACAATGTGCATTATTTGTGCATCTTGGTTGTGAATAGAACCTGTACAGTCTAGATCTACTCGCGATAAGTCATGCACAGTGTCCTGGAATAGAAAATGCGCGACTTACCGCGAGTGCGCGACTTACATTATGCACCACGTCATGCATATGTACAGCCGTCATTTTTTCTTCTGCATAATGTGACATGTGTGCTGAACACGCGTACAAGCACTGAGCTGCATGCGCACGGTACACTGTCTGTAGTCTACACTGACTGTACACTGCTGTACACGAGACGTAGATCTACCATGTACCACAGCGTGAAGCCATGATCGATATGAAGGCATGGTCGAGAAAGACAAGGGTAACGACGTTCCGTTACTTTTGCCGTTTTGGTAGGGATTTGACAAGACGCACTTCTGTTTCCGTCGTGTAAACCCTTCGTTTCCCTTTGCTTGACGATGCCTTCTCATAAGAAAACGAAAGAACAGCGAACAGTGGCTGATCGACTGCGTTTGGTTCGTCTCTATCGTGAGAGTGGAAAAACGTCCGCTCGAAAATTTGCGAAGTTGAACAATGTTCCGGAGGCGATGTTCCGCGGCTGGCTGAGGGATGCTGAAGCTGGCAAACTCACCGATGCTAATCCGTCTGGTCCACAGGGAGTCCGCAACAGAAGTTCCCAGTTCGGGAAAATTGAGGAGCGGCTAGTGAAGTATATTTTGCTTCGAAGGGAGAAGTTTGTGACTGACAAACTTGGATTGTCGTGGGTGATCCTGAGGGAGAAGGCTCTCATACAATATTCACATAATAATTATATTCTTACCTTTACAGTATTCAAGCTCCATCATTGAAAACCACATCATTCGCGAAATCCACGAAATCCCGAAAAATAAAAAAAATTCTTGAGATGGGTGTCCTGGATGAAAAAGTGCGTGACTTATCGCGAGTGCGCGACTTAAAAGTGTGTGACTTATCGCGAGAAGACTGTACATGTATATCTGGCCTGGCACTGGTACTTCAGTACTTGAGAAGTAAGTGGATGAAATCACAGCTTCAAAGGGCACGAGGTACGCAGCCAATGGGGATTCGACGATCGGAAAGTGTGGAGGAACCTCACTTTCTTTCACGACAGAGTCCAAAAGTGAATGATTCGGATGGTGGACTGCAACAATTGACGTCGGAAAGCGTTCTGCCCCACCCCGACAGCCTGCTTGCGCACTTGATCATATTAAAATAGTATTTTGTTGTAATACTCTGCAGCCTGTCAGCTCTCAAGAGTAAGCTAGTGGCTTATGTTACCAACATGGACAAGATGGCTTCAAGGCACAGGGAGCGTAAGGTGAGCATCACTATTGGCCCATTTCCTTTAGTTTGTCGGAATTATTCCAGGGACATAGGCCGACAGGTTCATAGGCCCAGGAACCAATTAACTCGGTCTATTTGTTGCCAACCAGTGCGAAACCGCTGTAGGTGGATACCAAGCCGTACACAGTTCAGATAGGCGATGATGGATGAGAACCACGTTGACTGCACCCTGGGGTATGCCACTGCTCTCACTTGCATTTGGAAGGCGGAATGGGACGTGAGCGAAATACATGTGCTTCAAGTACACTCTTCCAGCAGTTACCAGTACGGCTACGCACTGTCTCGTATGCCGGTGTGCTTGACTTCTGAACATTGGGTACGTGTGATAGCTAATGCTATCATGATCAAACATTGCACACAACCCCAACTACGCATGCTTTATATCTCTAGTTTGAAGACAAGGCAGTATGCACTACATGGCGGGGATTGATCACTGCGATGTTTCAATTCTATATTTCCATGTATTGCAGGTATCTCTGCAGCGGTCACTTCTCAGTAAAAGTCGCCACGAGCAAGAGAAAATGCAACAGCAAATTGTAAGCAAATACCCGGGAATAACTATTAGAATGTTAATCTTCAAAGTGACAGCACTTGGTTTCACGATTTTACCTCAGTGCAATCCGTGTCCGCCCGCACATGCATGTACACGCACAAACTAGCATCTGGCCCGGGTTGCTTGCAACTACCTTGGAGAAGACTCTGGAAGAGAGAATTGCAAGTACCATTGCATGTACTTCAAGTACGCACACAAATCTTACCAGGTATGCATTTTTCATGTTACTGTATAGTTCAGGATTTATAGTTGGGGACTTGGGGTGCTTCTTGCAGCTTCATATCACTTTCTAGTTTGCTCACGGTAATCGAGTCAAAAATCTTTCCGTTTTCCTGCAGACAAAGATGCAAGTGGATCGTATTCGCAAGTCCCTCCGGGCCACAATAATGAACGTGTGAAAAAATTAACACAGTACAAGAGTACAAGATGTAACCCCACAGCATCGAGCTCTTTCCAAGGTATTCCAGCACACACAGCACGAAAGCCAACACGGCCAAACTAGTAATCCATTCAACGACTTATCTTTTCTCTGTTTAGCCCTGGCTCTTGGTATGATAGCAGTTGGCATGTTGACATATTTTCACGGAATGGAAGCAAATTATCAAGCCAATTCCGGGAAGACACTGTTGCCTTTTTATTGGGCGGCATATTTATTTCCATAACATAGTCCACTTGAGTACTTTAAAAAGGCATATCCATGCAATGCAATACCATACCAAGTTTACAGACATGTCCAAGAAAGCAGTTTGATTTATTTTGCTCTCTCTTTCCTGAGTTTAAAAGAATTTGATGGCATGACACTTATAACTCTACTCATATTGCATTCAGTTGCCCATGCACTCTGTAATCCTTTCGATACTCCAAGCACTGAATTTAGTCAACATATTGAAGTCAAGCTCTGCTGTCACCCACACTGGCAATGTGCTTGAAAGCATGCCCACCCCCCCCCCCCCCACACACACACACATGCATCTATTTTCACCAACCAGCTGCAAAGTGTAACTGTGTACCCACAATGACTGGCACACTCATACCTTTAATACCGGGGCGGTCCGGGACCAAGCACCGCCCAACCCTCTGAATAAATCACATACGTTATGATCGAGAAAGGCCAGAGATATGGCATACAAAGTCACTATTTCCACAAAAAGCGACAAAGGACAACTACAGTATTTCCACTGGAACTCGCCCAAAAGGGTGCCTGTATCTTTGGTATGAGTGTATTGGCAGTCAAGCAGTGGCACTGCTGAGACAAATTTCTAGGATTTCGGCCAATCTTTCGTGGATATTATAAGTTTTGGGTGCATGAAACAGGGAAAGTGTGTGCGCATCACATGGATCAAGCAACTTTCAGTACACTCAAACGCCTCTTATCCGGACGCCTCAGATACGGGCACGTCTCTCTACCGGGCACCTTTAGCTTGAGTTCCTATAGCACAAATGCTTCGAATATGGGGTTTTTGAACTTTTTCCGTATTCAGAAGTGCTTATTTTTCACTGCCAACCTATGTAATCCACACATTTTTACCAATAGGTTCCTTTTGTATCCTGAACATGTGCAATGCGTTCCGAATAAACTTCTTCAAAAAGTGATACATACATGGTAGATGAGTTATTCTGAGATGCTGGCAGTGCCCCGATAAGAGACGTCCGAGTGTAATTGTCACTAAGTTGTCTGCATGTGCAGCATACTACAGTAGAGTTGCAAGCTGAAGAACATGGAGCCCAAGAATGTTCAGCCTGAAATGCTAAGAACGCCACAGATTAACGTGAAGAACAGGGGTGACGTTGGTTTTCTCAACTTTTCTGGCAGCTGTTGGGATACATGTGATCCAGTAAGCATTGTTGCCAAGAGCGTGCTATAAGAATGCAGCCACATTGCTGAAAAATAAGAACATCTCCGGCTAACCCCTTGGCAGCAAAGTTCATGGACGTGCGACTCTAAGTGTCCTTTTGGGCCAATCCGCCAACAAGTTAGTTTCTCAAAACTATGTACCAGGATTTATGCCAAGCAGGAGTTCGTAAACCAGAGCGTGCAGCTCCGCATCTATCAGTTCTAAATCGCCACATCACTAAGGTGCTAGGGGGAAATTTAAGCTCATTCTCACCTTTGGTACGATAAGCAGCAAAACGTGTGAGATAAAGCAAGAGCGAGTCACTATGAACTGAAAAAAAACTTGTGGGATGTTTCTCTCGGAGCTGCACACTCTGGTTAAAGGCCGATTCACAATACAACTTCTTGCGACGCGACATGCGACTAGCTGCGACAGCGACACACGGTTCACAATAGTCTTCATGTTTTCTCAGATTTTACCGCTTGGGACCCGCCATGCAGACTGATACACTTTTGAGGAGTGAAACAGTCTCGTAATGTCGCAAGTACATGTACGTCCAGGCATGCGCACACAGGCAATGGACACGAGATTGTCATGGAAATGCTGATAGCATGAAATCATCTCCAAGGCCGAAGCCACGGCACACACGGGCAGATGCGCAAATGAAAGCCCATATATGGTACATGGCCAAAAAATGTCAAACATCGTGGAATAGGACGACTTTCGTCCGCCCTACCGTGCAGAGCAGACTAGGAAAACATAGCAATTATAGAAAGAGTAGCATTGAGCCAGGGTGAAGGCACTCAACATAAAACAAGTCAGGGCACAGCTATCCAGAATGCCAGCCATGACAGTGCAGATATCAAGTCAAGTCTGGATACCCGTGCATACGAGTCAAAATCAACGCTCAACATGCAAGGCTGTGTTATAAGTATGGCAATGGTCAGTTCATATGAGAGAGAACATGGTATAGGCGTTACGCCGTAAATGAATATGACAAAGGCATGCAAAATGTTTTGTATGGGGCAGCTACTAGACAAAGACAATTATTTCCTAAGTGCTGGTATGGCAAGTAAAAGTCCAGATGGGGAATTCCCACAAGTCGTTTAGTACTCACTCTGAGAGAAGGAGTCTTCTGGGTCAGCAGTGTCCATTGCAACCTCTTCATAATCCTTCTCAAGAGCAGCCAGGTCCTCTCTCGCCTCGGAGAACTCACCCTCTTCCATACCCTCTCCGACGTACCAGTGAACAAACGCTCTCTTGCCGTACATCAGATCAAACTTGTGGTCCAGACGTGCCCATGCTTCAGCGATGGCCGTGGTGTTGGCAAGCATGCACACGGCACGCTCAACCTTGGCAAAGTCGCCGCCGGGCACAGCAACTGGAGCATTACCGCTAATGCCAACCTGAAGACGACAAAACAGGAGCACGCATGCACATAATCAGTTTCCCTTGCACCAATTATAAAGCATGCAGAGTTTCAAAGTACAGCACCAAAATACACGCATGGCAAGATCAAGGCAAGAGAACACACACACTCTACTACCACACTAACCGAAGTGTTACATTTTGGCTCCAAATGGGGCAGGGCTTTAAAACCAACATGGGTAGCAAGTTACATGCACTCAGAAAAAAAGGATTCTGGATTACTCCAGAGCAGTGAGAGCATTGTATTCCACAAAATGAAGATACATCAAGAAGTGCACAGGAGACATTTATTTAATACCTTGAAACCAGTCGGGCACCAGTCCACGAACTGCACGGTTCTCCTTTGCTTGATGGAGTCGATGGAGGCACTAACATCCTTAGCCACCACATCACCACGGTAGAGAAGGCAGCATGCCATGTACTTTCCGTGACGAGGGTCACACTTGACCATCTGGCTGGTTGGTTCAAAGCAGGCGTTAGTGATCTCGGACACGCTGAGTGTCTCGTGATATGCCTTCTCCGCTGAGATGATGGGAGCGTAGGTGATGACGGGGAAGTGAATTCTTGGGTAGGGGACAAGGTTGGTCTGAAACTCGTTCAGGTCAACGTTGAGAGAGCCAGCAAAGCGAAGGGAGGCAGTGATGGAGGACATGGTCTGGCTGATGATGCGGTTCAGGTTGATGTAGGATGGACGCTGGACACCCAAGTTACGCTGGCAAAGCTCATAGATTGCCTCGTTGTCCATCAAGAAACAGCAGTCAGCATGCTCCAGGGTGGTGTGAGTGGTCAGGACGGCATTGTATGGCTCAACGACAGCCGTGGAGACCTGCGGTGCTGGGTAGATGGCCACCTGCAGCTTAGTTTTCTTACCATAGTCAACTGACAGGCGCTCCATGAGCAGCGATGCAAAACCGGATCCGGTACCACCACCAAACGAGTGGCAAATGAGGAATCCCTGAAGGCCATCGCACTGGTCGACCTACAAGCATTTCGAGAAGGAAAAAGTTACGTTTCAACCACATCAAAAAATCACAAAGGTGCAGCACATCCCTCGGTTGGGAGGCATTCATGCGTCCATGACAGGACGTAGGACAGTGTTCTCAGCCTTAGATTGCCAGGTGGTGCATAAAGAAAACACGTTGACCTCATACTTGCCAACCCAGCCAAAGCAAATCCCGTAGTCATACACCCAGTTTCCCTTAATTTTCTCTCATTTCCCTTATTTTGCTGGTTTTCGCCAATTTCGGCCATTTTCTCTTTTTTGGGCAATTTTTGAGTATTTTTGCATACATGTATTTTGCGCAATTTCTTGGCAATTTCTATCTTTCTTTTTATTCATTGCTAACCCTTTGCTGATTGGGGTACCCAAACCTGAGTCTCTTCATTGTCAGGTTGCCTCTACTAGTCTGGGGGCCAAGTGGCAAAAATGTGAATTTTCGTTCCGAGGAAGAGGGCACCGCAAAAAATTTTACCCAGTCGATAGATGGGCTGGCATACATTGAAAAACCACTTGTTGTCATTCCTGATTTTGTCCCAAGGGTTGCACTGGGAGTAAAACTAAATTCAGCGCTGGTTGCTATGGTTACCGGAACCTAAAATGGACTTTCTGGCTAATTATAATGGTTTTGGCAATATAACTTTTCTGGAGGGTCATGTGTAAACATGAATTTTTGCGAGCGCGCAAAAATAAGTAGTAGTAGTAGTAGTAGTATTTATTATTTTACTAGGGCAATCCCCACAGACTGTGAGTCTTTTTACAGGGTACCCTAGGTAAGTGCGTGAAATAGAGCTGAATGAAGAAAGCCGTAAGTGCGTGAAATAGAGAAAAGAAAAAAGAAAACGGTGGCTGCATGCTGTGCCATTATGTGTTGCAAAAGAGGCTGCGAAGAGTACTGTTGAACATTGCAAAGGAGGCTGCCTGGCGGCATGCTGCTGGAAGCGAATTCCACCTGTCAGCAGCCAGGTAAGGCAAAGCATAGAAACCGTACCGTGACGAAGCATTAGGCAGGGCTAAAGCCAGGGCGGACTGTCCCCTGGTCAAGGCATTGGTATGGTTGCTATTTGATCTAAGTACAAAAAGCTCGGCAAGTAGAGGGCTGCGGCGGCCATGCACACATTTATAGACAAGGCAAAATATCTTTAGGTTATAACGGATGGCGACAGGAATAATTTTGTGGCGTTGACAAATGGTGGCGGTTGGGTGGCATGGTGGGTAGCCGAATGTTATCCTGAGGCTACGTTTGAAGCATCGAATGAGTGTGTTGTATAGGGTTGCTGATATCGTGTGAACGTAGCAGTTGCTGGCGTACTCCATGGTGGATTGGATAATGCTTAGGTAAAAGGAACGTTGTGCCTGGGTGGTGATGTGATGTCGTATTCTGCGGAATGCGGCCAGCTTACGGTTGACGTCAGCAACAACTTTCCCGACCTGCTCCTTGAAGGCAAGGTGCTGGTCGACTAGCACTCCAAGGTAACGGACACACTGGGAAGGGGATACTGGGAAGTTACCACAGATGACAGTGAAGGTAGGTGGAAATGGGGTTGTCTTCCGGCGGACGATTAAAAGTTGAGTTTTGTCGGGGTTCAGTAGGAGGCCCAGTTCCGTGAGGTGTGATTTAACCGCATCGAAGCTCTCTGATAGTCGGTCCTGTATCGTGTTGATGCAGCTGCTCGATGTGTAGAGTCCTATATCGTCGGCGTAGAGTATGTTAGATGTGTGAGTTGGTGTGACGTCTGTTACGTGTCTTGTGTAGATTGTGAAAAGAACGGGGCCCAGGACAGAGCCTTGAGGTACCCCTCGACTACAGGTCACGGAGTCGCCGGATGTTTTTGTGGAGGGGTTCGTCACTGTCTGTCGACGAGCGCTTAGATAGGAGGCGAACCAAGACAGTGCTGTGCCACAAATACCGCAGGAGTAGAGCTCGTTGATGAGTGGCTGGTGCTTGACCCGGTCGAACGCCTTGCTCATGTCCAAGAATAACACTCCGGTGTTCTGACCGTCATCCAAGCGTTGTTGCCACTTTGATATAGCCAGTGAAAGTGCATCCTCTGTGGAATGATCAGAGCGGTAGGCGAACTGTTGGGGAGGAAGAATGTTGAGCTCTGGGTGGGTGTTGATATAGCGCTGCAGTTGATGAAGGACGATCTTTTCTAGAAGCTTGGATACGATGGGGAGTAGAGATATGGGGCGATAGGTAGAGGGACATTCTGGATTGCCTTTCTTGAAGAGGGGGAATACAGACGCTACTTTATATATGTCTGGAAAGGAACCGAGGGAGAGTGATTCGTTGAAAATGAGACAGAGGGGACCGGCTAGTTCTTCTGCACAGATCTTCAGAGGAAGGGGTGGGAGTTCGTCGGATCCGGTGGATTTGAAAGGGGAGATCTTCTTGAGGAGCTTGCAGACTTCAGTGGTAGTGACAGGGGTGAAATTTGCGAAACTGGTGAGCTGTCGGGGGCCTTGGGGGATTTGCAGGGAAGGAGGTCGCTCTGGGTCAGAGACGACCGATCCAAAGAAGTTGCCATACGCGCGGACTGACGGCATGCGCGCCATCGCGCCTGATACCTCCGACACACCGTCAGCAGCTAGTTCTCACCCCGCTCCGGGCACCGAAGCTTCTATGCAGGACGAGCCCTCATTGCTCTCCCCGGACATCATTTCCTCGGCCGTGATGAACGCCCTCCACCCTCTCCTCGAGCGTGTGGAACGCCTGGAGAACAGTGCTGAGTCTGGAAGCCGATCTCTCCCACGCTCGCGCTCCGCACCTGAAAGATCGCTCCCACGCTCGGAGCGTCAAGCTCCGGACCTATCCTGCCCGGAACTTCCAGTTCTGTCGGAACCACCGACCTTGCCAGGACCTCCAGTTCTCTCCGAGCCCTCGGTTCTACCCACACCGCCACGTCGCGCGATTGAAAAAATCCAGCGCGGAGAGTTTGTGGAACTTGAGGAGCTCTTGCCGGAAAACTTCAGCTCCCAGGGACAGGAGCCAATACAACTGGTTACAGCTGGCGGCGACACGGCTCAGCTCTCGCTCAACCTCAGCGCAAAGCACAAGCGCGCAATCAACGACTTCTCGGCTTGGCTGGAGGCCTGGACAATCTACATGGGCATCATCGTTCGTGCTCGTCCTGACCGAGCTCATGAGCTTGTCTGCTATCAGCACATACTTTGTACTGCGAACCAACAGTCCACGACGTCTGCTGTGCTGAACTATGATCGAGCATTTCGCCAACACACCGCCAGCATGGCACTGCGCTGGGACGTGATCAACCAGACGCTGTGGAGTATTCACCTACTCCGCTCACCCCGTCCGTCGTGCACCAAATGCACGCTCCAGCACAGCCGCGACCGCTGTCCGCGCCTTTCCATCCGTGGCGGGCAGCACCCGCCAGGTCTGTTTTAACTTCAACCGCGGCAGGCCATGCTCCCGCACACCATGCGACTGTCTCCACGCCTGCAGCTCATGTGGAGACAAAGGACATGCCACCACATCCTGCACCAGCACCACCCACTTCAGGTGGCAGCGCCCTGCAGATAGCCACGAGAAGACGTCTAAGCCCACTGAGAAAAAGTAAGCCGACTTCCACTCCCCTGAACACTGTTCGCTTTCACACATTACTGCCACGCATATCTGACCAAAATCTTGCTGAGTTTGTTTTGCACGGGCTGGACCATGGCTTTAATGTTGGACACTCTGGCACTATGCATTCCCTGTTCGCTGATAATCTTTCTTCTGCACGTGAACAACCTTCCTTTGTTGACGACCACATTGCTGATCGTATTCGCGCCGGCGAATCTGCCGGCCCATTTTCTGTCCCACCCTTTGATGTTTTTGTTTCCTCACCCCTCGGCGTTGTCCCCAAGAAAAACGGGAAACTCCGTCTGATCCACCATTTGTCTTATCCCAATGGCCAGTCCGTGAATGACAGCATAGACAAAGACACATTCTCTCTTCAGTACATCACGGTGGACGACGCCATAGACCTCTTATGCATGCATGGTCCAGTAATGCATTTCGCCTTGTACCCGTGGACCCAGCCTGTTATTATCTGCTAGGTTTTCAGTGGCGTGATCAATTCTATTTTGACAAGGTCCTGCCCGTTGGCCTGCGGTCAGCCCCTTATTTGTTCAACTGTGTTGCTGATGCCCTTTGCAGCATTTGCCACGAGCTGTTTTCCATCCCACATTTATTGCATCTGCTGGACGATTTTTGGCTGTGTGGGCCTGCCAATTCCCCTCTATGCCGCCAACGTCTTGAGGTTATCCTGGCTGTTTTCAAGTACCTCGGGGTTCCTATTGCAGAAGAGAAAACAGAAGGGCCTACAAATGTCCTCACGTTTCTCGGCATTGAGCTGGACTCTGTCCAAATGATTGCTCGCCTTCCTGATGACAAGCTGGCTGACTTGCGCTCTACGCTTGGCTCCCTCCGAACCCGCCGATCCCCGACATGCAAGGAGCTAGAACAGTTACTAGGCAAACTCAACTTTGCGAGTCGCGTGATCATCCCAGGACGAACGTTCATGCGCCGCCTGTACGACGCTCTGATGCATACCACCAAGCTGTACCATCATGTCCGCCTGTCGTATGGTTGCCAATTGGACCTGCTGTGGTGGTCACACTTGCTGGAGGGGTGGAATGGCAAAGCCCTCCTGCTGCAATCCCATGTAACAGCGGCAGACGATATCTCCATCGAGACCTATGCCTCTGGCTCGATCGGCTACGGTGCACTCTACGGCCCTGAATGGTGTGTTAAATGAATTTGTGCGAGCGCGCAAAAATTAGTTAACACAGAAGGCGCATGCGCCGCGCCGGACACTTCACAGTTTGCTTCCTGCTCAGATTTGCATGGCTGACTGGTGACTCTCTTCAAAGCCCACCCTCCCATGCCCTCTGCTTCTTTTCTGCTGTGCTGCACCATGCTGAGGCACATCTCCACTTTCCTCTTGGTATCACAATAACCAACATTCAATATCACATCTCTTCAGTTTAAATAACTGAATAAAGAGGGGAGTCAATCTCGCTCACCAGGCTCATCCTGCCAGTGCGGCTCACACAGTCCACCCGGCTCTCAAAAGATGCGACAGGGTCACTCACCTTGACGCCAACATAAAGATGCGGCCAGGGTCACTCACCCTGCTGCCACTAAAAATAATACTCACTGCGAGCCTGGCAAACAGCGATTGACAAACCACTCCTATCCCCACAACTCAATGCTGTGTAGTGTGCATGCAGATGGGTGTGTTAAAGAATGGTTCCTTCGTGGATCTCACTGGAAGGCTAAAAACATGATTTGAACTTGAAAAACTCAAAACTGAGCAAACTGCACCATACATGTACATGCACATGCACTACATGTACGAGTGCAATACAGTCTGTCAATAGCATGAGACCGTACACAATAACTATTCTCCTTCTCCTTCATAACACCAATGTGTGGCATCATCCAGATGAAATGAAGCAGTTGAAATGAAGCAGTTTAGAGTGATGGTGAACATTGTGTGCGGATGAAGGCGCGTAGCTGGCATAGGTCATGGGGGCACGTGCACCTCCCTAAAAATGTCGACCTTGGTTCAGCATGCACCGTTACGACCATGAAAGACATGGACCAGCCAGCCTACACATACATTGAATGCGGCCATGCATCCCCTAAAAGGGGGACCAGCTATGTAATGTAATAAAAATATGTAATGCCCCTGAATCCTGTCCACATAATTGGTTGCAGGGAAAGCAGGTGGAACGGATCACGAGAGTAGGATAAAAACTGGGAAGACATTGGTAGGTACATTGTACAAACAGTTGAGCGCTTTCGCCTTGATGGAATGAAGGCTGACACAGCTGCAGGAGACACTGCTGAGTTGTGAACATGTGCGCGTTGAGATGGCTGCACAAGGATGCCATTTGCACAGAGGGTTGTGGCTTCTCCCAACAATGTTTCTTCGCACAGATCATGGCCGATCACGACTCCCATGGGAAGAGACGCTGCAGTTGCTTGCTGATTATTGGCTTGGCATCCAGCCAACACAGTTTTGAGCTCTAAACCTGTATGCATGCAGCACCGTGGCCAAGGTGGTTCACCATATTGATACTGGTATAAAGTTTTGAACTTTGAAACATATGGTGCAAAGCAACAATTGCGGCAAGAGTAATGTGCTTCGGGGCTGTACTGCAGTAGCAGGTCTGGCGGTGCAACTTTGGACTAGTGTGACATTGTCATCTGTCTCTGTAGCCTGAGTTGCATCGCCGATTGTAAGTGCTTAATCCTCCTCTATATCCTCCCCTCGTCGTGATGGCTGGCGAGTTGATGAAAAGGCGAAGAAAGTGCTTACAAATCAGTTACAATGCATAGACACACTCAGATTCAATAGTCGTATCGGCCTAACGAAGATGATTTCATCCCCAAAGTAGTCAAGCCCATACTGAGGCACTTGTTGCAGTACACGTCACCGTTCCAGCATTGAAGCTCTCGTACATATTGCGATAAGGCCAAAACAAATAATGACCTTGTTTCCGGTCGGCCGACCGGGCCACTTTTTCCCAAATTCTGATACTTTTTTTGGTCCCAAATGTATACAAACGGTGGCAATGCCATGTGTGCAAGCGCACTCAATGAGTCATAACTCAGTCAAATCTCAACCGAATTCCACAATCAAAACACCTACAAGGTAGCAGAGATTCTCAGCTGTCGGTTCGAAAACCTGCGGGGTCGATATGAGCTAGAATAACGGAGCTGGAAGGACTCGAACTGTTTGCTTGATTTCTCAGGATGTACGAAAACAGGAATACAGGTCCTCCCTCATTATAACGAGTCCGGTTACTACATAACCCCCGTTAGTAAATAGAAATCTGAAATCCCCTGGCAAAACGTGGTCTATACAACTGTTTACAGGTCCGGTTACAACATAATCCGTTAGTACATAAAATCCGTTATAACGACCCTTTGCCCAGGTCCCTGGAGTGCCAAACCCTCAGTATAAGATAATTTTGACCATGCAGGACCAAGGCCAAAACACGTAGGATAAAGCAGAAAGAGGAAACGTATTATGTCAATGTATTCGTGAATATGGACGATCCTTTGCATCCTAAGAAGAGTTATGTTGGAGTAACTTGGAGATTTTCAATTATCTTATAACGAGTTGAAGCATCGATAAATTATGTTGTATCGAGGGCAGCCCAGGTAAGTACGAAGTAGTGCCTATTTCACTTTTAGCTGGAAGTCCTGTTACAAGATAAGTCTCGTTATAAGATAACTTTTTCGATGGCCCAGAGATTATCTACTAACGAGGGAGGACCTGTACACCACATGCTGTAAAAGAACAGCGAGTCAGTCAACTTTGACATTGATCCTTGCCATGATATATTTACAATGTACATGTGTAGGTGCTTTTGTCCATCAATACCACAACGATTGAGGAACCAAAAAAAGTATCCAAGAAAAGTTTCATACCGGCCGACCGAGTCTCCTTTTTGAGGGGTTGCCGACCGGAAACAAGCCAATTTTTTGTTCGGGCCTAATAGTTATACTGCGTATGATGACACGAGAGATCGGCCAATGGCAACTTGGTCATTTCGTCTTTTCTCATATTTGCTGCTTGTAAGAACTTGGCAGAAGCATGTAATCATATTTGCTTGTTGATCGGACTGCGTGTAGCCAGTATGATTGCTGCCGTTTCACCTTTCCCCAAATGTGCAGCTCTTCGTGCTGGGAGCTAACGTTACGACGCCGGGAGCAGCTAGAGAAGAACGTGTGCGGGGGCGACGCGAAAGCCTCCATTTCCAGGCGAAACATCATTTCCACAAGGCTTCTTGCGCTCAGCTTAATTATCTACAGCAACAGCTTCATTTGTTCCAAATTATTTCACGCAATTTTCCACATCAGTATCTGGGTGAAGGGCTCCAACTCCTCATCACGACGCTTTATTGCTACTTGCCCACAGACTTCCAAAGATTCACTTCAAATGAAATATTTCCTCAAGAGGTACAGGCAGTAGCCCAGTGCACACCAACGTCAAAGCTACACAGCATCCTTTGGAATAATGGAGAAACGGAAAGCAAGAAACAATCCAGAAATGGAAGGACGTGGAGATGGCTCAACAATAAAATAATTGCAACAAACTGGGTGACCTGTCAGTACAGCGTCGGTGTCACGCGATTGGTTCCTCAAACCTGGATCGAACAGCTGAGATGCATGGATCATTGGATGCAAACAGTGCAAGCTACACTCGATGCGTGCACTGCACGGCGCATGGATCTATGCAGAAGTGCATGCACTTACCATGCTTACGCCTACCTACATACATGTAGGTCTACATGTACATGCATGAATGCATACAAAACAATGGTCGCCGAGAGAGAAATTCACAACATGGAAAAGGCGCTCGTTGGATACCTTTCAGAAAGTTGTCGGAGTGACAACAACCGGAATCCTGGTCAGTAAGGTATCTAGAGTAGACGTGGCCAATAAAATTGCGGTGCCCAAAAGTCGGAACGAGATTTTTCTAGGAGGCCTTTTTTCAGGTTTGGCCCACGGACTATACATGTGTGATTCTGTGAAATGCAGAGCCGCATGTGCCCTTGTCACACCACAAAACAACCTTTTTTTGAACACTCAAGGTCAGTGCCAATACGGGTAGTTTTTCAATCAAAGTCAAAAATTCCCGGTATGCCGGTAGTTACCCTAGTTTTCCGGTAGTATACCAGGAAAACCGGTATGGTTGGCAAGTATGTGACCTCCAGGCCAATTACTTTGTGATGGCTTGCTGTAAGTGCTTCTGGCTGGGAGGATTAGCTGCCCATATCAGACATTTTGGTGTGAGCGCTTTAGGCTACCACTAAGAGGTCCAAAACTACATGTACATGTGGCTAACAAGTAAGTCTCCGTTGAGAACTCCCTAATGAACGCACATATCCAAAGCAGGCGAACGGCGCGAGTACTTACAACTTTGGTGATGCGGTCCAGCACCTGGTCGATGAGCTCCTTTCCCACGGTGTAGTGACCACGTGCATAGTTATTGGCTGCATCCTCACGGCCGGAGATCATCTGCTCCGGGTGGAAGAGCTGACGGTACGGACCAGTACGTACTTCGTCTGCACAAAACAGTAACAGAAACAGTAGAGAGTATTTACGGGAAAGACCCGTTCCGCAATCGGTATGGCAGCTGGGTTCCGCAATCCGCATCCAGTCAGACTTCTTGAAGCAACTTGGACGGTACTATTTCCCTGCCAACAGACAATAGCTTGTACGCGTATCTGTTCAAATCAGCTAGGTGTTTCAGGTGTATTGTGGGTTTGAAAGAATTTGCAAGCCACATATGATATGGCTCGAACGTGGGGACCACATTACAGACGCGAAGATTCCAAATTGGTGGCGTTGTCAGCTAGGATGCAGTTGGGGCTGCGGATTCTCCAAACAACTCATAACCACAATGCTGTCGCCTACCAATTAAAAATGTCGGTAAAGTCTAAAGGCTAAACTAGCATTGCACTCGTCTGGCGGAAAGTCATCAAATGAAACAATGGTTCAAAATTATTCCTGCAAAAAATTGAAATAATCCTGGAGACAAACTATGCCAGGTTCCTTTTGATTCCGTCTCAAGAGACACAAGAATTATACAGAAGCACTCATCATCAATGGTGTCATATGATCAGATACTGCCGTACGTACCCAGAACAGTGGGTTCCAAATCGACGAAAACAGCACGAGGCACTTGCTTTCCCATGCTGGTCTCAGAGAAAAAGGTTTTGCAATTGGTGTCACCTGGCCCCTGGGCGGACGCGTCGGTATCAAACTGTCCATCTGGCTTGATGCCATGCTCCAAGCAATACAACTCCCAGCAGGAGTTGCCCATTTGAACGCCAGCTTGGCCGACATGGAGAGATATAACCTCACGCTGCAGCCGTGAGGATAAAACGAACAGAAAATACAGGGGAGGAGTGTTGGGCACAACCGGCTGCAAGCTCTACACATCTCAATCGTCTACCGACTCACCATCTTGAATATTCAATAATACCAGACACCGAAGAACGAGAGGAAATATCCGAAGAAAACTTTTGAGAGGGAAGCAGCAACCACTCAGATCGGTTCTTTCACTTTCGTTGATGGCTTGACAAGTACAGCTAGCTAGCTACGGGTACACGAGTGGTGGCGTGCAAAAACGGCGACGATGGTCCCCGTACAGAAATTTCAAATTCTGGCGCGCGCGCAGTCGCAAAGACAAACTTTCCAATGTCATAACAACCATGACCGCATCGGAAGGTTCGTTTGGGACTTCAGACCACGTGACTTCTTGGCCCAAAAGCGTGCAAATCGACACCTGCACAAATCGTGTGATGGTCATAATGTCAAGTCGTGTAAAGAAATGTGGAACCGTTTTTCGAAATGAAGGAAGTCTTGTACAGTTGGAGTAAGTTTCGGTTCGTCTTGTTGGAGCTTGCCTTCGTTTGGGACCAGCAAGAATGGAGCTGTTACGTTCATTTTTGACTGAGATACGTATGCGGATGGAAGGGAAAGGTGAGAAACCATATGATCCGTCCGGGTCCCCTTCTTGAAAATGTGATATTCGTATTCTACGACCTCGAATTAGTCTAGATAGAAGGTAATCTTTATTGTTTTCACCTTCCAGAGGACCTATTTCTTGCATTATTCCTCTTTGTACTTTGCCGTGCAGCGCCGCCATAGTCACAGTATGGAAAGCAGCGAGAAGTATCCTGCGCTAAATGATGCTGATGTACAAATTGAATTGCTCTTGGCTGTTTCGGTCCATGCCTCGATTCTTGTCTCCAATGCTGTTATGCTCGATCTGGTTGAGCTCCGCAAGAATAGCTGAAAGAGTGCCGAACTGGGAGATGTGCTGTATACTCTTGTTGCTATTTGCTGTATCTCTGCTGATGATGATGTGCGTGCTACGATTACCATGATTACCCCAGCCAATACAATGTCCTGTACATGTACATGTTGAGCTTAGTCAGTGCCTCTTCCGTGATCATTCTTTTTCTTGACACCAACCACGCCAACAGTCCGAAGCTATCTCAGGACTGTATTATCAATGTCTCCTGTTACTACCCACTACATTGTAAACCATACTATTCAGCTATTTCATGCGGAGAATCAAGATTGTTTTTGGATCTGGTGTGCGGTTGCTATGCGTTGCCAAGGAAAGTGGGTTCTCTCAGTTTGACATATCTCTCTGATCTCAAATGTGTGGGACGTTTGTCGGACAAATCCGGTGATAGGCGATGACTATTTTGCTTGTAACTTTAGTTTCCTTTGTCCGATTTAGAAAAACTAAAGACCAAACTCCTCAGGAAGCTCTGACCTATCCAAAAAGCAAAACATAAGCCACAGAAAACAGATTTGAAAAAATGGTCTGAAGTCCCTGGGTAAGGAGGGGGGCCGGGGGGATAGGGTTAGCATGGTTGGGAGCACAACAAAATGTACATACAGTCATGTACTGTATACATGTATCAAGAACCCCAAAGCGGTTCTTCAAGCTCCCAACAGGCTCAGCTGGGAAGCGATTTGTAACATTGATGTGCGAACAGATCCAGGACATTGTTCAGTCTGCTGGTACCCACAGAACAGCTCTGTACAACCTACATGTAGCCGTGCTTCCAGCTCTGTTACTACAACAAACGTATCGTCGATCCAAGCCCAAGGACAACACGAGTCACCTCCAGCGCCGGATGGCCCTCTGGGCAGATGGTAATATCACTGCTCTGGTTGAGAAAGGACGCTGCCTGCAACGGCATCGTGAGCCACACCGAGGAGCACGTCGACGAGGTGAGCAGGACAAGGCAAGGCATTTTGGTTCCCTCATGGCAGAAGGACGTGTGCACGATGCCCTGCGTTCCCTATCTGAAGCTGAGTCCACGCAGTCATCCGGTGTGTTAGGTATCGATGACTCGATCACCATCAAGGACTCCACCGCAACCGTGCGGGCAGCCCTGGAGAGTAAGCATCCTTGCGGCACTCCAGCAGCAGAGCACATCCTGATAGCGGGAGCAGCGCCTCAGTGCCACCCAATCCGATTTGATTCCCTGACTGCCGACCTCGTCAAAGCCGTGGCCATGCAGGCGAAAGGCTCGGCAGGTCCCTCTGGTCTCGACTCGTCAGCATGGCGACGTATGTGCTCGGCGTACAAAGGGGCCTCCAACAACCTTTGCTCGGCGATGGCATCCTTCGGCCGCTTGCTAGCAACACAAACCTTGCCGCCAGACTCTCTTACCCCCTTCACCGCCTGTCGTCTAATTGCCCTGGACAAGAACCCAGGTGTTAGGCCCATTGGGGTGTCTGAGGTCCTCCGTCGCATTCTAGCCAAATCTATTCTCCGAGTAACGTCAGACGATGTAATGGAGGCCTGTGGTTTTCTCCAGAAGTGTTCTGGATTGCCAGCTCAGTGTCTGCTCTAGGATTGTAGGACAGCCGGGTACACGTGTACCTGGCGCAACCATTTCAACCGGGTCGGAGCCGGGTACACATGTACATGTACCTGGCGCTGTCTCATTTAGAAAAGAGAGGACAGGAATTAGAAAATTACGAAAGAAGAAGTATTTGACACATACAAGCCATGTAGTCAGTCCTTTCAAAGTTCAAAAGTGTAAAGTACCAACCGGGTCACAGGTGACCCGGTACTATATTTTCAACCGGGTCCAAGCGCCGCCCAACCGGGTGGATTACCCGGCTCACCCGGCGCTGGAGCAGACACTGCAGCTGGGATAGAAGCAGCGGTTCATGCCATGAAGCGCTTGTATGAGGACGCCACAACTGAAGGAGTCCTACTAGTTGACGCGAAGAATGCCTTCAATTGCCTGAACCGCCAAGCAGCTCTTCACAATGTTCGCCACTTGTGTCCTTCCCTGGCTACCACACTGCTGAACTGCTACCAAGATGATGCCCGCCTCTTCGTTTCTGGCGGTGGTGAGCTTTCCTCCGCAGAGGGTACCACACAAGGTGACCCTCTGTCGATGGTTTTCTATGCCCTCGCTACATTACCATTCGTACGGCACCTCCGCACTACCCACGCCAACATCCGTCAATTGTGGTATGCCGATGATTCAAGTGGTGCAGGCAAGCTACGGGCCCTTCGACGCTGGTGGGATGATGTGGACGAGACCGGGAAACCTTACGGTTACCATGTCAACGCCTCGAAGACTCTCCTCCTCGTCAAGCCTGACCTGCTCAACCTGGCCCACAGTGTCTTTGCAGGAACTGGCATTGAAGTGGTCACGGATGGAGCACGCTACCTGGGTGCCGCTATAGGGACACCGGATTTCATCGCTGGCTATACAGCTGGGAAAGTACAAGACTGGCAGCAGGAGCTTATGCGACTGTCCGAGATTGCCACTACCGAACCTCATGCGGCGTATGCCGCCCTCACACACGGATTGCGTGGTCGATGGACATATCTCCTTCGTACACTGGAGTTCTCAGCTGATCAGCTGCAGCGCCTGGATGACACGGTCACGGAGCATTACCTTCCGGCTCTGACAGGGAAACGCACATTCACGGCGGATGACCTCTCTCTTCTACGGCTACCTTGCCGGCTCGGTGGAATCGGTTTGCCATACTTCAAAGAAATCGCTACCTCCCAACTGCAGGCTTCCCAAGTCATCACGAGCAGCCAGGTTGATGAGATCATCCACCTGCATGATCGAGAGTGGCAGCATCATTCTTGCGACTTTGTGGATCAGCTAGCCCGCCGTGAGTGAGCATCTGTTGCCAAGTCCTCCAAGAAAGCTAGTGCTGCCTCTTTCGCTGCTCTCCGAGAAGCTGCGGACCGCCCCTTGGCCCGTCGTATGGATGAGCTGTCCCGCAAAGGCCCCTCTTCCTGGCTCACTGCTCTTCCTCTCAAGGAACATGGGTTCCACCTCTCGAAGCAGGAGTTCAGGGACGGCCTTGCATTGCGGTATGACTGGCCTCTCCTCGATGTCCCCACGAAGTGTGCCTGCGGAGTTCTGTTCTCCACTGCTCATGCCATGTGTTGCCCCCGGGGTGGCTTCCCTACAATCCGCCATAACGAAGTCCGTGACATGGTAGGGGAGCTACTCACGGAGGTCTGCCAAGCAGTGGCAATCGAGCCTCAGCTAGCCCCGCTCTCTGGAGAGGTGTTTACGGCTGCATCGGCAAACACCGCCGAGGATGCCCGCGCTGATGTCCGTGCCCGTGGCTTCTGGACCCGAGCGCAGGATGCTTTCTTTGACGTACGCGTCTTCCATCCTGATGTGGCGTCCTACTCGGCCTAACCACTGGATGCCCTACTCCTCCAGCACGAGCGCCAGAAGAAGCTGCAGTACGGAGAGCGAATCCTCAATGTGGATCGTGGCACATTCAGCCCGCTGGTGTTGTCAACTTCTGGTGTTGCCTCCCCTGAATGTGAAAGGTTCCTTAAGCGCCTCTGTAGCTTGCTTGCCAGGCCTGATTCCAGCATGCCCTATGCACACCATGTTGCATATGTGCGCTGCAGGCTGTCTTTCGCGCTGCTCCGGTCCGCTGTCATGTGTGTCCGTGGGTCTCGGTCGGCATACCATCGTCCAGCTAACGAGCTCAGGGAGCTGGCGGTGGTTGAAAGCCGGATCTAAAACCATTTTGTGTTTAAGTGTGACTCTCGCCATTCCGGAGACATATTTTCCACACCTGTGGACTATTATTAATATTATCTTCCTATCATACCCTGGTTTCTCAGCATTGTGTTGCTTTTGCCCGTAAGGGCCCGGTCACACATGCACTCGAAAGTAGCGTATACGCTGAAGCGAGGTCGCAGGAGCGAAAAATGGCATGGCAACGGCGAAAAGCGGAACTTCCGCTTCAGCGGAAACTCCAATCCGCTTCCGCCAAAATTTTCGAAGCGAGACTGTCGCTTCTGCGGATTCGCTTCAGCGGAAAACACCACGGTCTGCTGTATATGGACTTGCTACGAGAAATTTGTATGCGTATGATGTCCATGCAACAAAAATGCGTGCAAGATAGTCATTGACCTCGTCTATTCTCCGTACCGTATGTACCACAGTCCACTTTATTCTCATTTTCCGCCAAAGTAGGAGTTGTGCCCTGTTTGCATGTGTGACCATACACACGTGGTTTCGCTGGAGCGACACCAGGCTCGCTGCCGCCGAACCTTCTCGCCGAAGCGAAACCCCAATGCATGTGTGACCGGGCCCTAAAAGAGGCTGTACTGAAAAAAATCAAGAACCCCATAATATTCTTGCATGTACGTACAGTGAAACCTGTCTAAGACGACTGCTCAAGGGACCTTCAAAATGTGGTCTCTGTTATCAGGTGGTCTCCTTATCCAGGGCCATTTGACTGGAAATAGCATCCCTTGATCCTGGTTTCAGTGGTCTTCTTGGACAGGTGGTCGCCATATCCGAGTGGTCGCCTTGACAAGTTTTCCTGTACATGTATGTGTAGGACTCCCTAGGCCCTGGTTTGGTACGTATGGTCCCTGTTCACCCCGTTTTTGTGAAAAAATGTCGATCTCTAGCTGGACGGGCACTGTGCAAACATATACTGGACCACTGTCCAGCCTGGTAGTCGAGGACGCACACAAAGTAAAGTCGATCTCATGAATACAGCCATGGCAAGGTTGTGCGACAGTAGCATGTAAACCTAGATACAGTGAACTTTGCAATTTGAGGGGAAGGGGATCTGGGGAGAAATAGCAAAATTTGATAAAAATGGTAACAAAATTTGTTATTTAAGGCCATGGTAAAACATATCTTTGATTCTCAAGTACGCGCGCATCGATTTTTGGTGGCGCACCGACGATTTTTTTTTATTTCTATGCATGCATATGCGTGCATGAAAACGGTCAATGCGAAAGGCGCTAGGCATGAATCCGGGAGTAGCAAAATACCGGTATTTTTCTACTCCCTGGCCTGAATAATAAAATAATTATAAATTATGAACCTGTGACGTACACATAATGTGTGACCCTATCTTTGGAAATAAAAAAATTGTGGGAATTAAAATAAAAAATCGCTCGCTCGCACCGATTTTCACAGGCTCATGACCTGAGAATCAACTTCATTTTTTACCATGGCCTAATATCGTCTTCAATTTATTTTTATTTTTATACCGATACGGTATTTACGGGTGGTCCCTAACTCCCTGATAGAAATCAGGAGTCCATACCCCCCCCCCCCCCCCCATGGACTCTGCGACCGTGCATGGTGTGCTGCTCTTGACAGACAGGCTGGGATCCCGTGAGTCGATCGTGGCTGTAAGCAAGAGTACTTCAAGCCATAAACTAATTTCTGCTGCCTCGGAAAGACTTTCGAGTCTCACGACTCCCTGCTTACAAACCATGCATTTCCAAATACACATGGTGTGGCTTTCTACGTATACCGGTATGTAGTTGAAAAAAGAACAAAAAAGGGCAGACGTTCACGTATCGCTACATCACTGAAATCAAACAGCTGTACAAGGCAACAGAACACTCCAAGAAACCCAATCTCGAGGACAATGTCATATGGAAGATAAATAAGCCAAGATACCATCAAGCCAAGATACCACGGTGTTTTCGGAAACGAGTTACTGAAGAAAACCGCGTGGAAAGGAAAGAGAGCAAGGGCTTGATTTAGAAAGGGGAAAATTGCAGAAATACTCAAAAGCGACGTCAATGAGTGACCATAGCACACCCGCAGATACTGCACGTTCCTAATTGTCATCCTGAATGTACAGCAAGACCAAGTTGGCAATGGTCTCCCTGGCAGCGACCAATGATGGCAAGTCATCCTCGCGAGATGGATACATGTTAGCGCAGTGTGCAGTGCCATCGATAAGAACAGGAACAACATTGGTACCGAGGTCGATGGTGTCGGGCAGGACGCTCAGTGCATGCCACGGGTCAATGTTGCCGTTGGGAAAGACGATGCGTGAGCCCTTGAGATGCAGAGAACCGTAGTTCTGGTTTGACCACCTGATGTAGTTGGCGAGACCGCTGGCGTTTACTCCAAACACATCCTCACAAAGCTGGACCTGTGTGCCGACCGGGAAAAGGTTTCCAAACGGCTGAGCCGACGAGTTGGCTTGCGAGCTCTGCAAGAAGCCAAACTCGTGGCATACCTGATACATCCACTGACGCCCACCCTCTTGAGAACCGTACGAAGAATTCTTCAGGGATGAAACCATGTCCGTGTAAGCAGAGTCAAAACACTCGCCAGATTGGCCATTCTTGGCATTCAGAAGCTTGCTGACAGCAACAAGCTTATCCACGGGCACATTAATACTCTTGTTGGTCATCACTTCACAGACATCACTGATTGTAACTTCTGTGCGACCCTCAAATGCCACATTGTCACGATTGTATTGCACTACCCCCATGAACAAGCCCGCCACGCTCTGTGCAAACGTAGCAATCTCCATTTCGTCGCTAGTAATAGGGCTGCACGCGTTGAAGTTCACCTTCAGCTGGGTGCGTCCACTGGCAGTGGCCAACATTTCGTTGACTTGTTTCATTGAATCCTGGACAGCCGACAGGCAATCGGGACCGCCATCAGTACCGATAGAGTTCTGCACCACCTCCAAGTACTGTGTAAAGTTGAGCACGGACCACACTGGTGCGCTGCTGGCAACGGCGGCATGGAAGAAATGTGGGTACTTCACACGAGCCCAAGCGGACAGAGAGCCGGGATAAGAGCCACCGAACGTGACCCACTTGGATTCGCTGAGGTTGTTCGCACTGCCGTATTGATCGCGGAAATTAGCAAGATCGGCGAGAGCTTGCTCACTGCTCAAATAGCGCATGTTGCTCAGAGAAAGGTCAGGGGTCGGGTGGCTGTCCCCATAGTAACGATGCTCCACCAGGATAGCCATTGCATTCTGTGCCTGGGCCTGAACCATCATCTGACCGACCACAACCCAAACGGGATTAGCTGTGCCCTCTCCTCCGATCTGCAGGAAAACTGGACCGCCAGGTTTGTAAAAGGTGCTATTTACAAAGAACCTCTGCTTCCAGGTTGTCAGCACCTGAGTGTCGAAGTGATCCAGTGTTTGCTGAAACCATTGAGCCGGGGGAACCGGGATGGACCCTTCCACATGGGGATCCTTCAGCATGCCACTTTTCGACTTCACAAGAAACGCATGGCTTGAGGATGCAGCCACTACGGCCACCACCAAGAGAGCGCCTGCAGCATGGAAATACAAGGACGAAATGGACATATTTTTCACCAATTTTTGGGATACGGTAGGAGGTATTAGACAGGCAGGGAAACGACATCTACAGAGGGAGAAACGAATCTACTTACCTATGTTCATCATGTCTTTCCACACTCTTCTAGCTCTACGTAATCCGGTCGTTGAAGGCAACAACAACACAGCTAAAGGCTAAAAGCTACAGGAACACGCCCTGCTTACTTGGTCAGATCTGCAGATGAATGATTGAAAACAAAATATTCAAAAACACATTTTCCCCGAGCGCAATGGTGACATCAACACATGGTAGAATATGCATGGTTTGTGCACATGGTGTCAGTGCAAGTGCAGTGCCAGTGGCAGTGGTGTGTGCGCGACTGCGCACTCGCGCTCGCGATCGCTGCTCGATATGCAGTACTACACAAACAAAAATCATAAGGGCAGCACGTGATGTGGCAAATATATATTACCAACACTCATCATCAATATTATTCATCATTCATCAATCATGATCATGTAAATGTGTACTGGCTGCATAATGACTAATGTCATCACTTGAACAGTACTACCAAGAGTGGGGTTATGTACTCTTAGTACTAGTACTACTACTGTGACTTGGTATTGTACTTGCAATCATGGTACAGTAATACTAATAAGTAATAGTATTAGTAAGACTGCCAAGAGTATAATAATACTCTTGGTATTAGTAGTACATTGTATATAACTTAGGGAGGTTATACATGTATACTCTTGATGTAGTAGTAGTAGTAGTAGTAGTAGTAGTAGTAGTAGTAGTAGTAGTAGTAGTAGTAGTAGTAGTAGTAGTAGTAGTAGTAGTAGTAGTAGTAGTAGTAGTAGTTGCACGACTGGTTCGCATATTTTCCGACGCGGCGCCCAACCGTGAACGAGCCTGGACATCAATAGCTGTCGCGTGCCACCTCCTGTTGCAGAAACCGCACGGACAGGGCTCCTCCTCCGAACACGGAACTCACCTGACGCGTCGACTTGCTGTTTGGAAGTCAGGAGACATCAACACCCTGCTGCGTGAATGCCGATGCATCCAGGCGCATCTTCCGGCACACCATACCCGGCCGGAACGTCGACCAGTCAGGCCAAATTGACGACACCTTGTTTTCAAAACTCGTATGTTCTGGGAAAACGCAGTCAGCCATTCGGATGGTTTGCTCCAGTGGCTCGGGTGGAGTGTTGTCAATGAGCGACACTGTCAGCGGCAGCCCAGGTTCAACAGTACGTGACATTCTGCTTGATAAGCATCCCCAGCCTGCTGTACCTCCGGATGACGCTCTCCTGCAGGGGCATGACGCGGCTACCCCTCAAGATCCGATCCTTTTTGCCAGGCTCACAGGAGCGCTGATCAGGCAGATAAGTCGTCAAATGTCCGGAGCGGCCGGTCCATCGGGCCTGGACTCTGATGCGTGGAAACGCATGTTGACCTGCTTCGCTGCAGCGTCTGACCAGCTCTGTGCGGCAATGGCAGAAGCAGGAAAACGCTTATGCACCCAGGAAGTCCCACCAGAAGAGCTAAGTTCGTTCACTGCGGCCCGCCTCATCCCACTGGACAAGCAACCGGGGGTGCGCCCTATCGCTGTTGGGGAGGTTTTCCGGAGACTAATTGGCAAAGCTGTGATGAAGATAATTCAGTATGACGCCATGCACGCCACAGCCCCTCGTCAACTCTGTGTTGGTGTTCCGTCTGGGTGTGAAGCTGCCGTGCATACGATGACCGACATGCTTGCCTCGCCGGAGGTGGAGGGTGTGCTCTTGGTCGATGCCACCAACGCTTTCAACGCTATGAACCGCACAGCAGCCCTACACAACGTGCCACTCGTCTGCCCTGCCCTGGGGCAGGTGTTCAAGAACACCTACAGCAGTCCATGCCGCCTGTTTGTGTCGGGTGGTGGAGAGATAAGGAGTCAGGAGGGTACCTGCCAAGGTGATCCTCTCGCCATGGCGATATACGCGGTCGCCATGATGCCATTGATAGACAAGCTGTCAGAGTGCTGCCCCGACGTGGTGCAGCTATGGTATGCTGATGACGATGCTGGTGGCAGACAGCTCCTCAATCTAAGGCAGTACTGGGATGGGATTCTGGAGCATGGCCCTGGCTATGGATACTACCCTAACGCAAACAAGACAACACTAATTGTCAAGGAGCAGCATTCGGCCCTGGCACTCCAGCTTTTCAGGGACACGGGCATTCGTGTTGTGACCGAGGGTGCTCGGTATCTTGGCGGCGCACTCGGCTCAACGGTCTTCTGTGAGGAGTATATCACAGATTTGATCGACAAGTGGACGCTGCAGGTTGATCGCCTGGCGGAGGTGGCCACCACTCAGCCGCATGCTGCGTACGAGGTGTTTGTAAAGGGCCTCGTGTCCAAGTGGCGGTGCCACTTGCGCGTCCTATCTTGCCCTGCGAATCTTCTGGCCCGTCTCGACGCCGTCATTACGACCAAGCTGCTGCCAGCGCTCAGCGGCCATTCGTGTTCGGACGAGTCGGCACTGAGAAAGTTGCTATCGCTACCAGCGCGGTTTGGTGGCATGGCAATCCCTGTGCCCTCGGTGGAGGCCGAGAAAGAGTTTTCTGCATCCAGACAGATTGTGGCTCCTGTGGCGGCCTGCATCAGACCACCAGAACATCCAACAAGCACCAACGAAACTACTCAAACAGACCAGCTGAACGAGGCAATAGCCCTCAGCCGGCAGGAGGCCGGGCGTATTCGCAGAGAGAAAGCTGCCCGAGCCACGGGTCTCGTTAGCGAATTGCGCCCGGATTTGACAGCAACACAGGTGCTGTTAGTGGAGAATGCCGCGGAAAAGGGCGTATCATCTTGGGTAACGGCGGAACCATCGTCCCAAATGCAGATGGTGCTGAACAAATCGGATTTCCGAGATGCGTTCTGCATCCGCTACGGCCTGCAGCCTGACGGACTCCCCCTGACTTGTGTATGTGGTGCTGCAAACACAATAGACCATGCGATGATGTGTCCGGCAGGGGGCTACCCCATGGCACGACGCAACGAGATCCGGGACTTGTTGGCTGACGTGATGCGTGAGGCGGTCCGGGATGTGGAGGTAGAACCGCCTCTACTACCATATGATGGTGAGCGGCTCCAAGGGAGGACAGCCAACCGCTCGGCAGGTGCCCGCCTGGACATCCGGGCTTGTGGCTTCTGGACGAGACAGCAAGATGCCTTTTTCGACATCCGGGTTACACACCCAAAGGCAAGCTTGCTGTCGCGTCAGGAAGTCATCAGCCAGCTCCGAACGCATGAACGGATGAAGAAGCGCCAGTACGGAGAGCGGGTGACAGCAGTTGACAGAGGTACGTTTACACCTCTAGTTTTTTCTACCTCGGGCATGATTGGCAGAGAATGTTCAATGGCACTGAAGACACTGGCATGCCTGATTGCAGAGAAGAACGTCGACCTACACGTATCGGTTATCATGGGTCAGCTCCGTTGTAAGCTGTCAGTCTGCCTTATGCGATGGGCAGTCACCTGTTTGCGTGGTTCAAGATCGTCATACCGCCGCAACAGGATGAATTTCACGACGATGTGCAGGTTGCGGGCAGCCTGAGCGTGATAGTACCTCACAGACATTTGCCCAACATTGTCCCATGATAATGAATTCTTGAGTTTTTGGACATTGTATTGCATTGCTGCTCCATCTACATGGCTGTATTTGTGTTTCACATCTCCATTTCAAGTTTCCTAATAAAGATTGTGTCAAGTAGTAGTAGTAGTAGTAGTAGTAGTAGTAGTAGTAGTAGTAGTAGTAGTAGTAGTAGTAGTAGTAGTAGTAGTAGTAGTAGTAGTAGTAGTAGTAGTAGTAGTAGTAGTAGTAGTAGTAGTAGTAGTAGTAGTAGTAGTAGTAGTAGTAGTAGTAGTAGTAGTAGTAGTAGTAGTAGTAGTAGTAGTAGTAGTAGTAGTAGTAGTAGTAGTAGTAGTAGTAGTAGTAGTAGTAGTAGTAGTAGTAGTAGTAGTAGTAGTAGTAGTAGTAGTAGTAGTAGTAGTAGTAGTAGTAGTAGTAGTAGTAGTAGTAGTAGTAGTAGTAGTAGTAGTAGTAGTAGTAGTAGTAGTAGTAGTAGTAGTAGTAGTAGTAGTAGTAGTAGTAGTAGTAGTAGTAGTAGTAGTAGTAGTAGTAGTAGTAGTAGTAGTAGTAGTAGTAGTAGTAGTAGTAGTAGTAGTAGTAGTAGTAGTAGTAGTAGTAGTAGTAGTAGTAGTAGTAGTAGTAGTAGTAGTAGTAGTAGTAGTAGTAGTAGTAGTAGTAGTAGTAGTAGTAGTAGTAGTAGTAGTAGTAGTAGTAGTAGTAGTAGTAGTAGTAGTAGTAGTAGTAGTAGTAGTAGTAGTAGTAGTAGTAGTAGTAGTAGTAGTAGTAGTAGTAGTAGTAGTAGTAGTAGTAGTAGTAGTAGTAGTAGTAGTAGTAGTAGTAGTAGTAGTAGTAGTAGTAGTAGTAGTAGTAGTAGTAGTAGTAGTAGTAGTAGTAGTAGTAGTAGTAGTAGTAGTAGTAGTAGTAGTAGTAGTAGTAGTAGTAGTAGTAGTAGTAGTAGTAGTAGTAGTAGTAGTAGTAGTAGTAGTAGTAGTAGTAGTAGTAGTAGTAGTAGTAGTAGTAGTAGTAGTAGTAGTAGTAGTAGTAGTAGTAGTAGTAGTAGTAGTAGTAGTAGTAGTAGTAGTAGTAGTAGTAGTAGTAGTAGTAGTAGTAGTAGTAGTAGTAGTAGTAGTAGTAGTAGTAGTAGTAGTAGTAGTAGTAGTAGTAGTAGTAGTAGTAGTAGTAGTAGTAGTAGTAGTAGTAGTAGTAGTAGTAGTAGTAGTAGTAGTAGTAGTAGTAGTAGTAGTAGTAGTAGTAGTAGTAGTAGTAGTAGTAGTAGTAGTAGTAGTAGTAGTAGTAGTAGTAGTAGTAGTAGTAGTAGTAGTAGTAGTAGTAGTAGTAGTAGTAGTAGTAGTAGTAGTAGTAGTAGTAGTAGTAGTAGTAGTAGTAGTAGTAGTAGTAGTAGTAGTAGTAGTAGTAGTAGTAGTAGTAGTAGTAGTAGTAGTAGTAGTAGTAGTAGTAGTAGTAGTAGTAGTAGTAGTAGTAGTAGTAGTAGTAGTAGTAGTAGTAGTAGTAGTAGTAGTAGTAGTAGTAGTAGTAGTAGTAGTAGTAGTAGTAGTAGTAGTAGTAGTAGTAGTAGTAGTAGTAGTAGTAGTAGTAGTAGTAGTAGTAGTAGTAGTAGTAGTAGTAGTAGTAGTAGTAGTAGTAGTAGTAGTA